GTGTCACTGGTGACGCTGGCCACAGGGGAGGCTGAGAAGTTTCTGTTGAACAAGGAAGGGTTGAAGTTGTCGGTTTCGGTCCTGTTTGTCTCGGAGCGCTCTACGGCGGGCTTCTCAGCTATAGGAGTACTAGCAGGTGAGGCCTGTGAGATCGTAGGTGTCTCATTGCCAGTGGCACCATACCTGCTAGCAGGAGCAGTTCCGCGCACAGAGGAACTGAAAGAGTCAGATCGTTGGCCACCCTCTCTTAGAGGCAAGAATGAAGAGCCGAACTGGCGCGACTCTGGAGGAGCTGGTGGGTCTGCACCACGCGGAGACTCCTGGTAAGACGACAGAGGAGGCGATGTAGAAGGAGTGGGAACACCAGGTCCTTCCGAGGATTGTACTGACTGGCCGGATGGGACAGAGAAGCTAGGACCTTGGCTCTGGTTCTCAGGACGGAAGGACACAGGAGGTGCACTGCTTTGGGGTGTGCCGAAGCTACCGAACACGCTGTCAAAGTCTTTGTGGGGTCCTTCACGGGCAAAGCCAGACGGCGACATGGTGTTCTCAGCAGGCTGTGGTGACTTGCGGAAGAACGGGTTCGTGCTTTGACTGGTTGTGGAAGCCGCAGGGCTGACAACGGCGGGTGTCTGGGCTTGGGGACTACGAGTGCCCTCCTCCTGAGACTTGGTCAAGTCGCTCATCTCATTCTTGATCTTGTCGCGTTCTCCCTCGTTGGTAGCAAGCTGCTTCTTGTTGATTGCCACCATACCCTTCTGCTGGCGAGCATCGTTCCTCATCTTGTCAAGCTGGGGTCGGAGCTGTCCGATCTCAGCGTTGAGCTGACGGATACGCTCCTTCAAGTTGTTGTTCTCGCGTTGGTCAGCCTCAAGTTGACCTCCCACTTGTCGGTGCTGGTTCTGGAGATCCTGGTAGGATCCCTCGATCATAGCAAGGTCTTGTTGCAACTTCCGGGTCTCGTTACGGGAGCTAGCCAATCGGTCCTCCAATGCCTTGACCGCCTTGACCTCCTGGTCGTACTGGGTCTTAAACTGCGATAAGCGGAGCTCGAGATCGCGCTTCTGGGTGTTGACACTGTTCAGATCGCCCTCGGTCGCGGTCTTCTTGTTCTGAACCTCCTGCATCTGGTTTCGCAAAGTGGTCATCTGGTTCGACATATTGGCCAAGTCGGTTGAGTCTTGCGTGAGTTTCTTGTTAATTTCAGCAACATCCTCTCCGCCCAACAAATCGTCCATTGCGGATGGCGTAGAGTGTTGTGGCAAGCCAGAAGCACCCGATTGTCCCGTAGAATGCGCGGTAAGAGTTTGACCAAACGACGAGCTAGGCATGAAGGGCTTGAACGTAGAGGCAGGGTTCCTCGGTTGAGGCTGGAATGGGTGAGGTGAAGTAGGCGAAGTCGGCTTGCTTCCAAATGGGTCGGCCTCGAAAGGTTTGCTGAACGTAGCAGAGCCACCTGTCGACTGCGGTTGCTGAGGAGCAGGAGCCGGTGCTGTGAAGGCGTCAAGGCCAAAGAGATCTTCTGCAGCTGATTTGGCAGCACGAGGAACGGGTGGTGCAGGTTGGGGCGCAGCGACTGGTACTGCTTGGTTGGCGGCGGTCCGTAGGCTTGGAGGAATCAAACTAGGTGGTAGTGTCGCTGGCAGCTGGTCTCCTTTCCGTTGTTGACGGATCAGATACATTGCAACTGCGAACTCGTCCTTGGACAATTGACCCTCTGAATTAATGTCTGCAAGGTCCCATATTCCCGCAAGGACATCTTCGGGTAGCCCGGAGTCACTGAAGAAGCGCACTGCCTGGTCTCCAGTAATGAAACCACGGCCCATGGTGTCAACGGTCTTGAAGAGGTTGTCGTATGAAGCCTTCTCTTGTGGGCTGATCAGCCAATCGCTGCCAGTCGGTTGAGGTGGTGGAGCTGGTGCTCCAAAAGGCGTCCTTCCAAGGGGACTCGATTGCCGTGGCATGTTTTGCTGGCCGCTGAACTGGCGTGGAATGGACATTGATTGGTCTGGACGTCCTGGGGGAGGTGCGAGTTGCCCTCGTCGCGAGGCGGCTTCGTACAAGCCTGGGGGTAGCGCAGTCGGAAGTGCCTTCATGTTGCCTGTTCGGTACGAGGCTAGCATGTGCATGGCGATGATGAACTCGGTCACATTGAGAGCGCCGCGCTGCTCGGTGTCGGAAAGATTCCAGATGCGGCCGAGGACTTCATTGGGTAACCGCGCTTTTTCGAAAATCTCCTTTGCATTTTCACCTGGTATATGTTAGAGAGGTGTGCTAACAAGTCGTCGAAAGACATACCAGAGAGCACGCCATTAACGGCACCAGACTTCTCGAACAGGCCTGCGTATTCAGCAGCCTTGGCAGGTACTAGCGGAGGTACTCGGATGGGGCCGTTGCCGCTCATCTGAGGTTGTATGGAGCCAGTGGGTTGTGGGGAGAAGCTAGGAGGTGCAGGAACAGAAGGGGCTGCCGATGGGATATTCAAGCCCTCGAACTTGGGCAGGGGCGCGGCTAGATGAGCGTCAGCGCAAAGTCATGGCGGAAAGCATCGAGAACATACGTCTGAAAGCCAGCTCTGGGGAGGGATCGCGGCCAGCCTGGTAGTGTCCGATGAGACGCAGGACCTGGCAGAAGCCGGCCATGGTCAAGAGACCGCGGTTCTCTGTGTCTGCAATCTGCCATATCTCACCCAGGACGGCTGGTGCCAACTTGGTGCGCTCGAAGAACTTGACGGCGATCTCGCCTGTTATGACGCCCAGCTTCTCCGTGTCGGCTTGCTGGAAGAGATACTGGAAGACGCGCTTCTCCTCGGGCGTCAGGTTGAGAACGGGCTGGTCTGCGCCGCATTAGCTGGGGTTCGAAGCGGGTGTCTGTCAAGACAAGTGACGACATACTCAATTCGCCGCTTTGCGAGAGGTCCGCCATGGCTGTGTGGGCGCAACGGGCGGCACTCGTGGGTATAGGGCTTCTGCCTGGGTGTATGAGGCTGAAGCTCCCGGCGCTGTCGTGTAATGGAGCGGGGAAGCTTTGGGCGGCCGGGCACGGGAAAGTCGCACAACTAGCGGTGGGCGGCTAGACGCGAAAAAACCTCTTCGAGGGGGGAAGATGGCCCGGTGAGGGAGGAGGGAGAGGCGATGGGGGTATTGATGTTGTTGGAGTGTGGGAGATGCGCCGGAAGCTTGATCCTCGTCGTCGCTACTAGGCGGAAGCTACCTGGCCTAGTGCTGGGTCGATGCTCATGGCTGTTTATTGGGCGGAGCACGGCAGCTGTCAATCTTGTGCCCATCAGCCACGCTGTCTAATCCATGTCCCAACACCCAGTCAGTGGCCTGCACATGGCCGGCCTCCGCATCTGCACAATGCCACCAGCCAATGGCCCCTTGTGAATATCTTCCGATGCGCTTTTTGACCCACGTCGTCATCAGTATGGCGGATACGCATCTGAAGTCGATGCTGTTGTGTCATCATCTTTGTTGTCCTTGTTATTGTATTCATTTTGTACATTATCCAAATGGCATTACTTCGTGATTACATGTCTTGTACAAGAGTGGTGAAAGTCCAAGCGTGGAACAACAACGTCTTCATCGCCGCTCACCACGACCCCGACCCCGGCTGTTCTTCTCCCTCCAACATCTAGCAAATGCCAGACTAGGGCTGACTTCCTCACGTCTGCCCCACGCCCGCCCCAGCAGCCAGTCAGTGACACTGATGACCTTTGCTGTCCTGTCCCAATGCTGGCCTTCTTCTGTATGCTCGATGATGTGATTCAAGATGCGCCCCTCTTCGTCGAATTCAAACTTGAAGAGCCCAGTAAACTCCTGGTGGGGTCGTTTCGACCCTGCGACGATGCTCGTAATCTTTTCAACAACGTCGCTGACTTGGCCGTTGTCCTTCTTCTCCGATTTGCATGTCTGCCATCGGACTATAAGCTTCTCGTTGCGTACGTTGCTCGCTGACGAGGCGCCGTTCTTGACCATGCGCTCCGATAATATCTCGAGCTTCACATTGCCGAGCACTGGTACCTGGCCCCATGCTACTGGTGCTGTCCACAGTGCGGCTGCGTATGCGAACCTCCCGCTCACGGTGGGTAGATGAGGATGCGTCGAGGGGAATAGGTGAAGGCTGATGTGCGGGGAGAGGATGTCTTGCGGCAAGGGCGATATGAGGAGCGTGGGCAGGCGGTCGTGGAGCACCCGTATGGCTGTGGTCGTGTCAGTGGCCTGATGCGCTGCTCGACAAAGCACCAACGTACTGTTTCCGAGTTTCAAGTTGCGCTCGTTCAGTCGCTCCTTCTCGCGCTCATCGGGCTCCGGGTGTTTGCATGGCGACGAGCTAGTAAACCAGTGCCTGGACACGGATGCTTGCTTCGCGCCTATGGCTGTCATATTCCTCTTGTACTGCTTGAGCCCCAGCAGCCGGGGCACAGTGAGCGATCGTGCTGGGCAAGTCAGAAGTTGCGTGCGGGCACATGTCGAAAAGCGCCGCATCAGACCGCTGGTCATCTGTGTGGATAGGGATATGCGACCATAGGTAAGGATATGCTAGGTGGTGAGATGCCAATTGCGGAGGATTCGGTGTTTTCGTGCGCTAGTCGTACAACGGGAAAAGAAATGGATGGTGCATGGGTGGGTCCCTCCCGATTCCCATATGCCGGGGTATCGATGGTGACGTAGGTTTAGCGACTATCTGAATATGTACTTCCCGCTGTATGCTACCGTCCTCGCCACGCCCATGTTCGCATTGAGATGTTCCGGTGGGACTATCGACCCTACCTTGCATAATGACGCCTATAAAGATCGAGTTTCCTCTGCTGAGGCCCAGCGTGGATGAACATCCAATCCCCTTTCCCCACATTCTATAGAGCGCCTGCCAGATAATCAATTCGTTTACTGCCGGTAAGAGCGACCCCGCAATTACCCCATGCTCATGCTGATACTAACAGCTCTATCGTTAGTCTACCAAGATACAAGAACCTTCCGCAACTTCCCAGCTTCTCCACAATGGCCCCCTCTGGAAAGCGCATCGTCTTCACCGGTGGCTCAGGAAAAGCCGGACGCCATGTTATCCCGGAACTCATCAAGAAGGGGCATTCCGTCCTCAACTGTGATCTAACCGATTTTCCTGACCCGGACGCTGGTGTTTTTACTCTCAAGACTGACCTTACGGACAGGTAAGTTGTGACTGTACAAAATGTTTATGTGACATACACTGACTTCTTATCTTCACCTCTGCAGCGGCCAAGTCTTCAATGCGCTCACAACTCATTTCAACTTTGCCGGCTATGAAGGCCCTCATGTACCTGGCCCACCTGACGCAGTCATTCACTTTGCTGCCTATGCACGAAACATGCTGGTACCTGACAATGAGTGCTATGCTGGCAACGTCAGGTCAACATACAACGTCATCGAAGCAGCATGCAAACTCGGTGTCAAGAAGATTATCATCGCCAGCAGTGAGACAACATACGAAGTTTGCTTTGGCCAAGGAGATCTCGACTATACCGCCTTCCCCCTAACTGAAGATATGGACGTAAATCCCATGGACACATATGCCATCTCAAAACTCTGTGGTGAGCGCGTGGCTCGCGGGTTTGCACGCCGCTTCGACGCCGACATCTATGTAAGTCATCTCCGTCTACAAACTGCGTATGAGACATTTACTAATCCCGTACACCCATATACAGGCGCTCCGCATCGGCAACGTCATTGAGCCTCACGAGTATGAGCGTGACTTTCCAAAGTACATCAAGTCCCCGGAGGTTCGTAAGAGGAACGCCTGGGCGTACATTGATGCTCGTGATTTGGGCCAGATATGCGACTTGTGTGTATCGAAAGACGGGTTAGGCTTCCAGGTCTTCAACGCGACAAATGACACCATCACCGCTACGTTCCCAACAAAACAGTTCCTGGAGCAGTACGCCCCGAATACGCCCATTACACGGGAGATGGACGAGTGGGAGGCGCCACTGAGTAACCGCAAGATCAGAGATGTTCTCGGATTCAAGGAGGAACATAATTGGCGGAAGTACTACAACCCTGATCAATAGAAGAAGATATGATCGGCCTAGTAGTACCATCACGAGGCCGCAAGTCACACAAGTAAAAAGCCTTCAAACAAGTCTAAATATTGAGACAATCAAGCTGTTCATATCATTGAGACCTCAGACCCCACCCCCTCTCACTTCTACATCACTCTGCGCATGCTTCTCACTTACTGCAGCAACGACATGTCCATCGTCCCCACTCAAACCCTTCTCTGCAACACCAACTTTCACCCGTCCAGTATCTCCTTTGTGACCCTGCGTACCAATTCTCAAGAAAGGCACCAGAAGCATACCGGGAACGGAAACAGCTGCCGCAAACCAAAACACTGCCGCGAATGGCTCGACAGCGTTGTTACCATAATAACCAGAGGTAGCACGATTTCTTTGCACAGCGTCAAATATGGCAGTCGCAATACCATATGCGATGGCTGTACACAGACGAGTCAAAGTCTGGAAGAGCGAACCTGCGATAGACTGCTTATTTGTAGGCATCGAGGAGAGGACGTACATCTACGCGTAATCAGTACGAACAATAAAAAAGGTGGCGGAAGCCGACTTGGAATGGGCCATTCGACATACATTAGCGACGATGAACTGGAAGTCCACCCCAATCACACACAAACATAGCGCAGGGAAAGAGAAAGCCCAATACGAGTCCCCGTACCTCTGTACAGCAGCCAGAGTAAAGGATGTGGTTAGTGCGGCAGCACCGATGCCTACGAGCAGTTTGTTGGATACTTTGTGTTGGATTAGGGCAGCGACGGCATTAGCGGTGAGGCCTACAACGACCATGGGTAGCATGTGTACGCCAGTCATAAGTGCGTTGTAGTTCAACTCCGTTTGGAAGTAGAGTGCGATCCAGAAAGATAGAACCGGGAACCCAAGAAACCCGCATGAGAGAATTGCGAGGAGCTGGTTTAGTATACATCTTAGTAACTTGCGGGGACGTGGGAGTCAGGAGGGAAGGACAGTACTTACGAGAGAAAAATCCCTGTCGTACCAGATCTTCATATCAATCATAGCATATGGGTACTTGATCTCCCACACTATGAAAGCCGCAATTAGCATGATGCCTAGAATCAGTAGGACGAGAACATAAGGCGTCTTCCACCCGTTCGGCGCATCGCCTCCCAAACTGGCCAACGTCAGCGAAGTAATTCCTCAACTAGTTCAAAAACATACCTCAAAGCCGCACAAAACATGCCGATCCCAAAGATGGTCAACGCAGTACCCGGCAAATCAAGCTTCTTCAACGTCTCCTTGTCCAGCTTCTGCTTCGGCTGCGTATCCCTTGGTACAGTGAAAGCCGCAACGATACTTGTCACAAAGTATACTATAGCTAACAGGAAGAAACCAGCCCTCCAGCTAAAGACCTGGGTGAACAGTCCAGACAGAATAGTTCCAAACACAAAGCCCATGGGGTTTCCTGCACTAAAACACCCAAATGCTCTGTTCTTCCTCCGACTAGGTCTCTCGTAGATGGCGCCAAGCATGCCTTGAGCCGGAGGCACAGAGGAAGCGGAAAAGATACCTAGGACGCCACAGAGTATGTCAAGAGTCATGCCTGACTGTGAGAAGCCGGCGCCGAGGCAGAAGACGGAGAAGAAAAATAGCGAGCCGATGAACATGGATTTGCGACCGAAAAGATCCGCTATGCTGCCGAAGAAGAGGAGGAGAGAACCTGCTGTAAGAGACGTCGCAGCATTCATCCATGTAATTTCCGCGTTCGTCATGCCTAGGTCTCGACCTGCGAAGGAACTCATAACGGTGATGGAGCCGGTCAAAAAGCTCGTCATAGCCACTGCCATCGTCACCGAGACGATAAACATGCATTCTTGGAACGTGGATGTGAAGCAGTCTGGTCGCGAATTGGGATCCTTGTTGCTGATTGGTTGTGAGAGGGTAGTGGCGAGTTCGGCATCTGTATCGGCGTCCATCTTGCTAGCAGATGATGTATTAAAACAAGAACACAAGGCAAACGAAGAGAACAGATGCAGAGATAATCTAAGAAACGTCGGGAGCGATGAAGCAAGATCTGATAAGGATCAAAAGAAAGTGTAAGCCATGAAATTATTCAGCGCGCGGAATTGCTCCATGAGGCGTTGCATGTTGTCTAGCCGCTATTTAGGCAAGTATAGCTGCGCTATGCCTGGGCTGGACGTGGAAGAACGTTTACGAGCGATTACTGACTCAAAGAATGAACAGGTCGAGGATCACGCTATAGATCCGCGGAGTACACCAACAGTATACTAAGATGAACCAAAGAAGACGTGAAGCCTAAAGAATAGCAGAGATGGGTATCGCTGATCAACATGCATTGTCTTACAATTTGATTACCTTCCACTCACCTAAGTGCATGTGCCCTAATTGGCCTCCCAGCGGGCCCTGCACCTCTCTGCCGTTGGCCCAGAGCTTCTTGCCTGCCCAATGTTCGATGAAGCCATCTGGCCCTGACACTATGATCAATCTAGAGCCTTTCTCCTCCGGTTGCCTTTGTATTCTCTTCTCGATCTCACTCGGGCTTGGAAACGAGTTCTCTTCATCAACATAGTAGTTGACAGTCAAGCCTTTCGTTGCGACTCCGCTCTGCTTCTTGAGGGCATCCAGTTCCCTTACTATAACGCCCTTGGGTGCAGCGGGTGAATCGTCTGCAAGCGGTGGTTGCGCAACAGGCTCGCCGGAACCGAAGAAGCTCTTCCACCAGCCTACTCTGCCCCGCGCGGACGTTGTGCTTCTATCGTCGCTGATGCCACCTTCGCACTCTTCACGGCGTCTGTTCGCCCATAGTATGTGCATCCGACTTCCAGTCCTTCTTGCCAACGCCTGCGCAACCTGCATTGCGGGTGCTATGCCAGTTCCGCCCGCTAGGAAGACAACCTCTATGATGTCGCGGGGAAGCTTGAGTTCGGTATTCGGTCCTCGCAATTCGACCGTGGACTGTTCAGGTAGGCGGTGCAGGTAAGTCGAAACCTCGCCGCCCTGTTCCTGCCGTATGAGCAACCTCATGTCTTCCGGCTCGTTTTCGCCATGCTTTTGATCGGGAGGCGTAGGGGGCAGCGGTGTGTATGCTCGCGCAATCTGTAATTGTGGTTGCTTAATCTGAACGCTCCAGACGCTTCGCTTCCACACCTCCTTTACGCTCTCCGTGTCCGATACGCCATTGCTGTTGCGCAACGTGAAGATTGCGCTGGTGGAAGAGACGGGTTGCTTGTCTACGAGCGTGTACGGCGTGAAATCATGCGGGTTCAGCGATGCGTCGGATCGGTCTGCGGATCTGGTGAAGCGGTACACGGCGCCCCCAACGGCTGAGGTTCCGAGAACTATCAATGGACCTGCTCGCCGCTTGAGCCAGGACATGGCGTGCGTAGAGCTTGCGCTTCTCTAATGACGATGATGTTCCTGCTTGTTGCAGATGCACAGATAGCTAGAATTTCGACATGACGACATGGGCCCATGCGCGTTGCCCGCTCTGGCATGCCGAGGTGTGACCATATCCAAACGCCTTATTGCCAAAGGGATACGCTTCACCAGTGTCGTGTTCGAGACATGAATTGAAACTGTTTAAGCTTATACCAGGTTGATTTCAGTATCAACCTGCAGATACACTTTCAAGAAAATGTACCATGTTGCGAGGGTTCGGCTTCGCAGCTGTGTCGCGTGTCGCATGCTAGTGTAACGCGTCTCCGACTTCCAGAATATCAGGCGGGGGGGTTTTAAGGAGGTGGCAAGAGTCCGATCTGCCAGGTGAAACAGCATTAGCGAAGGGTTGTCATTCCTTTTTGAGGCCATGCACACCTCGAAAGCGTCGAGAAGCTAAGCGGCCGCTTCCGTTGGACCCTGCATTCGGAGCCACTTGAACCTAACCAAGTGGCGTCCTGGCATAAGATCGCTATTTTGCACTGCGTGACACGATCATCTTCATTCATCTCTCACACCGCCCCTCTACCATTCGCCTACTCAGATTTGATCCGGACAGAAGCCCTCTTCCGCGGCTCCGCAACGCGCGCCGGCGAACTGCCGGACTTATCACGGGATAAGATTTCAGCCCTATCGACATTTCCTTAGACTTTTCATCGACCACGATAAAACACCAAACAGTCGCTCAGACGCTGTTTCCAGGCTTCTACGAGGCTTCGAATCGAACTATATTCTGGCATCGCCCAAAACTGACCAACTGTTCCGGCCTTCGTATAGACAATAGAGCGATGGCGCCCGCAATTCTGACTCAGCGCCCAAGGATACTCTGTCTGGACGCATATGACTCGTTTTCCAACAATATAGTCGCACTGGTCGAACAGAATGTGGACGCGGAAGTCGTCAAGATCTTTATCGATGACCCTGTTCTCGCAAAACCGTCAGCTTCTGGGGACTATTCAGCGTTTACCGACTATCTGAAGGGCTTCGATGGCATCATTGCTGGACCAGGACCTGGTTGGGCTAAATGCGACGAGGACGTTGGTTTGATGAAAGAACTTTGGAGACTGCGAGACGAACAGATTGTCCCTGTGCTTGGCATATGTCTCGGCTTCCAATCGCTTTGTCTTGCATTTGGGGCTGATATCGAAAGACTCAACGAGCCAAAGCATGGTATCATCACGGCTATCCTACACAAAAGCCAGTCCATCTTCCGAGGTGTGGAGAGCCTCCTAGCAACCCAGTATCATTCTTTGCAAGTCAAACTCGATCATCCCATCCAAAACAAGCGCGCTGTACGGTATCCTGCACAACTCTGGGAGCCTACGGAAACCTGCCCCCAACTGGAGCCGCTGGCATGGGACTTTGACAGTGATCTTAATGGCGCCGTGCTCATGGGCGTCAAACATATACAGAAGCCATTCTGGGGTGTCCAGTTCCACCCAGAGTCAATCTGCACAAACGATGAGGGCAAGCGCATCATTCGGAATTGGTGGAAAGATGCCCAATCTTGGAACCGGAAACGTATGTTCCGGAACGTTCCCAAGCATGGTTTGATGCCAAACTTGCCGTCTTCGCCAATGACTGCTGATGATTTCCGACGAGAGCTCGGCGTCTATGACGCCAGGAAACAGAGCAAGCGTTCTTACACAGACTTCGTCGCAAAACTCGATAGCGACACAATAACGCCATTTGAGCTTGCTTCGCTCATCGCACACGGAGACGGACAGTCATTACCAGACTTGCCACCGAGCACCGTACATTGCGCAACTACTGGAAGCGGAAGACTTACAGTAGCCGACGCTTGTGAGTTGTTCGAATTGACAAGAGGCGAAGCTATAGTGTTGGAGTCAGGGTTGCAGTCGAATCTGGTGCCTATGGCTGTGGGGACAGGTCGGTACAGCATCATAGGTGTCGTTATTCCCGAGGAAACTCTACGCCTACATTATTACGCAGGCACTCGAAGGATGGAACTCCGAGATGGCAAAGGCCAGGTACATACCGATTGGACTGTATCAGACCCATGGCCCTATGTGAGGGAGGTCATGAAGAGCCTTCAGCCTTCAACCCCGCCAAAGGGCTCAACATGGGCTCCTTTCTGGGGAGGTCTTATGGGCTATGCGTCTTACGAAGCCGGCTTAGAGACAATCGATGTTCATGGTCACAAAGAAGCGTCGTATCCGGACATTTGCTTCGCTTATATAACGCGGAGTATTGTGTTTGACCATCAGTTCAAGAAGATCTATGTCCAGAGTATCCGCGGACCATTCGACCAAGACTGGGTTATTGACACAACGGAGAGACTGTATGAACACGCAGGTTTCAAGTCGCGTGAAACTACTCCAAACTCTGCAGCAATGAGACAGGCGGACCCTTTTGAGGCTCATGGCACAATGCACCAATACATCGATTCATGTGTCCAGCTCACTGTTGGCGAAACCGAGTACTGCAAGAAGGTCAGTGCTTGCCAGGATGCAATAGCAGACGGTCAGAGTTACGAGTTGTGCCTCACGCATCGTAACGAAATCCGTGCTCGCAAGCCAACAGCCTGCAAAATCTCTCACGCGGAGGACAATGAACACTCCTGGAATCTCTACAAGCGCTTGACCGGCCAAAACCCTGCGCCTTTCAGCGCCTACATGAGGATGCACAACGTACACATACTCTGTTCCTCACCAGAACGATACATAAGCTGGGACCGGTCGCAAACTGCACAGTGTCGACCAATAAAGGGAACAGTTCAAAAGAAATCTGGTGTGACTGCTGAGATGGCCCATGCTATCCTCTCATCGTCAAAAGAACGCGCAGAAAATCTCATGATTGTGGATCTTACTCGCCACCAGCTTCATGGCGTATATGGCTCCGAAAACGTCCGAGTAAGCCAGCTCATGGAAGTTGAAGAATACGAAACGCTCTGGCAACTGGTCTCAGTCGTCGATGCAGTGCCTAGCGGAATCTACAAACCCACCACTCCAGAAGATTGGGAAGATCCTGTAGAATATGCTTCCAAGAAACCCGCCAAGCAATCCGTTCCTTACCTAGGGTTCGATGCGTTCGTCGAAAGTCTGCCCCCAGGTAGCATGACTGGCGCACCCAAGAAGCGGTCTTGCGAGATTCTTCAGGATGTCGAAGACGGCGCAAGACGGGGCATATACTCAGGTGTGCTGGGTTATCTCGACGTCGGAGGCGGCGGTGACTTCAACGTCGTCATACGCACTGCTATCAAGATTGACGATGAACAAAGTGAAGAAAAAGGAGACGTCTGGCGTATCGGCGCTGGAGGAGCAGTCACCAGCCAAAGCACTCCACAAGGTGAATTTGAAGAAATGATTGCCAAATTTGGCAGCACTAAGAGAGCCTTCATGCCTTTGCCGCCACCGAAGCCGAAGACAAAGAACAGAAGGGTCGAAATCATTGAGCCTGATGACCCAGAATTTGCGGAGCTGCTGGCGAGCATGAGGGGTGGGGAGGAATTGACGCTTGACGATGCGCAGATCATGTTGAGGGCAGTGGAACGCGAGCTAAGGAGAAGAAACGCTGCTGGAGAGGGTGATGATATTACGGAAGTGGAATGATTGATTTGATAGGAGTTTGGAAGGTCGGAGTTGTTGAGCTTAACCTGTGATACCATGTTTTGAGATAGAGATAGACATTTCTGGTTTCAACACCACTAACAACGATTGCTGTACGCACGAATTCACTTTGAACCCCTTTTTCTGAGACTATATGATACTTCCAAAGGGCGCATGCCTGCTCAAGATGACGAGCCAAAGATAGGCAGGTGCGATGACTAAGCGTGCGATTGGTGGGGAAACGTAGCATCGTCGTGTACCTCTACGTGTAGCATCACGACGCCAACACGCGATTCCACGAGCATAACCGCGATGGCAACCGACGCGCCAGATCCAAGAACTTTTCAGTCATGGGAAGACGCGTTCCAATATCCCATACCCGTCGTCCGTAAGCTCGAACAGCAGCTCCGCAACAATGCCGACGAGAATCGGGAGAAGCTGCGGTCCCTCGTTGGGTAAGAGGCACCAGACAAATACGGGAGGAGCACCAAGAGGCTGACGGGAATACAGGGCGAGTTACCGCAGTCTCCTCGACACGGCCGAAACGATCATCGACATGGAAGTGCGCATGGAGCAGGTCGAAAGTAGACTTTCAAGAGTAGGGCAGAGTTGCAACTCGCGAAGGCTGGACAAGATAACGAGCAATGCGGGCAAGATGGATACCCATACACGGAGTCGCGGTCAGTCTACACAGATGCATTGGGAAGAGATTGTGGGTTGACGGGCAATAGATGCGGAGCGCTATACTTTCGCGTCCCAGCTCTCAGTCATGCGCAATGCGCCGGTGGTCATGACGCGCCTCATGAAAACAGGAGGATCATATCTGCTCATTGCAAAAGTCCTGGTCATCTCGAGACTACTCCACAAGTCGCTGCTCAGTCAGCCCAGCCACAAGGCGCCCATTGTTGATCAGCTGTGGGAGAGACTGCTGTCGGCACGGAGAAAGCTTCTTAGAAGGATTGACAAGCGCCTGTCGAGCACACAAGGCGAGACGGCGAGCCTGGTTGAAAGCATGTGTGCGTATGCGCTTGCGACGAGCTCTACGCCGACCGATGTATTACACCACTTTCACAAGATGCGGCTGGAGAAGATGAACAGCGAGCTTAGGGCTGGGGGCGATGAACTTGCGAAGCATGGTATTAGTGCGCTCAAGCTTTGTATACAGACATGTCTCGATACACAAACCATCTTTCCGCGACGCTTAGCAGAAGCTTTGAGCAAGCTGAAGGCGCACCCGCTGATACAAGACCCCGACATTCGCGGTCTATACGAGCTAAACCTGGACGTACACGATCGATGGCTAGGCGATGAGGCTCGGAACTACACGCCGTGGCCACGACACAACGAGCTGCAGCGGCCGGAAGCAGAGCGCATTCTGCACCGCTGGTCCAAGGATGTCATCGCCGCTTTCCTCAAAGGTATACAGAAAGCATTAGAGCAAGAAGAACGGCTCAAAGAGGTTGCGGACTTGAGACAAGAGTTGATTGAGACTTGGATACTGTCTGGTTCGCGAATGGCGGGTGTTAAGTCAGCCAACGTTCTCGATGATTTACGAGACACGATGAATGACAAGTTGGAGACTATAGTGCGATCACGTACGAATGGGCTACAGGATGTTGTTGCTGAGCTTTCGAATCAGCTGGACGCAGTGTCCTCGTCAGACAAAACCGTGACGCTTTCACTCTGGGACACAACCATCAAAGCATCAGATTTGAGCAATGGTGCGCAAATCTTCAAATCTACCATACTCAACACCTATCAAGGGCGTGACGAGTCCGTTACTCGTGTGACGTCCGCTTTTGACAAGTGGATGGAGTCTGTCTTGGAAGTCAAGAGCATTGTCAAGAGCATGAAAGAAGCACGATGGGACGATACCTTCGCAGATGACGTCGACGATGAATCCGACGATGAGCTTGGAGATTCGAAACAAGCGCTACTTAGTGACGACGATCCGAAGTTGCTTGAAGAAGCTACACAGGAAGCCTTGAGCGAAGCTATGCAGAACCTGAGTCAGAGCTTCAACGCTATCGTCAAGAAACCCAATGGCGAACAACCAACCCAAAAGGCGGCATTTATGCTTCGCGTGGTTAGAGAAATCGGTGATCGGATACCACGTTTAAGACTCCAGGATAAGGCAACACCGCTCGCATCGCCGTTCACTTCTGAAAGCCTTCAGCCTCTGCATACTACGCTCGCTTTGTGTGTTACCCAACCCACCGTAGAGGCTTACAAGGCGTCGCTTTTAGGTTCTCTCAAAGTCAAAACGAACAGCCATATCCTGTGGGAAGGACATCCACCACTACCAAGCCAGCCATCACCTAGCGCGTTTAGATTTTTGCGCACGTTGAACAAGAATATGGGGGCCCTTGGCAGCGATCTTTGGGCACCTGGTAGTGTTCAGGTATTGAGAAGTGGGGTGGCCGACAAAGTAGTCGAAACAGTTCAAGAGCATCTTGACGCCATTGACGTGTATGCGAAAGAGCCGAGCTCTCCTGATGAGGATACGAGCGAGGAAAAGAAGGAAGACGAAAATTCTACAACGACAGATGAGACTGAGAAACCGAAACTCACCGTATCAACGTCGAACCACATTGAGGCAAAAGAGCAGAGAGTCAAGCAGCTACTGTTCGATCTTCTGTATATCCAGCGCTTCGTCAGTAACGCGGGCGAGGACGATGATAGGTTCGCATCGCTTGCTAAGAAGACAAACCTACCGGATCTGGATGAAGGCGCAGTGAACAGGCTGAGGAAGACTGCAGCGGATCATGCGAAGAAGACGTACCTCCTCTTCGCGTTGCTAGCATAGCACATGTCTAGATATGATACTGATAACACAAACTTTTACATTTCCTTCTCGGTCGCTCATCGTACCATGATGTAAGAGCGAATAAGTGGCGTTTCCATCAAATCGTCCGCGGAGGCTTGGGATCGTCGGATAGACTTGCAAGGTGAACGAGTTTCAACAGTCGCAAGCTCCAGGTACAACTCCACTTAGTCTAACGCCACAACGGGTACATTGCAACAACGTCGGATGTAGTAGATGATTTCACAGCAAACTCTGCCATGTGTTCAGCGAGTACTTTGTACCTATGCTAGTCAAGCTATATACCGGAGACTAATGCCGAAAATGTCAACGCCATATATGATGGATATCTCAAGATGAAATGCTCAAGCCCAGCTCCCCGTCCACAAAAGCGTCTTCTGTGACGACAAATACACACGCTCTATCTCCATGTATGACTACGACACATCCATCTTGTCTTCTGTCCTCAGATCCTCGATCTCCTTCCTCAATATCTCAATCTCTTTTTCCTGTGCCTTCATCTTCTCGAGCGCCATTTCAATCAACCTCGCTTTGTTGACCGTCTTCTTCTCTCCCGGCACAGAATCCCCAGGTGGCACACCTTTCCCACTTTTCCCATTACTGGCATCGTCTGTCGAGGTTTTTTCGCTGCCGTCCTCACCATCTTTTCCTCGCATGACAACAAAACACGTAGTGCCACTGCCAAAAGTAACTTCACCATCGAGGAGAAATTCCGCAAGGTCCACCATGGCGTTCTTCATCCTGTCACGGCGCGCCTGTTCTGCGGCGCGGTGGGTGGCGCGCTTCATCATTACGCCTGTGGCCATGGCGGTGCTAAAGTGCAGACCCATCTCTAGGTGTTGGCCAGAAGAGATAAGCTCGTAGTTTGATTTCGAAGCTAGAAGGTCTGCCTGGGGGGTTGTTACACCTCCGGCTCCTGTCATGCGTTAGTGTGCTATCCATGTCCGTCTATTCAAAGCTTCATTAGGACGGATTGGTCACGAGACATGACGACAGAAATGAAAAAGAAGCATACCATTGCTGTCGGCCGGAACGATGCTGCTGCTTCTTCTCGCGATGGCGACCTTGTTTGGTGGCGGTGCGGATGATGCATGTGATATTGAGGAAATCGTACTCGCATTGTCTGTCGCTATTGATGGAGACCTTATTGAAGATACTGTTGGTGATGTGATTGATTGTGTTGCTACTGATGGTGATTTCAAGGGGCGGATAGGATGTATCGGCAACTGCACTGGCTGCTGTTGTGGTTGTATTTGCGGTGGTTGTGTCTGCATCTGTTGTAGGTGTTGCACCTGTTGCTGCTGTTGTTGTTGTTGTTGTTGTTGTTGTTGTTGCTGCTGCTGCTGCTGCTGCTGGGCGCTCTCTCTAACCGGACTATATCTCCTCCTCTTCTTGAACAGCTGTGGCCATGTTCTACTCAGCGGCCCCCGGCCCTCATTCCTGTCGTTATTGGATGGTCCATTGGGCTGTGGATATGGCTGCATCGTTCATCGAACCCCAACACCAAACTCTTCGCGATATATGTGCTACCCAGTAGTTTTCAAAAGGCAGTCGTAGGAACAGTGATAGTAGCAGCGGTAGTACACCAGGGGAGGTATGCCCAACGCGGGCTGAATATGTCAGACTGGGCTACCACGCACAAGACGCGACAAGAACAACGACCAAGTAGTGAGCACGCCGCCAACAAAAACCAGAGCGAAAGTAAAGAATTGACGGGTCCAAGACTCTGGGGACCTTGAGCTTGATTAGCTGAGTTGCGCACGCGCAGCCGTGTTGCAGACGGATAGAGAGCTTGTGCGTAAGCCGTCGAGTTCGGCCTCATCCATGGGTCGAGAGCAGTCGCAGGAAGGCGTAGTAGACGCGCGATCTGGAACAGATTCCGCTCATGCTTGCACGGCGCCGTTAAAAGCAAATGGCGTCCGCAGCGCGAGTGATTGTGAGCGAAGCTTTTGCTTGGCGCAACCCAGAGACGTGGTGTTGTTGCTGACTTGGAGGTACGTGAAGGCGTAGTCGAGCCAACCAAACCTCGCCCCGTGAGCACATGGGCTTGGCGTGTTGACGCATGCTGGTGCGCCCCTGTCTCAAACCTGGAGCGCCGAGTGCTTAGTTGCCACTCTTACTGCTCAAGAGGGTTATCAAGTGACATGCCTTCTATGGCAGGCTCGAGCTTCCGCTGCGGAAGCTACTCCATAGTGCCGCGACGGAGCATCGTTGAGGTCACCTTCTACATCCGGAGTCGTCCATGAAACAGCCGCCATCTTGCATATGAAGCCGGGGGATCAATGAGGGCTGAAGAGGAAGACACGTGTTGGAGATTCACCATGGCAAATGCTGTCTCGGCTTTTGCCGGCATCCGATGCACTCGTCTACCGACAGATGATGATGATGATCGAGGTTGTGCGGCGAAGTAACCTTAATTCTTATCAACCCAGGACGCTACCCCGCGGGGGGATGCTAATCTTATCTGATTGGACATCAAGGTACCTGCCTGTGTGAATATCGATATCAACTTTTCGCATCATGGAATGCGGTACAATGGACGTTTTGTTCTCGTGTATAGAAAGTTACATTTGCTAGAAAGTGCATCTACATCATCGCAACTTAGCGCTACTCCGTGCTGTTCGCTCTACTGACCATCTCGTGACTTTCGTAGCTTTGTTTGCCTTTGGCATGAACTCCAGGCACATACTCCAAGTCCTCATCCTCTAGATCAGTGTCCAAGTCTTCCTCGTTCAGCATTTCTGGGTTGAGTGAAAAGGCGCCCTTTGGGACAAATGTGCTTGTCATGACCAGCACGCAGATTATGGTAAACTGTACGGCGCCTACATTCAGTATAGCCCCGTGAATCTGGTCATTGTGGCGATCCGAAACGCGGTCGATGTATGTACCGAGGGAAGCAGATGCGATTGCGTAAGTGACAATGTATGTGCTATATAGGAACGCCATGACGGCTCCGAGTGCGGATACGTTTTGCGTCTTCGATTCGATGCGTGCTAGCGATGCCTGGATGTATGCGGCCAGCGATACGTCTCCGGCAGCCCACCCAAAACTGATGGGGAGGAATGTGGCTCCTACGATCCAAGCTTGGGCGACATCGTCCTTTGGGGGGTTCCAGTACGGCAGGTACCAAACTATCAGCAAAGCCAGTGCGTCTAGCCGCAGCCATGGTATCGGAGTGTGTACCAAGTTGGTGAACATGAACACGAACAAGGCTCCCAGAAGTTCGCCAAAGTTTGAACCTCCCACTATAATCTGTGACCAGGCCGAGTTGCCAAAGTAGCGTCGTGCTACTGCAGGAGCGATCGCGTTCTCAAGATATCGGTGCGCGTAGAGTGCAACGGCATATCCAGGCAACAGCCAGATAAACTTGCGGTGTGTGAAGATAATCTTAGCACCAGTTCCGATCGACTCGAAAAAAAGGTAGAAGCCGTTTATCACGGCTTTAACATAAGCCGGTTGGCTCTCTGAGATCAAAGACGTATTCTCTTTCGGCATGCTAGCTTCTTGGATGAAGTACCAGAGTATTGATGCGGCGGCGAAAAAGATGGGGGTGATGATGAAGCTGAAGTTGTTGCCGAAGCGAGGAATGAGTGCGAGTGCTGTGCAAAATGCGCCAGCAGTACCGCTAATCTCGTAGAAGATGTGGACTAGAGAGTCCATTCGTCGGAGTTTCTGAATGTGGCCGCCAACCAAATCTCGAGGGATAACTCGTCGGATCAATTCAACCATGCCATAAACTATACCGCAGACGCAATCTGGTGACTGTCAGCAACCATGGAAGAACGTATAAAGCACCAGCTGCCATGTTTGTCTGAATGCCCTCTTGGGCGACAGGCTCAGGCGGCCGACAGCAGGGACGGAAGAACCTGGAAATGGAATCCTTGGACAAACTGAAAGCACAGACTTACAAATAGGTATCATGGCGTCCGTGTTGTAGTCACCGTAGTAACTAAAGTCATCATCCGGCCATCCGCGCGGCGCGAATCTGCCGCCAGTTGCAGCATCCAGAATCAGTAGAAGACTGCTCATGAGGGCGAATATGAGCACTGCGCAAGCCAAAACGTTCTTGGTTGGATATCTTCTGATGAGTGGAGCGATTAGGATTGAACCGACACACTGAAAGGCCTGATTAAGTCCCGTCAACACACCCACACGTTGGAATGTGATGGAAGTATGCGTCTTCTCGCCAAGATCATCGTATCGATTAGTCGCAAGCGCAATAACAGATCCGTTGAAAGCCTCGAGTCCGAACTTGTACATCATTATGCCAGCGATGTACATGGCGATGTTCCTGCGCTCGACAGGCGTGTAGATATTCCATGTTTCCCGAATGACAGCAATAGGCCGGACCATGGTGACAGTCGGAGTATGTAAGGCGCAGTGGTGGTGCTACGGGGAGCAACAGCTAGCCCGCAAATGCGGAGAGACCTGGTTTATACGTCCACGATACCGGAACACTGGTGTTGAAGAATGGACCAATTGAGGGTGAAGGCTATCGCATGCGGTACGCTACCGCTTCCCGTTGAGGTTCAGAGTATGCGACGCCCACATCTGTGACGAGGAGGCATTCCAAAAGCCTTGTCGTTCGCGTTAATTGAAAAGACGGCGTGCGACGTTTGAGAGCCAAGTTGCACGGCATGACCCCAGTCGTGGTGAGGGCTTGGCATCTCCGTCAAAAACTGGCCATTCAGGTGGCCCACGTGGGCTAATACCTGGACCGCCCGGGGTAAGCATCTAAGCCGATAAGAAATGCCAACCTGACCAGTGCGTTGCAGATGGCAAAGCCCCTCACTCAGCTGTAGTGACTGGCGATATGCATGCATTGTATGAGATGTCGCTATACCATCATAAAACGAGCGAGGTATGATGAAGACGAAACCATAATGAGGCGCCTTGCGCATGGTGCATCACGTTTTCTTTCCCTTGACGGTCCGCCAGGTACCGGCAACTGCATCGAAGTGGAGATCTGTAGCCCGCCATTGCAGAACTAGCTCTTAGGCCGCTCATCATCCTGGGTGCGCATCAGTGGAGTAAGATGGTCACGAAGATAGTCAAGTCAAGTCAGTTGGCATGATGTAAAGGGTTCCTGCATTAGAACCAAAAGTCAGGAGGCTCGTTTAAAGAATGGTCTGTCCAAGTCAGTCTAGGGACAGACTAAGCGCTAGAAGACAAAGCTGACCTGCCTGTGCCTGAAGCTTCCGCATCAGTGATGGGCATTTTTTGTCTTTGGTACTCGAGCCTTGTCGTAGATACGCAAGAGACGAGTGTATGAGTGTTGGCCGTTACGGGCATCATCTTACGTTTCTAGAGGCGACGCACAGTGGCAGTTGTGGGTATCAGAATGTTCATCACGCCAGATAGCCAACCCGCAGGACCTCAGTCGGAGTCGCCCTCGTCGTAGCGCCTAGCTTCCTTGGCTTTGGCAGTCCTCTCCTCGTCATCGGCCTCCCTCTTGGCTAGACTATCGCGCATCCTCTCCTCTTGCTTCCTCCAGTGACTTCCTTCTTCATAGTCTGCACTAATGCCCAGTGCCTTCCGCAGCCTCTCGCTCTCCTCCGCTTTCGCTTTGGCAAGGTCGTGAACTTGGTGCGACTTCAAGCGCCTCGCGTTTGGACCAAGATCTCTGCCGTCTTTGCGCTCTTGATCTAGCTTGCGACGCAGGCCTTCGCATTGGTCATCGATTTCGTCTTCGTCGACGCCTTCATCCTCAAGCTTGTCGCGCAGCTCGAGGACCTTGACTTCAATGTCGCGCTTTGCCTCGTGTTCGAGGATCTCGGCGTCTGGTTGTCGGGGGCGGTGTTTGGCCGATTCCCAGTCCTTGGGATACGGCTGAGCTTTGTCGCGTGGCCGAAGGAGGGATCGGTTCTTCTGGACGTAACCCGAGGTACCGCTACCTCTGGGTGTAGTGAGACCTACGTTGTCGGCCATGATGCGTGGTGGGTGGAGGGTGAAGGTGAGTGTTGAGTTGGGGCGAGTGTTGCTGGCGCGAGAGTGATGATGGATCAGGGCTGGTTTGCGGAGAGTTCGGAGGTGAGGTCCAAGCGCAACCATCGAATCGCTTGCCCCACCAAAACTTTCCCTTGGTACCGCGAAGACTCACCTAGAGATGGAGTCATTATTTCTGGATATCTATCCTTGGGGCGCAAGATTTCATCTTTTCTCCTCACACAAGCCCCAACCACCATGAGCACACAAGACACGACAAGCGACGACGCCACCTCTGCACCAGTAGAGGTGGGGTATCGAGAGCTGCCCTTCCCACCAGTCACTAAGGACCACATCTTGAACTGCTCCTACCACAAATGGCATCCGAAGTTGGCATCCCCCTCTCAAGAGTTTGCACGTTTCTGACATCAACAGATACCGTGCCATAACACCAAAAGCGCGTCTGATTCCTCTCCCGTCTGCCTTCCTCGACTACCTTCGCTCAGATGGCATCATCCTACCCCCCGAGGAAACCGACGACCCTTCATGGTCGGACAACGACAGCGGCATCTTCTCAGGCGCTGACAACAACGATGCTGATGAAGACGAGAGTCCAGACCCAAGCGCGCACTGGCGCGATACACACGAGGCCATCGAGCGTACTATTGAGGAGCTGGGCGGCAAAGTTGCGCCAAAGTTGAACTGGAGTGCGCCCAAAGATGCGACCTGGATAGCCGCGACAAACAGCATGGAATGCCGTACACCCAACGATATCTATCTACTGCTGAAGAGCAGCGACTTCGTCACCCACGATTTGGCGCACGCCTTTGACGACACAGCCGACCAGTCTACGACGCCAGACCCAGAGATTCCTTACCACCTCGTCTTAAGAAAGTGGATCACACTCAACCCCAGTGTCGAGTTTCGATGTTTTGTGCGGAACCGACGGCTGATCGCCCTTTGCCAGCGGGATCTGAACCACTTTGACTTCTTGTTCAACATGCAGGACAAGCTACGCGATACCATTCAAGACTTGTTCGATGCGAAACTGCGAGACACCTTTCCCGACCCAAACTTTACCTTTGACGTTTACGTGCCGCCACCGCACGACAAGGTCTGGGTGGTCGACTTCAACCCGTGGGCTGTGCGGACTGACCCTCTCATCTTCTCGTGGATGGAACTCCTTACTATGGAGGTACCCGATGCACCTTCGTCCCAAGAGACGACTGTGCGTCTGAAGATGGCTCAACCAGGAGATGAGAGCGTGCCGATCAAGGCAAGTGATGATAACACAGAGGAAGACCAAGATACCGACGATGATGATGACGACATTGAGGAACTATGGCAGCCAGAGTTCCGGCTCATAAGGAAAGACGATCCGGAGGCTTACGGCTTCTCGACGCCACAGTACAGTGCGCACAAGCTCCCCAAGGACGTCGTGGATGCAAGCAGTGGCGGAGAAGGTCAACTGCGAGAGTTTGCGATGCAGTGGGAACAAGCGCAGAAGTTGGCTGAGCAACAAAGAGCCGAGGACAGTGAGGACGATTGAGCTAAAGGGACTACCGTAGCGTAATCGAAGAGTCATAACTGCATACATCTTGGCGTAAACAAACAGCCGTTTGCAAAAACATGATTGGGCATTCGTGACATATGGCCCTGAGCAGTGGCCAGCCTCGTCGCGTGAGGCTCTTGGCCCGCCACCGTGACTCGCTCATGCAGGGCATCTGTGTGTTTCACCGCTCTACACCCCACATCCATGATTCGTCCATATCCCATCTTCGATCTTTCTCACCCAACCTTACAACAACACGTAGCTCGAAGTATTTTGTTTATGCTCTTGGTATGCTTCTGATGCAATAAATTCTGCTGAACGACTATACTTTTGAACAACCTTGAAGATCGCAAATTTCCTGCAACCACAACATGAGTGTTTCAGACAGCAGTTATAGCGGTTTCTTATCGTTACCTACCGAGATACGATGCCAGATCTACGAGTACCTCCTCACCGAAGAACACGCGATCACAGTCAGTGCTGGCTACACTACGTGCTTTGGCAATAGAGTCCAGGATCGCGCACGCAAAACCGAAATCCCCGGTCTACCACTTGATCTCGCGCCGCTGGCACGACGCTATTACGATCCGTCTATCCTCTCGGTCGCGAAACCCCCAACGGTTCCTGTTGACAATGGGCATATGGACAATATTGAAGGCGAGAGACTGGGCTTCTCCGCTCCGGTGGCGCTGTTGTTGACTTCTCGATTGATCAATGACGAATTGACCGATTGCACGCGAAGACGAAGCCATATCGCGCAGGCGCGTTCCACAATTGATGCCGATGGTGTGATACAAGACGATGGAGAAAATCAAGAAGGATTATCACTCTACGTGTCTTATCCATACGGTGTCTTGGTGTTGAAGAAACAGTACCCATACCTCTTGAAACAAGCGCGAAGAGTCTACATCTCTGGTTATTACACCCCTCGCCCGGAAAACGGGCTTGATCCTCCAAATCCAGACATGAGCGATGATGAACGCTTGACGCCATCTACTAGTTTCGCCGTATCATCCTTCAACGCCCCGGCGTCAGGACCATCCACAAGCTTCACCCGGTCTGCTAGTAACCCTTCGACACGATCAGCTCGCCACGGCGTCTCAATCAATCCCACACGTCCGCGCCTCCGCCTTGACCCTCCACTCGCCCGCGAGTCCCGACACTCAGACAACGTGCCTCGGATATTCCCGTCCTTCTCCACGTCCACGTCGAACGAAGCTCCAGCGGCCCTCGCTCACCTCATCGCCACACTCTTCCCTAAACATACGACGCCCCTTGCAAAACTCACAACACACATTCTGTTTCCTGGGGAAAACTCCTACGGCTCCGTCTGGGGTGATGACAACAGCCCTGTCTCGCACATCCTACGTAGTATACGCGGCGGCAAGATTGCTATGAAGGTCATGCGGGGCAGTTTGGCGACAGGACTCGAGTTGACGGCTAGGCCAAAGCCCGAGACCAGAATAGTTAGCACGAGTTGGGTGAATTGGAAGAAGGGCGATATCGCTGGGAGAGGCGGAGCGATGAACATGAGGAGGGCAGGTGGCAGGCTGAGTGTAAGTGATTTGGATGCGTTCCTGATGGGCAAGGAGGAGTCGTAGGGTCATAGTTTGGTTGAGACTCAAAGGGAAGGGAAGATTCTGCTAGGCTGACACGGTTGCTGCGTGCTGGCCATTGCTTATACGATTCTATGTACAGTATATTACGCTCAAATTTGCATGTACGTCTAATCGAGCGCTTCGCCAGACTATGTAGATAGTCTGTTGGGGCTTGGCACGCTTCATCATTTCTGGGAACACTTCTTCTACCCTCTCGTGGCTACAAACAACTTTTCCGATTGTTGGCTCTCCAGCAGTGTATAGTTCATTGAAGTTGTCCCTGAAATTCTCTACTTTACATGTAACAGTAGAGCGATATCTTAGTCAGTACTCGGAGGAGCTTCAACAACGGGAGAACGTGCCGTCTGTGTGTCGCCAGTTGAGGTACCTGCTGTGGTTTCTAAGGCGAGACAAGCGTGTTCGTCGAGGTGCTGTGTTCACAGTGAAAACAAGCCCGGATATCTCGATTATATTGACGAGATGAGTTGATATGGATTCGAAGAAGGCACCATCGGTCTTGGTTTAGGCCCCAAATAGCCGTTCAACTACCAGCTCATCCACCGGACAGATCCCGGAATACCGATGGCAAGGTCTCGCGCATCCGAAAACTCGACTTTGACAGTACGGTCACTATTTTCCGGATGAGTTAGGTAGAATGCAATGATGCGTAGATGCTCCGGCACTTCTAGATCTTGATTCAGGTCGTGCTCGGGTAAACCTAGCTCAGATCGCGTTCGTTCTTGCTCCAGCCGCAAAGCCTCTTCTGCGATCTGGCCTGCAAGCATACCATCCCAAAACCCCTCTCTTCTCGGATGGCTTAGCATGAGCCGTACAGCGCGTTTCCGCAACACCTGACAAGACGAAGGTGCGCGAACTGCTATGAGCCAGAGCGCAGACGTTGGTCCCACTGGGGCTTGGAATATTGGTGTCAGAGCACCTGATAGTGGCAGAAGCTTGGCAGCGAGTTCGAAGATGCGTACAAACTGTGCGGCGACATCGAAGGGCTGTTTAAATGGCCCATGAGCTTGCTTAAAGTTACCCAAACAGGGGAATTTGACTACCAGGTCAGACCTAGGAACACGCAAGAGGTACTCCATCTGAGCTTGCGTGAGCTCCAGAGCGGTGAGAGGTTGGAGAAAGTCGTCGCCGAAAGCAGGTGTTTGTTTCCAGAGATGTTCCATAACGGCCGCGCCTCGATGGAAACGCATGATGAGTTCGGTCTGTTCGTTATATACCTCGTCGATTTCATCCTCTGGGCGCAGCTTAGTCCTCTGGTTAAATGCGTGGATGCTGTTCATCAAGCTCTGCGTATGTCCTAGCATCGCATGAAGTGAAGACATGTTCAAAGTATGAGTTGGTGAGGCGCTCAAGGTTTTTGTCTTGGGCTTTGCAACCCATGTGCGCGAAAGGTGCGTGGGCATTATCGCCCTGATTTGCGTGTCGAATCCCACAAAGATAGTGCGCAAGGACTCCAGTTCTATCGGGTGACCAAACTTCTCGTTTTCGTCTTCGTCTGCCTCGTTCAACATCCGTATGCCACTACGTACGTGCTCAATTGCGTCTCTTTGGTAGCCTTGGAGGCAGCACATGCTAGTGAACAGGATAGCACACGTCATAAGGGTGACCTTATCCGTTCGAGCTACCTTCTCGTTTGATTTCTGTTTTCTCAATAGATCCTGGATCGCTTGATTTGATTGCCGCAGAGCAAATTGCAAGTACCTGTCCAGCATGGCAGATTCCTTGAGGTGCGAGTCGCTGCCTTCGGAGAAGCGTCGATACATGGCACCCAGAGCAATGATGCAGTGCTGAATTGCAGGTTCATGGTGAGCAGCCTGAAGCAATTCTCGCTGCCAAAAAGGCGAGTCAAGAAATCCGCGCAGGTTCGATACAGCGTAGGAAGTGAAGAACTCGAAGCTCTCCCGTTCCTCTTTGCTGTTAAGCCGCATGGCTGGCGCAATGAATACTGGCGATCCAGCTCGTGTAACGCTCCAGCTTGACCCAGAGTGAGGCGAGCCTCGTGATGAGTCCGGTGGAGAGGGTGTTGATGATTGCGCAGGCCTGAAATTTGGGTCGTAGCCATCGCACGTACGGCCTGTTGAAGTGCATCGCCTGCAGTGCGGCTTCTCTTCATCACACTTGACTTTGCGTATTCTGTACAGATCAGCAAACGGCCATCGAATACGCAGCATTGCAGAAGGAACAAATGATATTGCTCCACGTGCAGAGTTCGATGACACCTACTGGTGGCACCGTTCATACTTCCATGATAAGTTGTCGCGTCGATGTTCAACTTTCGATCTGGTTGTTGCGGGATCTTGGGCTGAAAAACCGCGAGAAACGGACCCAACTCCTGATGTAGAGCCAGTCGTACCGTATTTATGAGAACTTGCGCGCCCCTTGGCGCAATCACTTACTTGCACGTCTTGCAACCTGAGCGGGCTTTAGGTTTCCAAGCCCTTTGGCGTGGTTTACCGGACACGGTTGCCGCAGTAGTCATAGCGATTGGGGCAAGTGATCTGACCAATGAAAGAAGACCCAACGAAACCGAGTGTACGAGCGAGCAAGTAGCAAGTGTCGGGTCGAAGGATCTTACGATCGCGCAAATGACATCGACGGTTTACAAGCTGTTTTTGAGGCTGCATGAAATTATGCGGCATTGCGGCGCGGTCGTCTAAATGGTTAGGCCACAGTGACATTGACTGCGGGCCTTAAGCCAACGGCTATTATTATCGAACATACCCAATCAGCATACAGTCCGACAAGGGTTATGATCCTTCCGGGCGTAACAGGACGAGAAAATTCGACGGAAAAGCATCCATCTGGACGTTAGTGAACCGTTATTATTAGATCGAAACGTTGTCTACAGTGATCGATGTGGGATCTGTCCCTCGTTCGGGTATGCTGTACAGGCCGAAGAAGTGGGAGCGACCGAATCCCAGAGTTTCGGGGTTTTGTATCGCCCGTCAAAAAAGATCTTTAACACGCATTGACATTGGCTGCCGCTATCTATATGTCGAACGAAGCCTTTTCACTGGCATGATAGTCATCAATCAGTATGTCGTCGCATGGACGACTGAGCATTCTAATAACGCTACTTAGAAATTCCGCCAAAATTTCTGTACAAAACCTTGCTTCCCCTGCAGCCCAGTATCTGAATCTCCCTGCAGGTATTCGTCCCTCATGTCCAAGTCCTTTCTCATGCCTGTGTCAAGATCTACCTCTTGACTTCTTCTAAATCTCGTCTTGAACAGAATTTTGTACCCCACAAACATAATTACGAACACTGGTAGCATAATGTAGGCGTCGACGAATGTACCCGCATCAAACGGACTCAGTGTGGTCCAGCCCTGCACAAGCGCAAGGAAGACATTAGCGCATACTCCAAAGTAGGCGTTGGCTGGATAGGCGAACGACTTGAACGGTAACATGTCGGGAGTTCGGCCTTGTGCTTTCCAAGCTTTCCGGAAACGGATGTGTGTGAAAGAGATAGAGCCCCAAACAAGGAAGGTAGAGACACCGGACAGATTGACGATATAGGAGTACGCTTGACCTCCTCCGGTGCTAACGTTCATCATGGATATCGCGCCGAACAAGTTCGTGAAGACAATCGCATAAACCGGCACTCCACGGCTATTCGTCTTCCCCAAGAACTTGGGCGCCATCTTTTCTTGTGCCATGAAGAGTATTGTTCGAGACCCAATATAGATTGAGGAGTTGGCAGCGCTCAGGACTGTAATGAAGATGAAAGCATTGATAAGATGCACACCTCCTTCCCACCCAGCGTTTTGCAGCGCTATAGTCATGGGACTCTTGAGTGCACGGCTGGCTCCGTTTGCTAGCCCGTCCGCGTTTGATGGGCAAGTGAGACCAAAGAAGAAAGCAACTCCAATGTACACGAAAAGGATTCGCCAAATTACTTGTCGGATTGCCAGCGGTACGGCTACCGAAGGGTTCCTGGTCTCTGTAGCAGCCACAGCAACTGCCTCAACACCGGCATAAAAAGTTGAAGCAAATACGAACACCGTAGCTACTCCGCGGAAACCATCGACCCACGGACCAGGATCATGCCAATACCGGAACCCGAGTGCTTCGTTCTGCCCAATGAGGCCACCAGAAGCGTAGATGATGGCAAAGATGAAGTAGGCGCAAAGACCTGCAAGCTTGACGAGGGCAAGCCAGAACTCTGCCTCGCCAAAAGATTCCACGCCCAACATCTGAAAGCCTAGGAATGCGAACCAGAAGATCAGAAAATAGCCCCAGAGAGGTACTTGTGGACCCCAGAAGACCAGAATCGAGGAGACGACATTGTACTCGTTGGCTAGCACGCACGCCCAGACCAGCCAGTACTGCCACCCCACTGCTACTCCGAAGGCCTTGTCGACGAACCGATCGGAAAGTGTAACGAAAGCACCGCCTGTTGGGTACAATGTTGTCATTTCTCCCAGGGATTGCGTGATGCTGAACGCTATGAATCCGATGACACAGAAAGCTATGAGCAGAGACGCTGGACCTCCTTCTCCTAATGCTCCACCAGTGCCGACAAGTATACCGGGTCCAATAATTCCAGCGAGCGCCATCATAGATAGATGTCGAGTTTTGAGACCTCGCTTGACTCCGCTAGGATCGATCCGGTTGAAATCATTGTCATTGAAACTTGCCGTGGGTGACGGGTGCTCAGCGTGAGCTTTCGAGTCGAAGATGGCCATGTCGAACCGGAAGATGGTGGTCAGGAAGATAGACGCTCAAAACTAGGCATGTCATCATTATAAGCGAATTCCTAGTCTTGAACTTGGCGTGGGAACGGTTGATCTCTGACGAATAGTGATAGACTACGGCTTGGTGCATGTTGCGATTTTCATAGTGGATTGCGCGATAAGATGGTCTAAGTGTCTCTACGGCGGAATCGCGAAATTCGCATCTGAAAGTATCATCTTCGAGACTCTCAATCACCGTGTCTCACCTCCGAATAACCTAGAAACTGTTGCTGTGTTTGGTGCTTGTACTGGAGCAGGATCGCAATCGGGTGGCGGGGGCGTACGGTAGAATAGCAGTTAAGATAAGCTTGGTCCACCTTGGGCTTAGCTTACTGGATTTTCGATCCTTCACGTAGGCGGCACTTCTCTCGGCAAAATACCTATCCCAAATCCACTAATCGTGACCAACGACAACGGTTACCACGAAATGGGATTTCCTTAGTCGCATAATCCTGCAATGGAAAGAATCGGTAATCCCTAGTGCGTCTCATTGCAGCATCATCAAGCAATCTATCTGTCACGACTTGCAGCAAAATGAGCTGAACAAGGCTCAGTCACGATTGTGGATTTGTTTGTCAAGGAAGCCGTTGTTACCATTCGTAATCCTCTACAGAACCCATTACCCATATGTACCCAGATTTCTTTATCTATCATCCATCGTTGACACTGAACCAGTCAGGCCTTTATTAACATTGAGGTAAAGTAGTACTCCCACCCAGCTCGTTGGAACAACCAGCTTAGTTCCTGCCACCAATCTCCATGCGCTTCTTGAGCCTGTAGGCGATGGCCCTCTTCCTGGCAGCGGCACCCTGTGTGAAAGCAACAGATCCACCAAAGGGTCCGGCAGCAGCACCGTTGCGAACGCGCATGACACAAACATTGTTGACACCAGCGACAGTCGCGTCGCATGTCATGCCTGCCGGCATCTGCACCTTCATCGCGAACTCGGTGTTGGTGGCGAGAGAGATACCTTGAACACCGAGGCCAGGAACGTCCTGAGTGACGGTAGCAGGCTGCATAGCGGCCTCGTCAGTACCTCCTGAGGTACCGTCGACATCGGCAGTGAATGGCCCAGCACCATCCTGGTTGATCTAAAACGACTTCGTTAGACAAAGCTGTACAAGAGTAGGACTCAAAAGCTTACCTGTCTAAGGGTCATCGTGACGGTGCCGTCATCAGCACATGTGGGTAGACCGCTCGATGCCCCCTGTCCTACTGCGGCCGCTACGCGTGCCTCTGGTGGGCCGTTGACCTTGTCACCACCCCCGCCAAGCAGTCCAGCGATACCAGTGGCACCAGCACCGCCACCAGCACCGCCAGCGCCTCCACCAAGAAGACCACCGAGGAACTGACGCTTCTGGCCGGGCTGTTGAATGTTGTCCTCGACACCAACACTTCCAGAGGCACCGTTGTTCGCAGGGGGTGCAGCACCCTGTCCCATGAAAGCACCAACCATAACGGCAGCATCGACTATGCCGTTACCCTGTGTACGACCAAGAGGACCTGCCTTGCCGCTCGCAATTTCTCTGTCCCTGATGATGGCAGTATCGGCTTGAGATCCGCAGCCGCTGGAAGTTTGGTTAGTTGTTTCTACTAAACATCATTGGTGTTCAAACCTACTTGCTAGAGCAGTCACGAGGGGTGCCGTCTTGGATGGTCAAGCCTGGCATAGTGACACCATTGGCGCCCTTAACCTCGGTGACCACACCATGAGCAGAAACAGCAGCCGCAAGGGCGAGCATGAGTGCTGGTGAGAAATGCATTTTGTATGTGTGTATGTGAAGTTGAGATCAACTCGGTGGATTAGAAGGTTTTGCTTGGAAAGAGAAGACGAAGAGCGAGAAGCACCAGGCTAATCAAGAAGGAAGTATTAATAGGGAAGTTGAGAAATGGAAGCTGATGATGATTGTAGACTCGACTTCCATAGGTCGTCTTATACATTTGGTTCCTCGTCCTTTGTTGACGATCTACTTCGCATCGTATTCTCCATTGGGATATTAGCCGCCCACCCCACCCCGCTCGTCATTGGCATCCCAAGGTCAGTATGGAGACATGCCAGCTCTTGTATCAAGACGCGTTTTCGAAGGTCTTCCGGCAAGGCCAACTGTGCTTGGCTGCGGTGAGGCGTTTCTCTCAGATGCTTGGCCATGGCGGAATGCCGAATTCCCAGGCGTCGAGAGGTGTCAACGTTCCAACCGCCAGTTTCGTCTGCGCCTGGGGATGAAGGCTAAAGGCGCCAAGGCGAAAACCCTCAATGCAAGAAGGGTGATTCGCGAAACGCTGTACTCGGAGCTGCGGCATTCTACTAAACAAGCAAACACACCTGCGTTTCACACAATAATACATTAGATTATTAACCTATGGGAATTCTTGCGTCACGTAAATTTGTCAACTCCCGCTGAAGGCCATGATGAGTAGTATTACATCTTTAGTGCATGAGAGCTTCACTACAGCGGCAATCGTACTTTGGTATCGTTCTTGGAACTTGTACAGAGAAGGGTTTCTCCACACGGTATGCATGACATGTCAGACCAAAAACGATTGAACCCGAACATACAAAACAACCAACTCAAATCATAAGTTTCCAATTACTCGATTCTATCCTGTTCAGCATCAGCTTAGGCGAATTTTAGTGTCCGCGATCCACCCGTGGGTGCATGATGTTGCAGGGCTTGTCGCCACTAGTGTTTCACCAAACAATACAGTAGATCTTCAAACATGTACTGCCTGTTCCTAAAACCCAAGACCTAGCAACATATGCGACGGATGCTGCAATCCGAGGCTGTGATGGTTGGTAAGTGGACGAGTCGAGGTGTCGATGGGAATGTGGAGCAACCAGAATGTGGCAGGTGGGGCGAATGTTGATCTCATAGGCTCACCTAGAGTAATAGCGGTCCATGCGAAAATCGTGAAGCTGCGGAATATGCTAACTGCGCCAAACAACTGGGCACTTTCAGTACATGCCGAACAATGGGCTCAAAGGTCGCATAAGTTTAAAAGAGCAAACCAATACCTTGATCCAAATTCGCCATCACATTTGAAGCTGGCTTACGGCTCTCTCAAAGTACTCAAAATATACAGAAGAAACCGAGGGCCAATTGAAGACCAACTTGTTCTTTAGTCAAATGTAGGCATCTAAGTGCAGTAAAAGTGAAGCAACGCATCTCGAATGCGAGTATTCGCTGCTTGGAGACATTCCAATTGTTATCGACACCGACGCCATATACACAGCCTTGTATTGACGAGAACTCCGTTCAATGGTATATACCCAATAATCATCACCACATTAGTTTTTCCGTCCCGAACGTTCCAACCCAGTCAAACAAAATAGGTACCTTTTTACTCCAAACCCGTCCCCCTTCTACCTAAAGTGGGTCGTCCTCCGCTAACGCTCCCCCTATGCATCCTTGACGCTCCACCACCATGCATCATATCCAAATCCACTGGCGTCCCAGCACCAAGCGCAAAACCATACGCCTCTGCACCCTGCCCTGCGAAAACCCCATCGTCACCTAGACCGTGTTGAGGCGGCGGTTCCACGTTGAATGGCACGAAGTAACTGCTCATCGGATCAAAGAAATTGTTATTGTTAGCGCTGGCACCCAGACCCATGGCATCGAGATTCCAGAAAGCATTATTGAAGTCGGTGGCTAGGTCGGGGAAGGGGGAGAGATTTGTAGGATCCATCTGGTGTGCGTGCGAAGGGTGTATCATTGTTGGTGAGGTATTGATGAGTGGAAGAGAAGGATGGTGAGCATGTTGTTGATGCGCGTGGTGGGAACCAGCGAAATCAGCGAGAAACTGCTGGGGAGAGGTATGTTGCTGTTGTTGGGCAAAGAGAGCAGCAGGGTCGTAGCCAGCGGCGATGGCAGCGTCTATTGCGTCTTGCGAGGCCATGTTCATTTGGTTCATTTGCTGTTGTGCTTGCAAGCGAGCAGTATGACTCTGTTGAGCTTGACTATTCTGCCGTTGTAGTCGTGGCATATCTTGGTTGTTCGACGAAGCAAGATCGGGTTTCGAGATTGATTTTGATTTGTTTTTGCGCGCCTGCTTGCGCTGTTGATCAGATTTTGATGGTGGAGATAAAGATGCGAAGAACTCTTCCACACTCTGTAGATCGCTTTTATGTCCCAGGACGGCATCAGTACCTGGCTCATTTGGGTTTGACTCAGCCGCATCTTCATAGTCGGTTTTCGAGACACCGTGTGGGTATCTATCGAACCAATCACCATACTGAAAGATGCTACCTTTCTTCTTGTCGCCGGTCGCGTTCGGCCCCTTCAGCTGCGCATCGGCATGTTGACGATACAGCTCCTTGAGGTTTTCTGCAATGTAATGGAACATGCCCCAGTACTTCTTCATCTTTGTCAGGTACTTGACATTGTATGCCAAATACTTCTTCGATTGCGCTTCCAGCTTTGGGTTCTTCGAGAACACGCCGTGAACATGGACGGTCGAAGAGAAGAAGGCCGAGTAGCCTGCAAATGGTGCGACGACGTTGTGATCCATGGCTTCGTTGATGAGCATCGAGATCTGGTTCGCAGCGTCGAGCGCAGAGCGAGCAGACTCTGTGAGGAAGTCATGTGGCATATCCTTCGGTGGTCTGCTACCTGCCGTCGAAGGCAACGCGAATCTATGCATGAACAGCATGATCTGTTGCCATAAGATATGAAGATACAAAAACGAGTTCGCTGTCTTGCCAATAGCATGACTTTTGAGGTTCTCAGGGTTGTAAACAAGCATCTCAGGTAATGCCGCCTTGAAATCCTTCGCCTCCTTCTTGATAGCATGGAAGGTCGAACCGGAAGACCACATAGGTTCTGCTTCGCGTTCTTTCCCCCCCAAGTTCATGTACTTAATAAGCTTACCCCAGATGCATACCAAACGTATGGTGTACGCTGAGACGCCCATATTGTCGCGCGGATTCGCCAATTGACCGCTGTCAGGTGGAACGGGATTCGGCACAGCGCCTTCCAGATTTTCTGTTGGTGCGTGTATTTCGTGTACGTACAGATGCTCTTTGACTGGTAGCTGTACTTCGATGTACTGCTCGTGTACAAAGAGTGGTCTATCGGTACCGGAGGAGTTGAATCGGTCCATCAGGAAGCAAGACCACATGGTCCGCCGCCGTATTTCTCGATCCGTAGCGCTCAAGGGTTTCCTGTCGGACTCGTTGACGAGCGGGTCGTATTCGTTCTCCTTGTGCAGTTGCAGTGCATATGCCATTCTTTGCGCCATACCACCAAACATCCAACTCCGTCCACCTTGACAAGTGCCAAACTCATGAAGTCCAAGTAATAAGTAGACTATCAAGATGGTAATGTTGGGTGCATCGTATCGCTTCAGCGCAATCTCGCGTGCCCGCTCAGCCCAGCTGTCGCCCCGTAAGAAACATGGCTCTGTGCGTAGCTGTGGGTGGTTTGAAAATCGTGCTGAGATGGCGCACATTGCTAGTATTAGTACTGGAGGAACCTTTGCAGTTGCGAGCCTTCGCATGAAGCTTGGCTTATGGAGGAGGGGGTAGCTTTGTCCATACACATAATCGAAATATACCTCAGCCAAATGTTCCTGTATCTCTTTTGACGGCAAGCTTTCCGCTCCTTCTGTTAAGAGTTTGCTCTCATCTGACTCCTTGCCACGAGACGTCGAACCAGCCGTATCTGGGTCTGCGACTTTTGCTTTTGACCATTCGTCCAACTCGTTACCGAAAGCTTCTTCCGCGGCACGCTTCTTCGTGGTGGGTGTCTTGGGTGGTGCGCTGGGGATAGCTGGCTTAACGACAGACCTGCCCACATTCGCAACAGAAGGTAAGCTTTCTTTCGGTATCAGCTTGATGACACGATCTTCCATGCGCTTCAGTCTCTTGTCCAACATGGCCATGTAATCGGTTCTCGGGGCTGCCTTCCTGGTAGTGACCTTGTAAACACATGGTATCCGACTCCTCAGACAGTGTTTGCAGGCTGGCTTCTCGCCTGAGCAGCGGATTTTCTTCCTGCGACATGCGATGCAAGCAAGTGGAAGCCGTTTCCTCTCCTTGCCAGCCTTTGTTTTCATCTCGCTCCAAAGCGGTGGATCTTGCGTGTCATCCTTACTCCTGCGCGATGTCGTCGAATGGTCTGTGCCGTCGTTGCCACTGAGCTTCATGGCCAAGGCCGAAGCTTCGTTCATGGGATCAATGGCGAGCATGCCCATGGCAGGCGCGCTCTCCGGACTGGTATTGTTTCCGTCGCGGCCGGGGCTCCCTCCAATGCTCATCCGATTTGGATGCGCACTCCCGCCGCCACTCATACCTTCTTCACTCATATTGCCAACACTGCCTCTGTGATCCGCATATCCAGCCTCAATTTTTGGTTGTATCCCATCGAAATTGGAACCGAATCCTTGGCCTTGCGCAAATGTCATGTCGAAGTCGGAGAATGAGCCCATGACGTTGGTAGGGCTGATTGCGGTCGCGTTTGGGGAAGCTCGAAGCTCAGGCAGGCCGTATTCGGCCAAAATCAGTGAATCGTCGTTGTCGAAGCGCGCGTGCGAGGGAGTGGCTAAAGAGGTTGCGGTCGCGCCGGAGTCGGCCATGTTCTCGACGACTGCCTGCCGTCTTTTGTGCTGTTGGGTAGCGCCGAGGCAGTCAGTCTTACATCAGGTCCCAAACTTCAAGATCAGAACAAATGGTTCACATGCGCCTGCATCTCAACCCCCCAAACAACATTTCAGGCGTATCCAGGCGTCGAGACGTCCAAACGTCGTGTGCTTGGATCGGAACGCCGGCCGAAGAAAGGGAAATGGTAAGCTCCGACTTCTCCACAGGATAGTCACGGCCCTTGCTTGGAGACCAGTGGGGGCGCTAGTCTCTATATCAAAGCGCAGGCTGTCTATGTGGGGAGGAGGACAGCACGCGAGAAGGGAGCGAAAAAGCAGCGAGCAACAGGCGGGCACAACTCGGGGCTGAAAGAGACAAGAAACGAGGTATGATGACGGTGGGTGATGTATCAACGCCTTGCACAAGGTGGCTGCTGCGGCCTATCCCTCCGCCGGTACTATGGCTGCATTCCCCATGTCGCCTGCACAAGGGACGGCACCAGAGCCATGTAATGGCGCCTTCACGATTCGCACGCTTGCAGCTTGCCTCCCGTCGAGGTCCGATTAATCCACGATCAAGCTTGTCGGCCCACTCAAGTCACTGGCCGCAGGTTGGCCGATGCAAGCCACATAATCCTGCCCCTTCCCCACATGGCAATCCTTGCAGTTCGAGACCTGTTGCTGATTATTCAGACATCACAAAGCAGTTTGCGATGCCTTCCAAGCCGCGAGCGGACAATGATCGTCGCCTGGGCTTCTGCGCTGCCTATCTTCATACAACCTTATGAGGCGTTTCATAAGCACATATATCTTGTATAACTCGATGCGGGCTTTTGCATATCATGCGGATGTCTCCGTGGAGACGGGCGCTCTGTGGCTGGCAACTTTGACGGCGGGACCCGTCGTGTGCCAGGTGGTCGCTATTTTGCGGGGCGCCCGCCCTGTTCAACGTTACGACACGTTAGACGCACGCGAGGTATATGAGTTCTTCATTGCGCCTCTATATGATCCATATGTCCTATTTTCCGATTCGATCACTTGTATCCAATCTCCGACGCCGCCTTCTCGCGCAAAACGGTGCGCCAGTCGCTTAGGCCTGATGCCACGATGCTGCCTGGACCTGTACGGTGGGTGCATCACGAGGGTTGTGCACAATGATTACTACGTAACTTGGGCGAGTGGACCGTTTGCAAAGTAGGCGACGCGACCACCACCACCACCGGAAGAATGCGTTTCAGTAATAGATGCGCTTACATATATGCTGGCGGTTGGGATCAGAGATGGGCGCCTGTCGACTTTTGGAGTAGGTGCGTCATCGATTTGGAGACACCAACCCCCTGCACCCAGTTTTGATGTTACGGACTGAACCATGACAGGCCTTCTAGCTGGCTTCGGGGAGCACAGTCCTGGAATCGCTCGATGATTTGAGATAACCGTCTTTCCTGGTTCGTAATTCCATTTGTCCTGGCTGGCCGCTCTTCTCCACTTAATCCTTGCATGCCATTCTTACAATATGAGTGGCTGATTTATCCATATTCCTTCAACATCTCGTGCTGTATACTTGACCACTCGTATATCACAGCGAACACATCAGATATAGACGCAAGGTCGTCCCCTCAATTCACGACTGATCCGCTCGCCCGCTGCCTTTCGTCCCAAGTACGAGATATGATATGCATGCAAAGCCGTGAGAGTCGCATACAACATTACCCGAGGCTATGCACACTTCAGTAGCGAAAGAATGGGGCAACCATTTGTACAATCATACGCGACGACCGATCAACTAAATCAGGTCTATGAATCTTAAAGATGGCAAGTATAGCGGTATCGTGGTACTGGGTGTTCTTCGAGTAACCACAAGTGCTAGCCTAACCACTTGTCACAACAATAACTACCCGCTCACAACCTCTCGCACAATCCTGAAACAGGAACAAAGAGTGACATGTTTTATTTCTTCCGTTGAAAAGCACCCAGAACTCTAGCACAAAGGAAGGAGCGACAGCGACTATGCAAAAGCAAGTACTGCGAATGTGCATCTTTTCCCTCTTCCTCCTCAACCACCTGTTACCTTCAATAGCCGGTTTTGCGTAAGTGTCAGTCTAGTTCGTCTTGGCGATTTCAGTCTCAGCAACGCCGTGATAGGCACCATAAGCTGAATAAGGGCTGTACGTAAGGCATGTCAGATTGTGTGCTCGCGAGCAATGGATGATGGCTGAAGCTTGACGGAGAGTGCGCATGGAAAGACGTGAGAGTGGGGAGAGAGAAGCAGCAAGCTTACTTGTACGACTTGTACCAGGAATCACCAGCAGCCTGCACTTCCTTGGGCATGTCGCGTTTTACACTGCTGCTCGCAATAATATCCATCACCTCTTTGGGCATGCTCAGCATATGGCGCTTAGCCATGTTTGCATCCATCTTCTTGGCCTCGGTTTCCACCGCAGCAGAGTAGGGAGTGTATGTTTCGTAGCAAGAATATCCACGCTTGGTCATGGACGCCTTTTCGGCTTCAGCTTCGACAGCGGCAGAGTAAGGAGTGTATGTCTCGTAGCAGGAATAACCTCGCCTTTCCATGTCATCTTTCGCTGCCACAGCCTCCACTTCTGATGGATAGGGGTCGTAGGTAGTGTAGTAGACGCCATATTGTGCGTAGCTTTCCACTACGGGTTGTGTGTCGTCTCGCTTCATGTTTGCAGCCTCTGATCCTTTTAGGTGGTTAGAAATGTCCTGATGTATAATGGGAATGAGTATGGGATGCACCTTGCTGCATCTTGGCAGCTTCTGCTTCGATTGCAGAGGAGTACGGCCCGTAAGAGTAGTATGGGTGGTATCCGGCATATTTGGTGTAGTCTTTATCCTGAGCCTGGTGCATCTCGCTATCGCTGATCTTTTCGAGTGGCGCAGCTACCGTCAGGGTGACGAGGCCCACGAGGACGATGACGAGATGCATGACGGAAGATGATCGGATGGATAAGTACTGAGTGTGTCAATGGATCTCTGAAAGCGGATCTCAAGGGAAGGTCAAAGATGACTGCCTGTCCTCAACACTGGAGTCACCCTTTTGTACATGTCATTTGCGGTTGACATTGAGCACAACCTCAATGCATGTGTCGACTGTAGCGCACATGGCGTAAGGTTCCATCTGTATGCACGTAATATTGTGTTTGTTCACATCTATCGTAAGCATAGAGAAGTCGCACACACGGAGTAGCTTGCGCAGATGCAATGAAGGTGTTGCGTCGGGTTGCGCAGAGGTGAGTTTGGCACAGAGATGTTAGCCCCGAGTTCCGTGAAGCCAGGGTTGAAATGCTCTCTGTAGTGCTAGCTGAATCGATGTCCTGCAAACGAGACAAGTGTTACCGGTGATGATAGCTATTGATTGGATAGTAGAATCCGGGAAATGAGGGTAGTTGTGTATCGTTGCTATGAAGTCAGCGTTATATGCCTAGACTCAGTCGCAGCAGCTAGTTCAGAGTACAGGCTTGCTCATTGCAAACTCAACTTATGTCTAGCGCCGAACTTCTCTGGACCATGAGAGGGTGAAGTAAGTCATTCAGTCAAAGTTTGCTAGTGTTGAGATACCTTTACGCAGATTCTTCAATAGTGCCGTACCATGGTAACGAGTGAGGTAACAGATGCTCCAATGAAATAGACTGAGTTTTGTTAACGTCAATTATGAACATATAATAGGATCAGGTACTGCGAGAAAAGTGACGAATCGCTTTTCGCATCACACGACTAACGTGTTTGACATGTCTGACGGCCATCACAGTGTTACTACTTGTCATACACGGCTAAAATTGCTGTACTAACGTCTAATTTGCACCGACTGTAGTACTTGAGAGATTATAGGGGGGACGAAATTGAAGAGCCTTGCACTCCTCGCTGCAAGTACATATCTGTCTCGTTCTTGTCTTCCAGTCTTATCGTTCTTGATCGATGCCCGGAACTAGGACGTGTGCATCTACTGTACAGTCCCGTCATGTTCGACATCCTTCGTAACCGTCCTCGGCACGAGCGTCTGTTGCAGCGCGACTCGGAGAGCCACGATGACGACACTCTTTTGCCCGGCTCATCCTCGTCAACATCATTGACTCTGAAGTCCCAAGCAAACGAACGATCGAGTCGCGATGTACAAGTCGCAGTCAGAACTCTTATAGCGTGTACTATCGTGTATGTTGGCGCAGCGATGTGGATAGCCTTCACAGTGAATGGATCAAATTTGATAACCGACCCGGATGACTTTTGCATTCACCATGTTTCACGATACTGTATGTAACAGACGAACGAAGACGAAAAAGGACACTAACAGAGACAGCTCCGGTTGTCAGAGATGTGCAACCGAATTGGCATACGCAACTGTTCAACGGGAGCTTCCTTCACCAGAACGCATTTCGGCAGCCGGCAGGCCCGGAGGTCGACGCTGCATGGGATGCGTTGGGCGTGAATTATCGAAGCGTGGTGATAGCCGAAGACGAAGCTAAACGGACGGGGCTGCGCCACGATCAAGTCAAAGTCAGCCAAGAGTATGGTGGTGGCTTCCCAGCTAACGTCGAAGGCCTTCATCACCTACACTGCCTGGTAAGCAGCAGAAGCGGTCCACTGATAACATGTCACTGAAATTTGAAGAACCTCCTCCGCAAGACACTGCATTGGAATTTTGACTACTACAAGTCTCAAAAGAAGGGCCCTTTCATCAACAGCGAGTACATTGTGCGCTTACACACGACACACTGCCTGGATATCCTGAGGCAGGTTCTGCAGTGCAATCCAGAGTAAGTATCCCTATGCGAACTACATGTGAGACATGTACTGACTTGGTACACCCACGTTCAGTGTCGGGGTGCTTGGTCAAGTGTGGTGGCAGGCTGACACTGAGCCAAACCCAACGCCGTTTGTGGACTTCAACACGAAGCATCGATGCCGAGATTTTGCGGCGGTTCGAGAGTGGGCGGAAGCGCACCAGCTTCCGCCAGAGACAGAGGTGAACATGAGCCGGTTCTACGAGATGCCGAAGCCGGGAGACTTCATCTTTCCTGAGATCCCATGAGGGAGCGCAGACGCTGGGTGTGTCAGTGGACTGGGCGAGCAGTGCTTTGTCGTCTATAATAGTATGCTCCATGTCTTGCTCAGTTCTGGCGAGGCTTGACGACGCCATCGTGCACGATGTAGTAGACAACTGTACTGTCCGTATCTACCGATGCCAATAATACGCGCTTGGTTGTCCTCCATGGATTGCTCGGGCGTTCCCCTACTGTGGTTGACGAGTCTGGAGTAGGCGGTACCATAGTGAGGGCATCGAAGGTTTGGGCCAATCCACGCAGCGTCCATTTCTCATTCAGCCTTGTGGGTAGTATCCATTCGCGCTCAGGCTCTGCCTTGACCTCCAAACCACCTGCCTCCCCCTCGGCGCGCGCCTTCCTTTCGCGGTCGGCCTTCTTCAGTAGCTCAACCTGCTCATCGGGGTGGACGTAGAGGCGCTGCGGGGGAAGCCCAGAGACCAGCGGGCGGGGAAGAGGCTCGTGGGTAGTCGGTGAGTGCGTGTGTACGTGGAGGTCGGACCAATAGTGCTGGTACTGGAGGTTGTGCAGTATCTGGCGGGCGAGCGATATCTCATTCGGAAGGTGGCTTGACCCTGCGGCTGACTCGGCACCCGTTGATACGAAAGTCTGCAGCGGGGATGGCGCGATGGCATGTTTCATATCTGGTCTTACGGAAAACGTCGTCATGATGGAGGCTGGGCGCGGAGTCGTGCTGGGGGTTTATTGGTGGTGCAAGGTTGCGCACGGCGTTGGGGGGGGAGAGGAAGCTACTCGGTTGCGGAAGGAGCGAAGATCTTGAAAGACACCCCACCAGTCATATGAGGGCAGCCGAGCAACTATGGGAAGCGGCGACGCGGCCTAGGCAACAGACAACACACATTCTTATACCTTGCCCACGGTGACTGCTTTCATGTCAAGACTCCTTCGAACTTGTTGAGGAACGTTCAACCCCGGTATCATCTTCAAGAAGCCGTCATCATGCTCGCAGCATTCTCCATCCCCACACTACTACTTCTGGCTAGCGTTGCCGTAGCTCAAGAAGAGACGCCCTCTGTCGCGACCTCGCCATTCGTCAGTCCCACGCCCGAGTCGGAGGCAATCTTTACCATTCAGACCTCTGCTGATCCGGACCCATGGTCTTGCTATATGGACTGCGTGCAGCCTCCGTGCCCGCCATGTAAGCAGATACCTTCTCTTCAACGCAGTCTGGCACAAGCCTAATCTTGGTAGGTACCGGCAGCATGATGAGCATCCCTCCCGTTACAGAAACAGAGTCTGTCGGCTCAATCAGCCCTGTCCCTATGCCTAGCGTAACAGACGTATCGATTCCACCCGTTACAGAGTCTGTCGTTACAACTCCCGTTCCTATGCCCAGTGCAACGGACGTGTCAATCCCCCCTCAAGAGTCTAGTGGTGTCATGTCGATTCCGGCGGGCGAGACACCTGAGCCTAGCCCTTCTTCGAGCGGCAGCTCGGACGCGAGTGCAACTAGCTCTGGTTTACCAGAGCAGACGACGAATGCTGCCGCGCCCTTGGCCATGGGTCACGAATTCCCAATCGCGGTCGCTATCGCTGGCGCTCTGGCTTTCCTGTAAGTATGGAGCTTGGGTTAAGGGGTAGTCTGAAGGGTATTGGAGCTTGTCCAGACTAGCATTCTGTGCCATGATCGCGTTGGGTCGCGTCGGAGCCACTCCGGTCGGCAAAACTCAGCGTATGCGAACAAATGGGTTGCTGTGGGGGTAGCATTCGAGCAAAAAGCTACTAAATACAAAATATAAACGAACAAACAGCATTGCACAAATTTCATGAGTTATCTCGCAAGTCTAACCTTGACGCGTTCACAGAGATGGCATGATGTGTGGCGAAGCACCTCTACGCGTATTCGTATACTAGAGAGCGATCTAGCGGGTGGCTTGACGCTGCACGTCAGTGGGTCTGGGGTTGGCAGGAGCCGCTTCGGCGACAATCTAGGCCACTTCCTTCCCATCACGCTGGTGTCAACAACTATAAGGAATCCCACATTCGCAACCATGTCGTTGATGATACAACTCCTGTTATTCTTCGAAGCAGGTTTCGTACCAATACGCATATACCATCCCAAGTGATATTAGACGAAAAGCAAGGATCCCGCCAAGGCACTGTATCATTGCCAACCATACCAGCGATCAACCACCTTGGCTGACACGTTGAGCCGCACACAATCTTGAACTGGGCAACTCCCCTACAAAACAGGCGCAAACACGCGACCTGCGTCTAGCAACCATGGCTTCTCAGAATAGTAGCATACCAACGCCGGTGCCGTTCCCTCAGCCCGAAGGCCTTCGCAGCCCCAACGCATCGAGCCCTACTGTAGAGTCACCCTCTACAACGACGCGCGAACGCACCTCGACCAATGCCTCGACCGTCTCGAATAGAATTCGTACTGCGACTGGAAAACTTATGGACGTGAACCCTCCGCCTGGTATGTGGGCAGCCACGGGAACTACAGCCGCTAAAGCCCCCTCGCTATCAGACATCCGAAAGGGCTCTTTTGGTTCTGATGGATGGAATGAGGATACACAACGCAAGAGAGCAAGCTCACGAGCAAGTCAGGCCGAACAGCGGTCGCGTACTTCCACCAATGTCGCGTCCCCTACCGAGCAATCTGAGCGCCCGTACTTCGGTGGTCAGCGCAAGGTCTCTTCGAGCAATGCGTTGACCACAGAGCCGTTTCCTGCCTTAACTGAAGAGGATACACGGCAAGCAGCGGGGTACGATGGACATGACGAGCATGTTGCGGCCGGCGTGCAATCGAAGCATAGTTCCGAAACTGGGACAGAACACCTCGACGATGACAGACCGCATCAGCCAAAAAGAACCTCTTCAGGCCATGTACGTCTTCTCCTGCTCTCTCATACATGTTCGTGCTAACAGTCGGACAGTACGCCAACGGCTACATACCACCTCCTAAGCTGCCATGGACCCAGTCGTTTATGATCGGTCTCAAAAGCTTCTGGAAGTGGTTCCTGACTCCCGCCGGATTTCTCATTACACTTTACAGCCTAAACGTTGTCGCTTGGGGCGGCATGCTCTTCCTCCTTCTTTGCAACGCCGCACCTGCCATGTGTACACCTACCTGTGACGACATCAACTCTCCGCGCAGGAAGTGGGTCGAGTACGACTCACAGATCTTGAACGCACTCTTCTGCGTTACAGGATTTGGTCTAGCACCTTGGCGTTTCCGTGATCTATACTATTGGGCATGTTGGAGGATTGGTGGATCGAAGCGCAAAGAGATGGGCATTCGACGCCTTGCTGGGATACATCGGGGATGGTTTCGACTTCCGGGCTCAGATCGGTTGCCTGACGGAGCAGATGCGACCGTTGTCGATCCCGAAGATCCAGCTGTACCAATACCCGTCAAGGCGATCCCAGACCCACCCCCCACGGCGATTCGCGCGCCGCCCACTAAGAGTTGGAAGATGGATTTCGTCATTTGGAATAATGTATGGAACACTTTTTTCCAGATCGTTCTGTGCTTCTACATGTGGCACTACAACCGCATTGAGAGGCCGTCATGGGCTACTGGCCTCTTCGTTGCGCTAGGCTGCATAGTGGCAGGTATTGCAGGCATCATGATGTGGCACGAAGGCAAGAACGTTAAGAAGGTCGAAGGCGTGCCTATGCGCAGGGATTATGGGCTTCAGCAAGACGATGCTGAAGCGCAGAACATCCCGCTTGTGACTACGGGCGTGGCGACGAAGTCCTGAGAAATTTGCCCAGCTGCTTGCATTGTATAGGCAGAGTCTCGTTGAAAACGCTCATTGGAGCGGGAGTTTGCTCTTTCTTGCTTGGCGTTTGGTTAGTGTGGCGTTGCGTCAAGCACAATCTGGTAAACACATTTTCATCATGATCAAGATACCCAGCCCACGGGCACTATATCTACCAATACCTTAGCGTAACCACAAATTCCTTCCGAGTCAAAGCTTTCGAATTGTTTTTGTATCACGTCAGCTGTCTATTGCGCAACCGAAACTCATGGACGTTTCTCTCCGGATTTTGCCATAGGTCTGCCTTCTGTGAGCCTCGCGCCGACAAGCTAGCCGAGCTCCCCGGACAGGCCGAGCTGCATGCTAAGCAACCCAAAGTAGATCCGTTGATCAAATGACGTATGAACAGCGTATCTTGTATGGACTGGTGACAGATGCACGCGCTCTTGGTATTTATCTAGCCAAGGCCTTGTGATCTTATCATCTCTTACGGTTTGCAACATCTCCTAAGACATACATCTAATACCATCTGTCATACCATTATTTTCGCCTCCCGACAGTGACAAACCTCTTTGGAAGAAATCTCCAAACACCACAAGAGATGGCGGCTCAAGAATATTACCTTGGAACGCAGGCTGCGCAAGAACTGCCAGGCAGTCACCCACCACACCCATATTCATCTCAGCCACAGAAGCCGCCACAATATCAACAACCACCTGCGCAACATTACCCGCAACCAAATGTTCATAATCCTTCGTATGCGAATACGCCCCCTCCGTCCTATTCAGCATACTCTCAGCAACCGCAGCAACAACCACATGGTTATCCACCTCAACAACAATACCAGCCTTACCCTGAGAAGAACGCTCAAGCCATGACAGCGCCATACCCACAAACACCACCGGCAGGCTACTTCCCTCATCAGCAGCCGATGCCACAACCACAGCAAGCACCCCCTCAAAACAACGGTTACTTGGGCGCTCCCCTCCAACACCACAGAAGCCACTCGCAACCTGCACGTGTGCGCTTCGCAGACCAAGACTCAGATCGCAGCACAAGTCTAGGCTCCATATCCGATTCCGACGAGTATTCTCCGCCCCGCCACAGCAGCAGCAGACACCATGGTCGACACCGCAGTCACTCAACCCGCGACTACGATTCCGACCGCGACCGTAGCGACCGCAGCGACCGCGATCGCGACCACCGTAGACACAAGCCTAGGAAAACCCACTCATATGACAAAGCACATGAAGAGAAGCATAAAAACAGAGATACCTTCCTCGGCGCAGGTGCAGGCACCATCATCGGAGACGCGATTTTCCCTGGGTTGGGCACTGCAGCGGGGCTAGTGCTAGGTGGATATGGTGGTCGGAAGTACGCTGACACGAGGAGCAAGAGTGATTATGACGGAAGAAGTAAGGAAAGGAGGAGCCATGGAGGTAGTAGGAGGTTGGGGGATGACGGATGGGATGAAAAGACCAGGACGTATCGCAAGGGTGCTGCAGTGCGATGATGATGACGATGACGATTATGATCCAACGTTTTTACTACGAGATTATGCCTTGCTTTCTTTTTATTTAGTTTACAGATGATAGTGTAAGGCGTTTTGTTTGGTTTGCTGGCTGCTGGTCAGCGACATCTTGACGACTAGGATAGTAATTTTCAACCTCTCTCTACACTTTGGACTATTCCTTGTGAGACGTATAATAAACATTATATAATTGGCATGTTCGTCTTCGATCGCTCGAGAGCGATAGCGCTACATGCTCCTCTACGTATCTTCAAGATTCCGGCGCACGTCTTCAATCGTCCTTGCGATAGCGTTGCAACCCTTTCTCTCCTACCCTTAAGCCTATGCGGATGTATGTCTTTGACCGACTGCGCGGTAGCATTCCATCCTCCTACCCAATACTTTACTCTTGCGTGAATGTATGTCTTCAACCGATCTCGCGGTAGCATTCCATCCCAAGTTTTCTTTTACAAATACATAACAAAAATGTAACGGATGCACGTCTTCAACCGCAGCATACGGTAGCGTCACATCCACCCTTTCCATCCCCTTAAAAGTCCGAACAAGGACCTTCTAATAGATACCGGGAACGATCCTCCACGGAACAAGCTCGACATAGCGGTCCCAGTCTTTGCCGTACTTTCTGCGGCACTTCTCCTCGTCGCGACGCTCGCGGTGAATGAGCAGGATGGCAAAGTACACCATGAAGAAATAGGTGAAGATCATACCCCAGCCCTTAGCCTCGCCAGGCACGGCGTACTTGCCGTAGCTGTCTTTGAAAAAGTACGCATCGGTTTGAGTGGCAGTGATGGGAGACTGTGCAGCGTTCTTGATGAGGTAACCAGACATCGCGGTAGGAAGGACGTAACTCCAGCTCATGAACCAATCACCGAGGTAGTTGATGTGACGCGCCATACCCCACCAGCCACTGACAAGAAGTCTCGAACCTGCAGCAGTCTCAATGTACTTGAGGTGCTTGACACGCGGGTCCTCGGGGTTGGTCCTGAAACGGTTCTTCTCGTTGTTGACCGAGCGGAAAATGTAGTAGCCAATACCCTGGACGGCCAGCACGCCAACAACTCCCATGGGGCCAAGATCAACTGGGTAGATGGATAGGTAGCGAGTCTGAATAGAGTACGTGAAAGGGACCCAAACAAGATCGCCAAAGGAAAGCATCATACCGAAGCCATCAGCGATGAGGTCGATGGTGGTAAGGATAGCGGGTTCCATGTACAGCGCATCGAAGGTGTAAACAGTGTGGGCGACGGTGACGATAATGATGCTGTCAGTGACGCGGCCAAAATTGCGGTATTGCTGCATGATGAAAGCGAGGTCGAGGATGATCCAACCAAGCATACCCGGGCGAAGCTCGCACCAAGCCTTGATATCTACCTCGCCAAAGATGGGCAGGTTGATACGGGGGTTCAGCTCACGTCCGATGAACCAGTCGTAGAGCATGTTACCGGTACGGCCACCAGCAGCAAGTTCGCGCATGTTGGGATCCTTGGGATGCTTGACACTAAAAGAAGCGACGTAGCAGTAAGTGGCCAAGAAGTAGGAGATGAGGATGTTGCTTGTCAGGATGCCGACGTAGTTGTCAGTGATGAAGGTCCAGACGGGAAACTCCGCACCGTGGGAGATGGTGCCAGCGGCAAGGAGAGTCATGATGAAGATGGCAGAGTTCCAGGCTGTGTCTTATTAGCTTTGAGGAAAGAAAATTCCTATGGGATGCACATACCGTTGAACCTGTACATGAGCCTACCACCACTCCTGAGCTCCGTTCCCTCGACTTCCTGGCCTGGAAGGAATCGATAAAGAGCCAGACTCAAGAAGTAGTAACCTAAGGTACCAAGAAAAGCTTGCGTGTTAAGCAGACCAGCGAAGCCAGGCCATCCTACCTCCTTCTTCAGCTGTTCAAGGCTGAAGCTGTGCGGGTGCAGTAGAACAGGGGCTGGGCATCCAGAGATGTCATTGCACAGGAATGTGAAGACATAGACCAAAACCGGAAGACCGAAGGAGATGATGAAAGCTCCAGGGCTGGAATGTGGTTAGCGCTGTGGTCGTCAAGGCTCGCAGCATGCGTGGACAAACTTACGGTCCTAGAAACTCGTAGCCATGAGGTTCCTCGGCGATGGACTTGGTCGCCTTGTCAGTCTTTGCTTTCGACATGTTTTTGGTTAGGCCTTGTCGCGTTCTTTGCGCGGTTAAAGTCGCAAAGCAAGCAAGGAAGGTCGACGAATAGGGGTCCGGTCGCGTCTTCACAACAAGGGTGCCTTCTCTCAATTCTTGTCTTCACCGATGGTGATTGTCGCGCCGCCTGAAGCAAAGACGACTACGGATGCAGTGTTCTATATAGCGATGAGTGAGGCTGAGCACATCAGACGATGGGAAAGATGTCGGAATGCATTGCAGCCGTAATGACGCGCACACGCTGTCTTGGCCAGCCTAACCCCTTTGGGCCTTACCGCCCGAGGTTCCTGCCGCTGCAAGGCACCCAGACATGGGGGCGCGGCGCCGGAAGCCAACGTGTTGCGAACATGAACAATCGTATCATCTCCACCTCCACCGTCACCACGCCTCGACCCTCGCATTGCGTAGTGCGCCAATCATCAACTACGCGATGATATCCCTAATCTACTCTCTCCTGCTTCTGGCAGCGTCGGGCTCATTCGCAGCGGCCGCCTCGGACAAACAGCTCAAGCCATGTACCGTCATCTCGCCCACATCCGAGCGCTTCTTCGACCTAAACCCCATGCGGCGCCTTCCACCATCGGAATCAGATGGCAAGAAGAACAGCAAGAAGGAGGGCGACGAGGGCAGCTGGCATGCCAAGGGCTACGATTACAATGCCAACTTCACAATCAACTTCTGTGGACCGGTAGTTGAGGAGTTGGACAAGGTGGAGGATCTAGACAAGGGACTGTGGAAGAACGTCAGTGCATTTTACGAGAGAGGAGACAAGCAATGGGCGATAGGGTGAGTCTGCATTCTATACGGCGGGGAAAGATGGAGGGGTCTCAGTCGAGATGCTTGATCGCGACCAGGCAGGAACATTTACTGAGGCGCAATGCTAACGACTTACAACCTTCAGTCTCGAGAACTCAGAGCCCATCTTCCGCGGTCGTAAACTTATTCTCAATTACACCGGTGGCTCGCTCTGCCCCTCTCTGTCCTCCAAGTCCAAGCGCACGCTCGAACCCACCTCTCTCGACACCCGCGAGATCATCGACGGCGACGACGACGACGACGATAAAGATGGCGGCGAAAAGAAGAAATCCAAGAAAGATGCCGAGCGTCGCAAGACCACCATCATCTCTCTGCTGTGTGACAATGACCCGCTTGCGAAAACTAGTGTATCCTTCGTCGCTGCAGTAGACGACTGCTCATACTTCTTCGAGGGCCGCTCACCCTTCGCGTGCGGTGGTGTACATCAGGACACCCAAGCTCTAGGCCCTGGTGGTGTCTTTGGTGTCATTGTATTGATCGCCGTGCTCGTATACTTTGCTGGTGGTTGCGTCTACCAGCGCACAGTCATGCACCAGCGCGGATGGAGACAGCTGCCCAACTACGCCATGTGGGCAGGTATCTGGCGCTTCTTCTCTGTAAGTCTACTCCGATGTTGTCGTAGAAGGAGTAGTAGTAGCGCCCGGTGGTGATGACACATTTACAAATGTCTTGTTGGTGTTGCTGACGTCGTGAAGGACATGTTCATCATTCTTACTTCCTCGTGTGCCCGCTTTATGCCTTCCCGCCGGGGCTACAGCCGCGTCTCGCTTGGCCAGGACAGTGGGCGAAGAGGACGCAGGAACGAAGACGAGGATAGGTTGATAGACAACCTGGATGAGGAGTGGGACGATTAGACGGGGCAGTATGTTGGTAAACGGCATAACGACGCGGCGTTTTGGGGTTTGGTAATGGACAATTAGTCGCTCAGGAGCGCATAAACGATAGACTAGTAGCATACTTGGTCTAAAAGTACAGCATGCAGCATTCACTGCTTGGGATCACATTCACAAGTGCACAAGCCGTCAAAAAGATTAGTCAAGAGATGCATCGGTAACATACTACTACAGGATGGGCATCTCTCTGGCCGGCCAACGAACGAAAGCTCGTCAGTGGCCAAAGCTGACATTGAACATACCAGAGAAGCACCGATTGAAATGGCAGGGAAGATTTCTAGTCTGCTCCCTGAACACTCATCGAAAGAGCATACTTTCCAGCACTCCTCGCATGAGACCGCAACTCGTAAAATTGAAACCCATCGGATCAACTCGCCGATATGTGAACTGATATCCATTTTGGACGCCCGCTCAAGAAATCGACACACGCCAGGGGTATGATGCAGCGGACTGAAAGCAGTAAGGTCACTGATAGCTAACATGCCGCTATGTTGCCATAGCTGCGAGACCATCTACGTCTCATCATCAATGTCCTCAACTGTGGCACGTAGATTAGCATGCTTCGTGCCCGTGTCGTCCTTCTGCTTCTTAGCAGATGGCTGGGTGTTCGTTGAATCTGCTCCATCGACAGCATCCTCAACAGATTCATCAGTAAAATCGAAGATACTCCGGGTTTCTTGCGCATTGAAGTTGCTGCGCTCTTCTCGTTGACTGCACGCGTCATTCGTCTTCATAGCCTCATCTCGTGAAGTGTCCGCATTGGCGATGGGCTCGAACTGCGCACTGACGCCCTCCAAGATCTCTCTGACCTTTGATCTGAGCTCACTATCTTCCTTCGACTGCAAATAAATGGGCTGGCTACCATTCACATCACCCAACACCCGAGTGTAGTCCCTGTTCATAAGAACAAGGATCTCATCGGCTTTGGCCTCCATGGACTCTTGCAGCGCTTTGCACAAGTCGTCGAGATGCTTGACCACAGTTTCGAGCACTTCACGAAACATCTTGTGTCGCTCTTGATCAACGTAGTTTGCCATATGCTCTTTCATGCGCTTGTATTGTCCTGAACCAGACTCATCGGCGCACGCGCTGTAGGCGGAATGCATAACTTTTGCGATACAGGGTGTGAAATCGCGGTTTGCTTCACGCTGGAGCTCCGTCATTTGGATAAGAAGGGCACCTCCAAGATCTTTGAAGAGCTGTCCAAAGTTGCTGATTTGTGTCTCTAAGATTGGGAGGTTGGCCAAAGTGACACCCTTGGTTTTCATGTACTCTTTGATAGCTTCGTGGAACCCATATAGAAGCGTGCTTGAGTTTTTGATGTACGTGTCAACGACTTTCGGGAGACGCGCCTGGAAGGCTCGTTCCCAGCCTGTTGCCAATTTTATCTTGATAGGACTCACAAGATCAGCGTTGAAATCACGATGACCGGCGGCTGCAGACTGGAAAACACCGTCGCGTCGAACAACAGCCTTGTATGATGAATACATCAGACCACCTTGGTCCTTGTGACCCCAAGCATATGCTGTTGCTGGCGCAGTATGTATAGCTTCATGGATGAGCTCTGGAAGCTTGTCAAAGATTTGAGACTGCAACTCTGATCGCATCTCTCTGACGCAAGTACGAATTGCTGCCTCCAATCCGTTTGTCAACTCGTTGAGCCTCTGTTGTAAGTGAATGACCTGCTTTTGGGTCTCTTCTCTTGTCATCTGTAGGCCTGATCCGTCATCCGAAGTCCAGAGGCTGAATGTGTTCAGCATCTGGCATACGGTCGTCAAAAACGCGCGACTAGTCTGAATGCGCCCACCTTCAGTAAGCTTTCTACAGTGAGCTTGGAGCTGCGGAACTTCCGTGTCTTGCGGATCGACGAACCCTGGCACTCCGTCATCTTTCTGCATGCGACCGCACATCTTCTGGTACGCTCTGCTACTGACACAGAAGACTGGAAGCGACCTAGCAACCTCGTCGTAATCGCGCATTTCTACTTCAGGGTCAAAATTGTCCTCGTCTTCCTCGGCTGCGTTTTCTTGGTCGATTTCCTTGATGCCTGTGGCGAAGTCTCGCTGAATAGCGGACCTGGAGTAATGGTTTCTGCCCGCAATACAGATACGAGTAATGCTTGCTTTGATCTCAGCCTTTTTTGCTTCCAGTTCACGAATTCGAGGCTCTAACTCGTCGATAGAGCGCTTGATCTGCCTCTCTTCATGTCTAGCGTTCTTCTGCGTTTCCCTTAACTCTTTGAGCTTTTCCTTGATGTCAGCCTTGGATAGACGTGTTCTCTCGGCCTGGAACATCACTTCATCGTCACTCTCAGACTCATTGTGATCGGTGTCTTGAATACCGTCGTCTGTATGGTCATCTGTATGGTCATCTGTATGGTCATCTATATCGTCATCGAGAACCCGTTTCTTCTTGCGTGGTTGCTTGCTTGAGTCAGCCCTATTGCGTTTGTGGGTCTTCGGCAGCGGTGTGAACACTGGGTTCCCCTCCTCCAATTCTTCTAGTAGTGTTTCCCAGAGCTCAATGTCCTCGCTTGCACTTGTAATTGCAAGCTTATAGACCTCTCGCGATTCAATGTAATCTGCAGTCTTGCTCTGGATCTGCTTAATCTGCTCGTTGTATTGGTCTTGTTGTTCCTCAAACTCTGTGGCTTGTTCCCCGAGTCCGAGACTGTCAATTGCCTCAGTAATAGAAATGTCGTCAGTTTTGGAACATATGAATGTAATGCTCGAAATGCCGCCATCATATTTAAGCTGTCGTTTGAATGAGTCTCCGAGAAGGGTCTTGGCAGCCTTGTCGTCGACGGCCCGATTGATAGGGGCAACAATCCATAGGCCAGTGCATTGCTTCATATATCTCTGAGCAACAGCAGCTCTTGCAGCGTTGCTGTCATGGACACCTGGTAGATCCACAATTACGGCGCCTGTTGATAGGGCACCGCTCTTCGTATAGATCTTCACGACCTTGATCAACGGCCAATACTCCATCTGAATAGCTGACTTGGATGCCTTTTCCTTGCTCTTGTCTTTCTTGGAAATCTTCTCTTTGCTGTCAACATAACCCTGGAGTTTCTGGTAGAAGTTTTGCGATCCGGCTGCGTGGATCTTCTTCGTCGTCCCGAGTACCTCGACAATAGCTCGCTCGGACATCAGCGAAGGGACATCGCACGCGCCCAAAGCATCCTTGGAAATCGAGGGATAGACAGAATGAAACTTCGCCCATGCCTAGAAGGTACGTGTACGGAGTCAGTGTATGTCTCACATGCAGTTCTCACAAGGATGTTCCTTACTATGCCAGCATCGGAATTGGGATCTTGCGCTTCACGCGAAAGTGTACCCTTCTCGGATAGAAACTCGCGCAAGAGAACCGTAAGTTCCTTCTCCCATTCCGCCCGGCTGATGAACTCGATCTCGGCTCGGTACTTGAATGATGGGTCGTTGCTGTTGTTCCACGACATTTCAGTTACCACTGCAGTGCAAGCGCGCATACAATTCGTCGGGACAAGACGCTCTTCGTCAAGCATAGCGTTGATGACACTGCTTTTTCCAGCTCCTGTATTACCTACCACACCGACCACAGTGCGCTTTCGCTCCGACTGAGGAAGAACATTCTCAATAGCTTGTACCCACGAAGTAGCCTCTGCGCTAGAGGTTGAGTATCGAGAGAAGTTCTCATTTAGTTGCGCCAGGATCTTGAGGGATATGGAGACACCAGCCTCCAGGGCGTCAGGATTCTGGAGTTCGATGACTGAGCGAAGGGAACGATCGATAGAACCTAATTCTTCTCTACTACTCGATCCTGGGGAGACCTCCCTTTTGAATAGTTTGCTAGGTTCAAAGCTATTCTCTGGCTCAACACTTCCATTTTGAAGAACTAATGTATTCCGAAAAGAAGCAGAAGATTGTCTTTCTTTCTGAATGTGAGCGTTGTCACTCATTGCCGTTGAATGCTCAATCTTGACAGTAGGTGTTCCGCTGTCCATGCCTGCAGCAATAGTTTCCAGCGAGTTTGTCTCGCGGAATGCATTTGCTGAAAGCTGCGGTGTGTTTGATATGCCGTTAAACCGCTGTGATAGCAAAGGCAGCTCTTCCTGGACAGGTTGCGGAGCAGAAATTCGTGATTGGTACCATGACGGGTGCCTGGCCAGGTCTTCCACAGGCGGGACGCTACTCAATGCACTGGCATGATTTGGTGTCAACGATGGAGAAAGGACTGATCTAGGAGGCGATGTCGAAAGACCTAATGCGCCTTGGGACGGGCTGAGGGAAGTCGTGGCAGTCTCAGGTAGTAGGTCTCTTCCCGTTGTTCCGAGACCGGCATGACCGTTTGTTGTTTCTGTGATGTGACCACTAGTCGCAGTGTCGTGTATTGCGACACCGGGTTCCGTTGGCTGTTCCTCGAGCAACGTCGGTTCGCAATTCTGATGCTGCATCGTTGCGTTCATCGGATCTATAGCAACGAAGACTACCAGGTCGTCACCCGGCAGCAAGAGAGACTTGATAGTGTCGTTTTGATCGACTGCGCGACCTTTGAAACTGAGTTGAACGTCTGCAAATCCGTGTTTCTCTTCGTATGTTTCCCGTATCTTTTGCATCGAAATTTTCTAAGATCATGTAAGTGGGTTGGTGGACACACGCGCGGGAAATGGACCTCGCCGCCTTCCAATTTTGTTTTGCGTGCATCACTACATAGAGCATACGCGCAGATCTGAAACTTACACTGTGGCCGATCATCCATATGAAATCAGCTTCCTCAAAGCTGTCGTTGTTGGACTTGCGATGATCGAGTACAGCAATCCAGCATCGGCGTGCTTTGAGCTCCTGTTCGGGAACCACTTGCCTAACCCGGCGCTGGAATTTGTCCCAGTCCATGTCTAGAAAGCGACCATGAGCGAAGTGCTGCGGATGTGTTTTGACGTACGGTAGAAGCGAAATTGACGCTTCAAGCAGTAGCTCCCTGTAGGTACATGGAGCTTGTAGAGCAGTGGTGTCGGGGCTATTGAGAGAGCAATCACAAAAATAAAAGTATGGATTACAATCAGGGAGATACAGTGTAAACAAATGGTGGCACTGGAGGACAGAGCGGGGCAATCGCGTCGAAAACACGGTAGTCGCGCTAGCACATGACGCGTCCGCCTTTCTGTCTGACTTCTCACTTTCACTATCATGTGACGTCAGAAAGTTGGCTGCTGCACGAAGCAGCTCGCAATCTATCGGCACAACCCCTCCTCTGTGACCTGTTGTATCAGTTACTGTACGGGTTTGATGCGATCTCTATCAAACCAACACGAAGTGATCTTAAGCTACTCGCAGCATCATGGCTACCTAAAATGTCATCTAGATTGGTTGCTAAGGTATCTTCATCTCTCCTGTAGTCTCTCGAAACTAGGACGGACAAGTCTACTAAGCAACTTGTCAGTTCCTTCGCACATTCTAACATCGTATATGCTAAACAGGATAGCGACTAGTTCGGCTGCTCACCTCTCAGCGTGCGTGCGGAACAATTTCCGTTCCATTCATCATCCTAGCCTTGTGACTATGCTGCGTGTTGGGGCTCTGATTGAGAAGCGCCAATCAATATCGAGACTCTGTATCTCAACATCCAAGGACTCACAACGATCAGGTTCCTTTGATGATCAGCCACTGAAGCTCTTCATGCCTCTTCTCGAACCTTTTGGCACAATGTGCTGTTTCGGCATTGTTCTAGTCTGCATCCCTCCTAGTCACTAGTTGTCTCGTTTATGTGTATCGAGGCTTTGTGACATTGTGTTTTAGTTGACTCTCCCAGGTAGGTCTGACTCTGAGACGTATACGACGCTGAACCTCCTCGGATACAGGTAGCCAGACGCTGATCCTATATTCGCAAACCATGACGGAACACGCTCCACTACAGCAGAAACGATTCGCCCCAGAGACCAGTGCCGGAATAAATGGACTCATTGCAGCATGTAACAGAAACGATCGCTTCAAGCTTCTGGATGACGATAGTGTTTTGCCTGGAAACTTAGATAATTCTGTTCATCCTGCGTTCCATTGGTTTGATGGTGAAGGGCCTATGCGGCAAATGCTGCAGCTAGCCTCGCATTTCATCAGCCACGATACTCTCCTTACGTTTTTCATACCGCTGTTGTACGGACGCGAACTAACAGTCGCTGTCGGCCACGCACACAAGAACTATCTTTCAGATCCCTTGGCGAAAGCATCCAAAGCGAAACGCGGTCAATACCTGGCCGGAGTGCGTGAAGCATTGCATTGCATCGGACACAGCGTTTCGTTCCAATTTCAACCGCCTGCGAAGCGAGTATATGCCCGCACGATGCGTGATACTGCAAAACCGAGCCATGCCACCTCATGTTGTCCGGCGTTCCAGCGGCAATATTCTTGCAGGATCGAATTGGCGGAGTGCTTTCGTGAATACTATTCCACTGGTGAGTACCAAACGGCATCGCGGTGTGCGCAATTTCGGCACGATTTTCTCTTCGCCACGACACTTGTGCACGAAATAGTCCATGCTATAGGTGTATTGCGACGAGGCAATTTGAACGAGCCGCATATCCAAATCGATTGTCCGGAGACAGAATGGGGCTATGGCTGGGAACATTTCATGTTTGGTAGCATTATGAATCCTCAGGACAAGACAAAACCAGGCACACACCTCCTAATGCGCAAAATCTGGGCAGAACAAACCTTGGCCGACAATTCTGGAGGTAAGGAGTATTGCGATGTCCCCATGTCTTACATAGCGCAATGGTTTCGCAGAAAGACTTGGAGCGTTGTTGCGGAGCAAGGGCCAACTGCCGTCGCAGTCCCACCAATACACTTTAAGATCCAATCGTCAAACCAATATGGAGCCTGGATAGTGGCAAGTTACCACCCAGAAATTAAGAAAGATCTGGAGACCCTGCACTCGCAGTGGAAGCGGCACGCTAGAAGGTTAAACTCACATTCCGTATCGGCACCACCACAGGCCGCTCGTTTGCGATGTCCGAAGATTCTTTGGAGGCCTGTAAACAAGACACAACTGCAGGTAGATAACGTGCCAGTTCCACGACGTCAACCGTCAAAATTACAGCCTAGCTCGACTTGTGTGCAGAGCCTCACTCAGACCGTGCCAGTGTGCTCCAAACCAACAAAGACACTGCTGGAAACCAAATCAGAATCGCTTAAAGCATGCCATTTAACTCTCCCTAGCAGTTTCTGTATGTCTCGAAAGCGACTCATAGATCTACGGCAGGAGTGCGGTCGTGTTAAAAAGGCCAGCAAGCGATAAGTAACGATATAATTCTAAGGACCAGGGACATGTTCCAACAGGCATGGTAAATTTTTGATATTCAGAGTGTATACCACATGTTTTGTAGGATTGTAAATGTTTCTCACACTCCGTGGGCATTCCTGCAACATTTTGACATAAGATCCTTCGCCCTGCTCCGTGCTGTATATCCCACCTAGCAACGTCCCTATCTAGAACTGGGATCGTAGACAAGTCAAATGCCCGCAAATCAACTACGTCCCCCTCGCGAGTTATGCATAAAGAAGTTGGTACGCGTCACGATATGCTCAGCAGCGTGTCATTGTCCTATATGCCTAGGAGACTATAGAGGAAGGTACCATGCGCCAGTACCACTCTGTCCCTGCGATCATTTCTTCGGCAAGCCACGTATCTCAGAGCGGTTCGAAGGAGACAAAGATATTTGTCCGTTTGATATGCGTACACTCTTCACATTAGCAACAGACTTGTACAAGGTTGAGAGATGGTCCCTCGGTCCGATCAGCGATCTATCAAATCGAACAGGTGAAGTTTTGGGCGAAAGCGGTGGACCAGGCGAGACAACGCAGCGAATACATCAGATTTTAGACCGCTTGATGTCCTTGGGTAGCGAGATTGTCAGTGCCATCGCCCGATTAAACCAGGAGAGTTGTTTCAGATCACCTGCGGTTTATGGCATCATAAGAAGCGCCTTTACCTCCAACTTTATGATTATGCTGGTGAGCTCGACGCGCTTTCAGTCAGTGATGAAACGCTTGAAAGTCCTATACATGGTGGATACCTTGTGGCAGTAACTAGAGGACAAGGCTTGGCCGCTGCTCTCCAGTGTACTAAAAACTATGCTCCTCTTGAAGCAATTCACCCAGGAACAAGGCTAGGAGGCAAAGATTTCAGAGAACCACATAGGACACAGGAGGGAAGAGCTTGGGAATACATAGATTGGTGTTCGTAACGGATATTGAATATGAATATACATATTCAGATGCTAGACGTCACGGTCATCGCAGTCTGGCAGAGTGTTTGGTACGCTTGAAAGTGAGATGCAAAGTGAGCTGCTCGGGTGTTCTTCATCTTACTTAACCTGCAGCATCGTATGAGGATATTTACTGTCACGTTACCGATCGTTCGCGTCGCAAGCTCTCAATGCTGTGTTCCAAGGTTTGACAGTGGCGGAAAATGTTCCGAGCAATCGTCAGCACCTTCTGCACACCCATCGATCTCCGGGCTTGAACACCAATGGGTTGCATTTAAGATAAACTAGAAGTAAAGAAAACGTGAACAACATTTAACATTAATTGAAGTTTCGCCGCATGGTGTGCTATTAGTGGCGAGTCTTTTATCACATGATGGGGCTGGTGGCATGCTGAAGTTTCCATCGAAGCTACGGAATTTCTGGAACACCAGCATCGGGCACGGGCTCCTTACCTTTGCCGTCACCATCTTACTCCCTACTTCTTGCATGAAACCTACCCAGCTGCCCAACTCTCCAAGAAGTCTGCTGCGAGGTACTATACAGTAGGCATTCTTGATTCATTCAAAATCTTTCACTCGTGTTGCTTGCGCTGCGCAGGCGCCACAAGTGCTATCCGACTCCGGCCACAGCCCGGTCAAAATCCTCACCGCTGGTGTTGTTTGGTTGCGCGACAATAACAAAATTTGGATGATTACACCAACTTTTTGAACAGCACCAATTCCACGTTCACTTCGGCTGTCAACGTCCGCAAAATTCTGGGCAGTGTTACGCCTTACAGTCAACGCTCTTCTGAGTATCGTCAACTCATCTCACGACAGCTTTACAACTATGGCACCCAACCCCAATATCCTGTACGATCCCTCCGATCATGGCGAGGCAAACTCATTGCTTCCTGAGGAAGTAATCGGTCATATCGATCTAGGAACATTAGCGGATATTCACCGGTACCTTTGCGAAAGCGAGTTGCAGGAAGACATTGAGCTCGCTGCATGGATGTGGGAAAACTACCTCAATGGCCCCCAGAATGGTTCCTCAACAGCAGAGATCCGTACAGCCCAAGCATTCGGCAAATTGGACAGGGCTTATCGCAGGGTTCGATCTCTTACCAACAAAGCCCAGGACAAGTGGCCATTCTTCGACAGAAATTTCAAGGAGATGTCATCAGCTACGGTTCGAAACAATGCGCGCGGCGAAGCCGCTCCTGGTATTATGTATCCAATTGACGGACTGCAGAGGAAATCACACCTGACTGGACTGTCGTCCCGCGGGTCTACCGAGTCTAATGGTGAGTTGAAGTGAAATTCGTGGATATCTGTTTACATGTGTTAATGTCCAGCACTCCAGTGTCCTCGAGACCAGAGCTACAAGCTCCTTTCGACTTTACCACGCCTGCCCACTACCAGTCACAGTTCCAGGATCATCTCCACTCGACTTCTGTTCCTATTCCATCAAATCTTTCTGCAAGGTCTTCTGATCCACCGAACTCAGAAACGCAACATGTAGCGCTGGAGCATCCTTCATCTTCAGTAGCTTCTTTCCAGAATACTCAAGAGTGCAGAGGTACGTTTACTGTTTCATTAGCGCCAGGCTTGCCGGACTTTACTTGACTACCTTGACTTACCCATCACCTCTTTGTCTCGCTTCCGCTTTCTTCCATTGTGCTTTACTGACAACAAAGCGCAAGGTTCTTTCCCCGCCTCAGACGGCCAGGCAAAGCTCCGGTCAGAATCGCTCCGGCCTGACGTACCTCAAACTGAAGAAGCGTTTGATCAGGATATGCCACAAGACGAACTTGGCGCTTCTTTTTCAGCACCTGTTGGGGGCGCCATGTTACGCCACTCCGATTCTAAGCCCACCGGAGACCTTGAACCAGAAGCACCAGTACGAGATGCGGGCGCTGGCAAGGTCCGCGGCCCAAACGGACGCTACATGCCCAGAGACGATGTTTCCCCCGGATCAAAGAAGACAAAGAAGCCAAAAAAGGGAGGGAAAATTCAACCGAGCATAAGCAATCTGAAGAAAAGGGAATCTTCGGTGCCCAAGGTTATCTCCCAAGAACCCGAAGCTGCACCAGCCGAAGGTGAAGAAACATTTGCAGATACCCAAGCATCGTCACCTGCAGTGATTAGCCAGGAAGTTGAGGGGCAGCATGAAGTTCAGGAAGAGGCCAGCGTGTCTCTAGCTAGCCATGCTCTAGTACCTCCCACAGCTGTCGATGAGCCAGAAGCCAAGGAAGAGAAAGCGGCCCCGCATCACGGACCGATCTCTGCGTATCTACTTGCTGCTGAAGCTGAAGCCGTCCCTTCAAATCTAGATAGGCTACCTCCGAATTCGAGGAGGCCCAACAAGAGAAAGAGCGAGCCAACTGTCCAATCGGGAGACCGTAAGCGGGGGAAACACGGTGGCATAGTCGGCCGCCCAAGGAAGTCTGAGCAGCGCAAAGGTCAGGAATCACAACATGATACAGCTTCACCACGGGAAGAGACCGCTATCGACGTTGGAGACCTACCTCAAATGACTACACGTCGAGCCACTCGACAAACGGCTGCCGCAAATCTGGGTACCTTGACATCCAGCAAGCAGACAGAAAAAATCCAACCCGACGTAGCAGTTGAACGGTTCACTCATTCCTCGAAAAAGTCGCAAAAGCTACCACAGAATCAAGAGAAGCTATCCATAAGTGATGGCGATACAGAGATGGGTGAAGTTCAAGAGAATGCGCCTGCTACCCAGAGAAAGATGTCAGAGATGCCTTCATTGCCTCCGAGAACCTCAGATAACCATCTAGTGAGTTTCGGCATGGGCAGGATTATCTCTTCTGTACTTCCTCAGCCGTCCTCACGCCCACAAGCATACCAGTCGCCCTATCAGCCTATACCATCGCCGCCGCCATCTGCATCGGTCGCTGATGAGACGATGAACAAGAGAGCAAAATCCGTAAACCTGCCTAGTCAAGTAGAGTATTTCGCCCGTATAACTACAGGTAACGGCGATACCATGGACTTACCTATTGAAGAAGACCGACTGGAGAGCGATGAGGTGAAGATGATTAAGAGATACGCCAAATATAACGCTGGACCTGGTGTGGGGCAAGTCTCGTACACACAGTTCCGACAGATATATGCTTTCGCGAAACAGGACTGAGTGAAAACGAGAGCACGGGAAGGTTCTCCAGGGTGGGTTGGTAGTAGTGATTGTATGGATAGACTAAACAACAAACTCTGTCCAGGAGACCAACACTGATAAATCCTCACCATTTCATCATACGTTATCCTTGTGATGTTTATATCAGCCATGTCTTCATTCCCACCATCCTCGTCTCAACCTTCGGGGTCCCCTCCTGTCGTACGGCTCAAATCTCCCATATCTTCCATTGTCAGTATAACTCCAGTTTCTCGAACTGGTCCCGAAGACATGATTATAGCGACTATCGCCTCTCAATGCGCCAGGAGTGTGCGCTGTGAGTAGAGTAGGTCAGCTTATGTCCCATTGTCTTATGCAACTCGTAACCTACAGTACATGCGATCAGGGTAAAACCCGCCGCCATTGTCAGGGTCCTGGAGGGAGTTTTGATACGGGTAGCGTGAGCGTCCACCAGGAAACATGTTGTTCTGGGAATGTTGGTAGAGTCTTTTCTTGCTTGATGCTCTGGAAAGTTCGGGCTAGGAATGCTTGCTTGATTTGGTGATCGGAAGTCAACAGATAGTGCTGGTTCTCTTTTCGAATTCGAAGCTTTGTATACAAGTATGTAGGAGAAAGCAAGCGTAGAACGTAAAGGTTTATATACGACGATTTTATATTGACGAATTCGCTATCACGATGACCACGCGTGGCCTCGGCGTGTGCTTAAGTTTGGAGATTCGGTGATTACCTAGAGAATGTAGACCTTCTTACCTAACTGTCATGTGAGGTGGCATAATAACCATGGACAGCTTTTCTAATCTTGCACGATATGTGCCAGCAGGGTGGAAAGTGCAGGCCACAATCGCTGCCCTGGTGACATTGAATTTGGCAGTGCTCGTAGTGCCACCTCTTACATGGCGCGTGGCTCATCAATAGTGCATTGTTGCGATGCAAAATCACAGTGCCGCGTTCCTCTCTCAAAAAAACTCCCACTACATCTTATTCACAATGTGTTCTTTGAAGCGGTCTATCTTTAGAGCCGCAATTGGTGAAGTTAGCATGTTTCCAAGCTTGCTACTGTGAAAAAGCTCTTTTCCCCCAGTTCCCATCCTGCTAACCACGGAATACTACAAGAGTATAAACCATTACCTTTGTACAAAAGTTGGGATGTAAAGATGTGCGTATACCTTTGGGGTAAGTTTTAATGATTAGGAAAAGAGATAAAAGAACAAGAGTTTCTTCGTAGAGACCGCCATATTTATTCAGCAATAGGTGTTGATGTGCTAAATATGACGCTGAACAGAGCGAGAGTTCATAGTTGTATAGCCATTTGATACAGAGTCATCAAGTTCCATAGTCCGACACCCGCGCAACGCCCATAGTTACTTAAGTATCTACCTAGGTAGGTGTCAAATCCATCGTCCCAATGTCGTTTCAGTCCAGACAACAGCAAGTTGATGCATGTTTTGCGTGTCTCCTTGAGGATAACTCTTATTATAGACGCAGAATTATCCAACATTCCGAATGCCCTCTCAAGCGGTTAGCAACTGTGATGCTAAATTGTCAGCTACGTCATGACTGAGAGGACTAGTCGCGTTCAACTCGACATCCCGGAGACAACCAGCCACCGCTTTTTTTTTTTCAAAACATACCAAGCACCGGGCAAAATACCACGTTGTATTCGTGCATCCCATACTTCAGATCTTTGATTGCGCCATTGAGAACACCATTGCGCTCAAGTGAGCATGCCTGGTTACTTAGGTAGGTTGCAGATGCATGGCGTTACTAGCTAATAACTATGATTTTTGATGTTCTGATCACCCGCGAGGCTAACCGAATTTAGACAAAATCTTTTGGAAAAAACCCATATTCCCTGTTAGCATTTCTTTGTGACTCTATTCGTAGGCAGCTTGCATTGCAGGACATTCTGATGGTATACCTCTCTTTCATTCCTTATTAGCACAGGCGGCAGCCTTGGAAGATTGGAGTATCTTTGTCTGTACGTTCTTGGCCACGATATATCCTCTATCACAACCTATCGATGCTAGCCCAGCAAGCAACAGCGCAGCCTCACCTGCAAGATGGATATGGACCTCAGAATGTTGAAAAGTGCATTAAACTACACAATTCCATCGTCTCGCATGCTAGTTCCAAGCTTCCACCCCACCAACAGCCAAAAGTAGAACGTAGCTGGTTCGCCGCCCACTCTTTGGATCCGGGCTCGCCGGGCCTCGACATTGAACTCGACGAAGACCTTGTAGCTTTTCTATCCGGGATTGATATCGTCATTCGAGAAAAACACCAGCACCTAGCTTTTACCCCGTTTCTCATCGGAATTTCGGCTCCCAATGAACTGCGCCCGGACGCGTGGGAAGGTATCGATGAGTATGAGGACTTTATCCTCCTGTACAAGGGTATAGGGCATGATCCCGGTGGTCTTGTTTACAGTCGAACTACCCATCAAGTCTGCTTTGTGCGCGATCCGTTTGATGAGCCCCGCGAACGCATGTGGGGTGATCTTCATGCGGTTTTGGAGCTTTATCTACGGTCGATCGAGTCGGGGAAGTTCGTTGTTGATGCAGAGCACCCTGGGTTCGGCAATAGGGATGGGCTTGTTACGCAGGGCTGGAGAGTCGCGGAGTGGACGGAAAAAGAGTTGCGGCAGGTACTTGATATTTGGGAGAGTTTGGTGGATGCGGTTACTGCGCGGTTACCGGAGTCTGTTGGAGTGTCTGGTGCTAAAGAAGATCATGGCGATGAGGAACCGCCACCAAAGAAGAAGAGGAAAATGGAAGACTTTGGGTTAATTCCTGCTGAAGTCTCGAACAAGTATCCTGCCATACCGCCGTTTGCGCGCGTCTTCCTGTCTCGGGCAAAGAAACCGCGGTTTACTTCCATTGCACCGCAGTTGGATGTACCAAATGAAGCTTTCATCCACCGTGTAGGCGCTGAACTACAGGCAAGGTATCCCGATGCTTCTCTTGATACTCACCAGCATGAACTTGCTGACTGCACACCATTTCTACTGTTCCCATGGCGCGCACCAGGTGTGCAGTTTTCCTCACAAGATGAACGGGACCGATGGCAATCTCTGCGAAAACAAAGTATACTAGACGATCGTGTCGGCCTCTATCTCGTACCTGATGTTCTCCATGCTCACGCCAGCACTCTGCTTCTACCTTTCCAACTCGGTGAGAAACGTCATGTAGTGATGGGGGATGGGTCAACGGTAGATAGACCGGCGCAGGACGCGTTGTATCGACATGGTGTGTGCAATCCTTTCATGCCTGATCACGGGACACCGCTTGCTGCGATACTGGTGAATTGGTGGGAACAGGTTGAGAATGACTCTTGGAGCGTCAACGTAAGTGGTGTGGATGGTGGGGAGGAGCTATGGAAGAAGGCAGACACAGAGGAAGACGCCGAAGATTTTCAGACTGATTGGTCGTGCTAGAAGGGGTTTGTTTTCAGAGTGTATGCGCGAAAAATTGCGCGAGGTAAATCCCATGCCGCGCTGGCTCTAGGCGGACCCTAAACGTGCCTGACGCGATAAACAAATGGCATGAAAGTACAGGAAATCGGTAACCCGTTCGGACATGAGAATCGAGTCTAAAGTGACTGCTTCGCCGCTCAGTAGCTAGTTAATCGCACCCTGGCTAGTTAGGGGGCTTTTGCAGCGGGCGGGAAACGGCAAACACACCGAAACGGAGGATGTCCGTACGAGCACACCAATCAACTCCGTCTGGCACTCACGGAGCCATGCTCAAACAGAGCTTCTTCGCTTTTCGTCAGGCTACGCGATATGCTCACAGTAAGTGCGCGTTTCTAGCGTTGGCCAACCGTTGGCTGCCTGGCACACTCTCGGGTCAGCATTTTGAGCATTCTAAGGTTAGGTACCTACCTATACATGCAACACAAGCTGCAGCAACTTCCCTGGCTTCCCAATCTCGTCCGCATCCTTCCTCAAAGCACTTGTGAAAACAGACGGAATGCGTGTCAAAGGAGTCGGATTGGTGATTGCGCTTGCCGTGGGGTCTAGCGCCGAGCCGATACAGCGGGCTGTGAAAGCCCCGAAGATCGATCTAGGCTACGCTGTCTACGAGGGGACTCACGATGCTAACACCAGCATCAATATCTTCAAAGGGTAGGTCGCTTGTCACAGAATTCTCGAGACTCCAAAAACTAATCGTTTTTTATAGGATTCGGTATGCCGCTCCTCCACTAGGCAAGCTCAGGTTTGCTGCTCCTCAGGCCCCAACGCCCAATCGAACGACAACATTAGCTCTCAGCGACCCCCCATTTTGCCCACAGACCGGTGCTTCCTCAGAAACGCCAGCTGAATATGGCTTCACTTCTGCAATTGGAGATGAAGATTGCCTGTTTCTGAACGTATATGCGCCAGCTAACGCAAAGAACCTGCCTGTGTTCCTATGGATTCGTAAGTGAACATGTTTGCGACGCGCAAACCACCATCAACACACCACTAACAGTATCAAGATGGTGGAGGCTACGGACTGTTTAGCGCCTCTGGATTAGACCCGAGCGATTTTATGACCACGAACCATAATGGCTTCATAAGCGTTATAATCCAATACCGTCTAGGCGCTTTTGGCTTCCTTTCAAGCTCCGAGGTGAAGGACAACGGTGCGCTCAACGCTGGACTCCTCGACATGAATTTCGCACTGGGCTGGGTACAAGCAAACATACGAAAGTTTGGGGGCGATCCTCGTAAGGTTACGATGGCAGGTGAGAGTGCAGGAGCAGGCGCTGTTTTGTACCAAGCCCAAGCCTACGGTGGAAAGCAGAAAGAGAGCCTCTTCCGTAACGTCATCACAGCAAGCCCATGGGTACCGTATCAGCACGATTACAATGATGAAGTACCGAGAACAGCATATACAAAGTTCGTCGAAGCTTCCGGGTGCTCGTTGGAAAAGAATACCATCGAGTGCCTTCGCACAACCGATACTATCATTCTCCAGAATGCCAGCGCGAAGGTTTCCGAGGCTGGAGCTTTCGGTACATTTGCCTTCCTGCCCGTAACGGATGGCACATTTGTTCAAGATCGCCTTTCTAAATCCCTGCTTTCCAAATCGCTAAAGGGAAAACGTGTCTTATCTGGTAACATGGCGAATGAAGGCGTGCCACTCGCGCCACCAACGACACGTACACTACAAGATTTTCGTGACTATGTGGATAAGACATTTCCCGGTTTTTCTATTTCCGAAAAGAGTCGTTTGGAGGAAACATACTCGTTCCCTGGTGATACTAGTGACGTGCAACGCAACACTACGCGCTTCGCCACTTCTGGTACGGGCGTGCCTACGGCGCTCAACATGAGTGAGTTTGGAACAGGAAATCAGCAACGCGTTTTCAACGTCTTCGCAGAGTACGCTTTTGTCTGTCCAAGTTACTGGGCTGCTGCCGCCTTTCCGGAAGGTTGGAAGTATCAGTTTAGCGCGCCCCCGAGTTACCATGGGTATGATCTGCAAGCGCTATGGAGTGGAAACCCGACGCCCGGCCAGAGTTTCAAGCACGCTTTTCGTAGGATATGGGGGAATTTTATCACTAAGAACTCGCCGGTCATAAGTGTAGAAGATGCGAAGGGTGGCGTCGCAAACTCCACAATCGCGCCCGCAGTTGGATATAGTGAGAAAGACGTTCCGTGGCCAAGGTGGAACGAGAAGGAGCCGAAATTGCTGAACCTGAATGCTACAGGCGGTGTTCCATTCTTTGTGCAAGCAACAGAAGATTTGTACTATTACACATATAGTGATCCAGGCGCCAGCAACCAGATCAGTCTGGCCGATGCGACTGCTTGGGAGGGCGGGAGAGGTAAGCGATGTGAATACTGGAAAGCCATGGCAGCCAAGGTGCCGTACTGATGGCAAAGACGTGCATGGAAGCTTTGAGATGTGCCTGCATCGTGGACGCTATAGACTACACTCATTTGCGACGCTATCTATATACGAGTCGTTTGCCTAGCTCGATCAAGCTCATGATGGATACACATGACTAACAGGTCTACACACCATCATTGAACTCATAGTCCTTATCCCACCGCTATGCTAGTCAGCACAATAAGTATGATGAGTACATTCTGCTTACCGTGTCCCAAGGCTTGCTGCCGTCGACGAACCTCAGGTCAGTACCGACTCGGATCACGTTGTCCGGGTCATAATTCAACGTGGATGCATGTATCTTGATGCTATCAGCTATTGTTCAAGTATGGTCATCCCTTGGTGAGCTTACTGTGTATGGAGTGTGCAGTACCACATCCCCCGCTTCGTAGTTTGTCACCAACCATCGCCTATCAAAGCTATCAGAATACTCCCGTGGTCCATCGGCGAGCAATCCCGTTGACAGCATATTCTGATTGAATGCGTTTTTTGTTTCCTCCTCACTCAAACCACTTTCTTCTGCCTTACGGTTGAAGTCTGCTTCCACTTCGCGACCTAATGTATGGCCTACAACAATCATCAACATTGCCTGGACTGTGATTGGAAAGTAAATGGCCTACCATTCTCCAGGTAGATGAGACCGCCTCCAGTCAAGCTCACATCTCCCATTGGCACCCAGGCAGTGACACTGGTAGGCTCACCGTGACGGAGGAATATCTGATCGTAATGTACGCCGATAGCTTTGTTTCCTGGTGTGTTGTTGCGCAGCAAACTCCTGCGAACACCTAGAGTATTATCGCCCCACCCCGTCATGCGGGCGATGAAGTCCTTCAGCACAGGATGCTTGCAGAATGTCTCTTTGTACCAATCTGCATAGTGCGCCTCGAGCGCGAGGCCGACGAATTTCTCTGCGGTTGCTTCTCCAGGCTTCCCGTTTCCTGGCGCCGCACCAGCTCCAATGCCAGGGAAGTCTGAAGCATCTTTTTCGCAATCAAAAACGCCTTGTACTGGCTGGGTACCGGGCTTTAAGACGCCACTTGGCGCGAGCATCTTGAAGTACTCTTCGCGGGCTTTCACGACATCGTCCCTTGGCAGTAGGCCCTTTAGGTACACATACCCGTCTTCATTGTAGCGACGGCGCAGCTCTTGCATGGGCAGATCTGGAGATGACTCTTTCAGCTTTCCCACTTGACTCGGTCGGAGCAAACCATCGTTCACAAAGAGCTTCTTGCCGTCGAAACTCGGCACGTCTTGCTCTAGGGTCAATGCATGAGGCATGATGGAGGGTTGTACAAGATAGCAGCACCTGAGCAACCTTTCAAGTGTCTTTAAGTATGTAGAGCGAGCGACAATAGATCCACAAGGTCTGTCGAACAACGCGTGTATTATGTAGACTCGTACTATTGCCTACTCCCGTGGGCTGTTTGGACATGACAGGTGGACAAGGAGAAACTTGCCCCTTTCGGCGCAGCTAAACTGTGGGGTAAGGAGCGGGGCCAGGCGGCGCTGAGACGCGTTTTCCGGATTTTCTGCTGCTGCGCGGAAGCGATCATCAACGTCCGCCCTTAGTAACAGCCCAGACGTGGTTGGACACCGCATTGCGCATCTCGGCGGGCATTTCTTGTCCTGGACTCTATCGTGCAGCATTATCGTGCGCGTCCCAGCTTCGTAAATCAGCCCGCACGGGAATCCCCCGCTACCCCATAACCACGTTGAGGTCTATCGCAAATGCCATGGTACGAGATTTCGCGTCCTTTGCGCGCCAGAACGACATCGCTTAACCATTTATAGCAACCGATGCCGCACGCGTCATTATCGATGTAAGCCTCAATGAGTCTACTATGGAGACTGTCGCACTGACGATCGCGCAACAGGTGATGGCAAGCAGCCGGCGTGCGGAAGATGTGAGCATGCTAAGAAAGAATGCGTGTATGAGAGCGGAAGACGATTCCGGCGTTCGTCGATCTCAGATTCCTTCAGTGTTGAACAACCTTGGGTTTCATTCCCTCCACGAAGTAGGGATATGCTGATGTTTGCTGCGGCTCTCGCTGACACCACTTGGCAGTTCAATTCTTGGACGAATCAAGCGAAATTCGCTCTCAATATGTTCAAGATGGCTACTCTCCATTTGGCAGCCCTTCGGTACACATGCCGTCTCCTAGCGGTACTCCCGGAAGTGCGCAGGGCACCGCTTTGACGCCAAGCTCAACTCTATTCACTCCAACGGAAAACCTTACAGTCCTGTCGTTACTGAATTCAGAATCTCCGGTGCAACAACAAACAACAGCGCCCCCAGTCTTGCATGATCACCGAGCAAACACGAGTGCGTATCATCCACACCATGATGAAGGTGTTAGTACTTTTGTTTATCAGCAACCTCCTGGCGAGCCTGTGCTGTGGCCGCTGGAACATGAACAGGAAGCAATGCTTCTCCAGCATTACATTGAGAATGTCGCCTTATTCGTAAGTTTTCATATCAGATTGGAAAAATTCTACTGACCATTGCCAGTTTGACATGGTCGATACCAGAGATCATTTTGGGGTTCACATCGTCCAGATGGCCAAACAAAACAGTACGCTAATGTATGTAATATACGTACCACATAAATACATTGATCTTCGGCTGACCAATGCTGTAATTCAGGAATGCCATCCTAGCGTTGTCTGCTCGTCAGCTTAGTCGAACCACCGACTTCGATCCTTATATTGCAGATGCGTACTATCAACGATGCTTCGACACACTCATCCCAGCGCTCAACGACAACGTCACTATCAAAGAAGAGCCACTCCTTGCCGCGACTGTCATACTACGGCTTCTGGAGGAGATGAACATCTCGATTATCGGATCCGATCCTCAGGGCCATCTTTTCGGTACCCAAGCTATCATCCGCGCTGCCGAACAGTCATACGCTGCAACCTCCGGGCCTGATCGACGACAGGCCATCTACTGGGCTGCCTTCCGTCAAGAGCTTTGGATATCGTTGATGACGCAACGAGCGTTTAAGCTGCATATCTTCCCCGCTGATCGTTCGCTCGAGCCGGCCAACGATTCTATCTGGGCTACACGAACCATCGCTCACCTCGGTGATGTGAGCAACTTCGTGTTTGGAGAAGGTAGAAATAGCATTGCTCGCTACAATCAACTAATGGACGAAAATAGATCTTGGACACAGTGTAGGCCTGACAGCTTTGATCCGTACTATTTTCGGCAGGATCGGGATGGCAGCGGAAGGAACTTCCCAGATATCCGGTTCCATCAAAAAACCCATGTCATGGGTACTCAGTACAACCTCTTGGCTCACATGCTCCTCATCGTGCATGATCCGACGATCCCTCAACTTGGCCCAGCACACAAGGCATCACGCGCTGTTGTCGACAGAACGGTACAAGATAACGTCCGGACACTATGCGGTGTGGCGCAATCGAATTCCAAGTGGTTTCCTTGCAAATTTGTTGCTTGTTTCGCAATTGCACTTGGTAAGTTCAGTTCGATTCACACCATAACTTGGGCTTTTACTATCAAGTATACCATTTGCTCAGCAGTACATCTAACAAGTTTAGTTGGTGATCGTTTTACGCTTCGCGAAGACCAAGAGCAGCTTCGCGATTTGTGGTACGCCTGCGAACGGTCGCATGGCTTTCCTCCGACAGCTACCATTGCCCAACTTGAAGAATCCTGGGGCTGGCATAACTCCTGACGCCTATCACGTTCTCAACCTGGATTTTTGTAGTGGTTTTAATGCTTGTCTGTGCTCCGAGAGACCCCTAGCGACGTCGAGAACGCACGCATTTGAAGTACCAAGCATTTCCGGATCAGTTCATCCTCCTCTCCCTTACCACCCGTTGCCATCGCCATGATATCCTGCTCCATAGAAGGGCATCATACCACCGGGTACACGCAACTGTGGTCCGGAATAGTTGCCTCTATACGCGGGGTTCACAGCGCCTTCCAATCCTGTGTAATGGTGTCTCGGCCGGCGATGTTCCGGTGGTGACACCGCCTTGTCGTGATCCTCAGACCTATCGAAAACCATCGCCGGCCATTTATCGACAGGGAGCTTATTCTTGATCGTTTGGTAGCAACTATTGATGGAAACCCACAATGGATATGCTTGCACACGCCGTGCATAGTTTTCCTCCAGGCACATTTTGATCACGCCACTTAGTTCAACAGAGTAACTGGCGCCTGCCGGTCGTCCTTTATTCCACATTTGACCATTAGGATTCTCTTTGCTTCGTGGTGTTTTTATACCGGTACATGCGCAGATCATACTGAGTCCTAGTTGCCAGATATCGGAAGCACCGCTGAAGAATGGAAACTCCGGAGCGAAGAATCCAGGTGTTCCTCCTGGTTGCACTATTGCTTCTTCTCGGTTAGGGCAGGCTGCTAAGCTATCTTCAGTGACTGCGTAGCCAAAGTCGGCAAGTTTTGCTACTACCTGGCCGTTCGCGATTGTTAGCAGGATATTGCCAGGCTTGATGTCTCTATGGTAGATTCTGCTCCAACCAGATTGGAAGATCTGTTCGTCATTCATATCCGGGTGTGGGCCACGGTGGCAATAAGTAAGCGCGCTAGCTAGTTCGTCGAACCAATGCCAAATCTTGCGTTCGTTAACATAAGCCCCTTTGGCAACCCCTTGTGCCACATCTGCCATGCTTCCCACGTCGCAATACTCCATGTATACAGCCCCCTCTAGAATAGATTTATCGCGGAAATGGTCTACCATCTTCGTAATATAGTCATGGTCCTGAATCTGATGAAGAATCTGGATTTCTTTAGAAGGTATACCATATTCGAATAATCTTTTGCCGAATCGCTTTTCAATGAAAACCATGCCTTTGGCGCATGGATTGTCGCATCGGACTTTGCTTATGCCGCCATTAAGACCTCCGTCCATAGTTCCGAGGCGCTGTATGACTGTCCACCTTTCCCTTGCTTGTCGACGATACTGTACGGAAAGCTTCTTGCAGATTTTTGTCATCGTATTTACAGCTACCTTCGTTAGAAAAAGTTACTAGCAGTCTTAGTGGGTGCTAGCTTCGAGAAAAACTAGAGGGTTGTGTTGCATTTAACAGCTATATAGGTCTCGAAGAAGTCGCTAGATTTGATCTATGTATTTGATAACTGGGGGGTTTTCATGATCAAGGGACAGTGAACTAACGCTGTTGCATTATATATAACGCCAACAGTGATAACAACGTTCTAGTTGTCGTTTCGGTTTCACCTCCAAGGCATAGAATGTGCGACGCAAATCATATATGATGCCATTCATGCAAAACGTTTGAATTCCCCTGGACATGCCTGTATTGTTTCAACGACATGATCTTGAGAATCTGATCAGTGAATAATTTATGTCTCTTAGCCCACGTGCGTCTACCGAGAGTCTTCATGTGACGCAGAACTGTCTAGCATAGCAAACCTTTTAGATTCAAATAGTGTAGGGGTTCACGACCTTCCAGTCGCTGAAACCACAAAGAACCCCCTACTCAGCAATCAGTTCACTATAACAAGTTATTGAATGGCGCCAGAGCTGGAATCTCGAAAGAGCGAGGATGGAAAGGAGACTATCAGTGAAGATTCAATGTTTATCGATCCATCTCCAACTGACATGGAGATGCAGGATGCGTCACGAGAGGCTGCCTCACCTCTCATTCAAGTGGCTGTACCATTGGCTGGTTTCCAGAAACATTCTCCGTCTTCCGATACGCTCAGCCATCCATCTTCGCATACCTTAAGTCATGGATCACCACCTGCTCAGATACGCATTTCACGTAGACTATCTGTACCAAGTCGCTCTTCCTCTTCCTCGTCCTCGGCAGTGGACACTACAAAGCGTCCGTCAGACTATAGCTCCGACGATGAACATGTTAGCTCACCGCCCGGCTACGTTCGTCATCCAGGTCCTACTCGACGTCAGTCCGATACTAATGATTGGCAGCATGGAGTGCTCAGTGGTGGCGTACTGATTCGTTTTTTGGAGGACTTGTCGCGTAGCTCTCGACGCGACCACTGGCAGATCTGTACCTGGCTGGAAAACTTTGCTGCGCGCTTCGGTCGCTTCAACAACCTCGATGGCCTCGTCGTGACGAACACACAGGACATGCACATGCACATGCTTATGCTAGCACACAAGTTGTGGCTCGAAACAAAAAGCATACCAGCCGATGGAGACATCTTCTGGGTGCCGGGATTAGAGCCAGCAGGAGATGTCGATCCGGACTGGGAAGCCAAGGCAAAGAATAATCTTCCCGAACTATCTAGCTCACACAGCCAAAGGCATTGGATGGCAGGAGAAGCACAATATCTGCATGGTGCCTCAACAGAGCGGCCTAGAAAGGGAAATATGGTTTGTGAGAGATGGATTGACGGCATGGGGTGGGAGAGGGAGATTTGGCAAGCATGAAGAACGTCAGATTTCGCTCTATGTTTAGGTCCTGCTCTCACACGACTGGTTCAGTGATCTGCATGCTGAGAGCCATAGCATATCAAGCGTGTTTGCAATGAGCAAGACATGTTGTCAGAATGAACGAGGTTTCGGTGCAAACGAAAAGTGATGTCGAGGAATAGTGGGCAGCATGCTAGGGAGGTGCGATAATATGACGTCATCACCACGAGCTATCAGCCATTTTTAGAAGGGTGCGAGCACAGGAGTAGACTGCATGAACAAAGACCAAGGCCATTGCGAAAGCACTACATAATGCAGACGATCTATCGGCCATCTTTGCGAAGTCAAGACTGCTGCTGATGGCTAGGTAGTATGCGACCTTGACCCAGCTGCACATGTACGCTCATTGTTCTCTAGACCCATGACCTTCCCATTCATCTTTGTTCTACAACGCATTGTAATCTTCACTGCAGATTTCATGATACTCTTCACTATCTGTTCCTTTCTTTCCTTCAATATGCACCATCTTCTATTTTCAAACTTACGACGATCGTTCCGGCCCGCATGTGCATCTCACTTGCGTTTTGCACAGCCTCACTACCGGGTTGGCGGATATGATCATCCTCCGTGAATCTTGATAACGGTAGGAGCAACCGTCCCTTTGCCCCACATACCGTTGCGCCCAGGCTGGCGCATCCTGATCACCTGAAGTCACCGCTGGGCGAAGGAGCAGGTGTGTTACCTAGGAAGGTTATTGTAGGTGAATCGTGGTGGTTCTCGCGTCAAGCCTTACATGCAGCTAGGTCTGGTGTATAGCATTGCCACTTGGGCTCTTCACATACCACACCGCATGTTTGAGAAAGTAAACTTTCATGTGATACACGTTGGGAAACCAGGTGTTCTGTTGCAATCAATACATCCGATGCATTCGAAACCCTGAAATGGTGTAGTGGACAGCCCGTTGTAGCACAACGTCCGCGAAATAAGCTTTTCCGCCCCCAAACTCCCAGCATCCAGTGTGTTCTTCGTTCGGGCCTTACGTGGATTCTAGTGCGTCTTTGGGTACTTCAATACTACCACTAGTATAGGTAGATAAAGAATGGGCTCGTCAGTTGGCAGTATGAAAAGTGGCAGTATGAAAAGTGGCAGTGGGCCGTAGGATGACAGTCACGCCGTCCTCTCTGATCTGCTCAGGTGATGAAGCAGATGTTACTGAGGTAAAGCAGACAATGGAGTATCAGAAGCTTGCCTCCAGATTCTAATCTACATGCCAGAGCTCATAGATGTGTATTGCCGATCGTGATCACTTCAAACCCTTGTCGCATGGATTAACCACTGGCCGGGTACTTAGGTACGTTGCGTCGTTTCAAATCTCCGCTCTGTACAAGGCTTTCCACAAGGCATACTTGCATCGTTTAATCTACTCACGTGGAGATGAAAACTTCTCTGGCTGACAACTTCTCCTTCGCTAGCAGCAGATTGATCAAGTGATACAAAGCTAGTCATGAGAGTTCATCTGGTGTGTGAACATCCGCTGGATGTTGGGGCGGAAAGGCTGTTCTGGGCTATTGAATGCATTACAATATCTGCTTCGGAAACAATACTTATCTACACTGAATAGGTTACTGGCTCCATCTCCTACAATGGCAACTGCAGCTGCATTGGGAAATGCATAAATGTAAACAGCCGTTTGGCACATATCATCGTATTCTATGCAGGGGCCACTTCCTCCTTTCCGGCTGTCATTCATCTTGCATGACTCGCTTGGGTATAACATCAAAGCGGCCGGTTCATACACACCTTGTCTCGGTAGCTGAATTGTGGGGGCGGTGCCGCAATGAGTCAATGCGCTTGTACTACTACAGGGCATACGCAGTACGTACCCGCTTCGCATCACTACATACATGCATGCAGACACTTGGTCCTTTATCATGATTGTGGCATTAACAGGTGGTTGGAACGGTGAGTTGGGGCCAAAAGGCCGAAGTATTGCTTCATAAACCGGTATGCTTTGGACTATCCCAATACCGTACGGGTTACAGATACGAACCCTGACCTCCAAGAGCGCAATCCGCATGCTCTGGTTTAGGCTAGTGGGAATTGTCCAGAATGGAATACAATCCTGCTTTCGTGTTTTTTCAGATGGCTCTCAATACCTGGAACCATGATCATCTGTGTGTACCTCGCCATCTTGCCTCTAGTTCCCGAGCTCTTGCTGACGCTTCTTGTCTCTTCTTCGCCGCCATCTCCGCTTGGCTCTGTTGGTAGTCTGGAAGTTCATCGTCCGAACCCTGAGGATCTTCTAGCCCCAGTAGCTCTAATTCCGCTGTGATGGCACCCATATGTGATGGTGGTTGCCATTGTTCATATGCGTGGAGAGGCGGATTTTGAACAGGCATAGGATGATTCTGTGTGGACCCTGCATGTAACGAGATATGCGGTGGTGGCTCAAAATTTTGCCAATCATCTCTCTGCTCTCTATGAGGCCGTCGTGCCGGTTGTGTTCTCGACAAATATTGAGGGTTTTGTAGAGGTATTGGAATAGTGTCATTGGCACTTCTTCGAGCGAAAAGTGAGCCCTGAAGCTGCGGTGGACCGGTTGGTGAAAAAGGCTCGGCATCGTTTGGCAGTCCGGTCATCGCTTCAGCAAATAGATGGAATTGAGAAACATCTGTAAATGGCTCTGTGTGTGATACCCATGTTGTGTGTGGCCGTGGCCGTGGCCGACTGTAAAAATTGTCGCGTGTCGTAACCCCGAGTGTAGCTTCGGGAAAGGTACGTGATCGTGGAGGCGATGTGGTCTCAAAGTAGGGGTTCATTGACACCGCGCGCTGCTGTTGAGGACGAGTGTATTGGTGTTGTGGTAGCGGTGAGTACGGCTGATACTGCACCACGTCTGAGTAGTCCGACGCAGAGGAATGTGCTCGAGGAAGGGTTGCTGGATCCTGGTGAGAAGACTGGCTGAACTCGTAGGGAGAATTTGGCATGCTTCGTGAGTAGTTGTGTCTATGATGACCATTCGTATCCACATTTAGGTTAGTGGAGTATCGGGTTTGATGGGATGATCCGGGTCGGAGATGGGTTGACTCTGTCTGATTTGAAGATTCGCGTCGGAGAAACCCGCGCAAGGAAGGTGATTTGCGGGATCGTTTGTCTTGGCCGGACGGTGATGGTGGAAGTGGTTTGTTAAGGTCCGAACTGGTTGTGATAGCAGGTATCATCGACGGGTTGATTCCACTGCTGGAGCATACACTAATACGCTGCGAGGTTGTTTGATACGCCGATCGTTCTGGCCGACAGTCGTGCTCTTGTTGTCGCCTTGTGGAAGCTGGCATGTTTAGCCACAGCTCGTTCTCGGTCTGTACTAGACTGGAACGGTGACTTTGGTGTGCCATATATTCTGTATCTCCCACGTATGTTGAGCTAGCGTTGATGTGTAGGAAGGATGGACTAGAAGCTGCGACTAGCTTGTTGGTTGACGGTAAATCCGCAAGCTTATAGTTGAAAGGTGTTGGTGGGATCGTCAGCAGCTGGGCGTCGGGTAGCATGCTAAAGAGAGCTGCTTCGTATGCAAATGTATCCAAGGCTGAAAGCAGGGGTGTGCAGGCCAGGCCTAAGAGCTTGGTGTTGAATGTGGAGGTTAAGTGCGGCTTGATGGCGTTGCGCTACTGCACGACTGTAGTATTCGAGCGAGTTTAAACGATGCTGATAGCCGATTCGCAGATCTGACAGCTCCAATTATTCTATGCTTCCGACATCCCGGGCGGGTGGTATCACCAGTAGAACAAGAGCGATGTATATGGTCGGAAAGGTTAATGCGGCGTGGTAAAGGGTGGCGGTGGTTAACGGGCGCAGGGGTAAGGCGCCCGTTGCTAGATTACCGTGTGTAGATGTCGGAAGGGAGTGTCCTTACAGAAGGATTTGCAGACTGCTTGAAGTGTGCATATTCCAATCGTCTCAACGGGGCGAAGATACAAGAGTATTCCAATTCAAGGTCAGGTCTCGACGGAAATGGATGTGAATTTGACAGTCCATATCTGGGATCATCTGAAAGGATTTTCAGACGATTGCTGGCCTAATTCTTCAGGCCAAACGCCAAAGCTTCGGAGATGCTCGTCATGCTCAGTACGGGTACGGCACATCAGGACCCCTTTCAGCGCTGTGAGCATGGGTAACATAATGTTACCGAATTGCAAGCGGTGAGGCTCAAGACGGTACGTGATCACTTGACCTCTGTACAGCCAGCCGCTCGCCTCAGCGTTCAGCGCATGGGATTTCATAGTGCCGAGGGAACGCGCCCAGCGGCAATAATCCTACTCTGGGTATGCAATGAGTTGGATGTGTGGCAATGGGAGAAGCGATCATCAAGGACCAAGTGAAGGACGGAACGCGTGCACTGCCTCCCCTAATTTTAGATGTAGGAAACGCTAAACTGTAACGTGGCAAGCAACCGAGGCTTCCACACAACCCTGTCTTCGCCCACCGTTGTCTATCCCCAACCATCAGGATCGCCTTCGACAACATTGCACCTTGTCAATGGTCATGGTGAGCATCCTCCGATTTTGAATTCTTTTCTCTAGTAGGTGTGTTCCTAGAATTAGCTTTTCGCTAGGGTCGGTGAATACTGAGCCACAGAAACGCACAGGTGCTGATGCGCATCGATTAAAACGGCCCATGACATCAGCCCGTCATTCCATCGTTTCGTGCTGTTTTCAGCTGCAGTGACAACAATGCAGCATCGATACCCCCTTTGTTGTCACTATTAAATTGTCATATGCCAGAAGCGTCAAAAGAGCCTGTCGTTGTCGATTGAGAAATGACTCTTTGGCCATGGTTCTTAGTGACATTCAGCGGTAAGGCAGACTTCTCTTATCGCTTTCTACTTTGGAACCATGGCCCTGAGATTGTCGTATGCAACGTAAAACATCTGGAAACGCCCTTCAGGGCGTCACGGTGCTCGCCTGATCGCTTCCTTCGCTTCCGTGGCGGGCCTGCATCCGCAAACACCGAGATTACGATCAATCTGACACAGGCACTGCACACTTCTACCACTCTTTATAGCATATCTCTGCCCGATCATGTATCACCGTTTCGGTTGACCACAAGAGCTGTTTATTTGAAAACATATTCACCCCATCGTGTGTGCAATCAGTATGGAGGTAGTAGCGAACACATCTTCCGTACATACCTGAGTACGTACAGTAGATCAGATGTAGGCGGTCACAGGTCGCAGCATCAAGGCGTAGTGGCTCACCACGTAGTTCAGCGACTGCGAGTCTAGCGCAACGATATCATGAATAATGTCTGAACAACAAAGCCACGGTGAGTACACACGGTCTTAGGACTGCCTTCAGCACTGTCTCGGCGATGTGCATGCGAGTAGCCGCAATGGCCGCAGGCTCAGTCGCATGCGACACATTGTCGTATTGATCGCTGTCTCACTCTCTTCCGTCAGATCAGGATTCAAGGTTGAAGAGCATAATGTGGACCGCCTAGGGGTATGTCACTCTCCATCAGCCCCTCATCATTGGGCCTTAGGCCGCCTGCTTCCACATTGGATTCCCTGTCACTCTATATCTTCTGTTTGACCTTTCATAGCTGCAGCATTGCTTTCTACGAACCAGTATTTGAAGACCTCCCTCCACATGGCATATCCTTCTAATTAGTGGAGCTACAATGCGCTACGCCAGTCGGAACATACACATCGGTACAGTCTTGAGCCGGGTGATGTTACCAATTAATTGCAAGACAGTCATTGGATGCGCCAAGCAAAGGTGTGCAATGGAACAGAAAGTAAGCTTGTGACGGCCTGGTGACATCGCATCAATGCGAATTTATTTTGGGCCGAGGACACACTATTACGCGAAACGCTATCACAAATTGACGAAACATGTTGTAAGTGTACTTGAACTCTAGTTCAACTCCCTTTTCTTAGACTTCCGAAACAATTGCCTCTGGCTTCTTTTGCACACGCATAGGCGTCGGCTTGACCACCCCGACCTTCGCCGACCAAGTATCGGACCGATCATCGAGCTGGATTCCTTTCTCACCGTACTCAATATTATCTTGATCTTGTAGTCTCTGTGCGAGCATATTCCTCGCAACCATCGCGTATCTTGCTAGCAAAAACAGTGCAATCATTCCACCGGCATATCCCAAGACATGAAGAATAATGCTAACGTTGCCGTGAGCTGGATTCATCCATTCGTACACATAGAACCCTTGCGTATATCGAGTGAGGTATGCAAGGCCGAGGTATACCGACAGAACCCCAAGGACAACGGATAGATGGTGCCACGGCAATGGTTCGGTAGCCGATAGCACGATCTCAGTCGCAGCAAAGACGCTGTTGAGGCCATGGACAGATATGTTGATCCACTGTTCAAATCGTCCAGCCGGCCATCCAGAGTTCATGGTGCCCCAGAAGACAATCGTGACCAGAAATGGAAACGAAGTCATGGTGGAGTAGTACATGCTATGCAATAGCTGCAGGTATTTAGGCCAATCGTGTAGCCATGTCCTCTGCCGGAATGCGTACATGAAGGTGTGCACGCTCGATACGAGGAAGTAAAAGCCGAGTGACCAGAAAGTAAGGTATGTGAAGAAACTGAATGATTGTCCGATGGCTGCGTCGCCTTGCTGGATGGTGTACGATCCAATATTGACATCTTTGAGCTTAATTGTGGCTGTCTCGTGCGCCAGCCAGGAATAGCATGTTATGATTGTCGTGAAGCAGTATAAGCTTAGTAGGGCGCGGATACATGCGAGAGTGATTGGCGAAATGAAGTGAGATCGAACGAATGAGTGTGATGTGTCGAAGCCGGCCCTGGGTACACCCCAGGCTTCGTAGGTGATCAGTTTCATGGTAGTGAAAGTTGGGCAGGGAGTTATCGAAAAGAGAGAGTGGAGTGCCGATGGCCTGCTATGAACGTTTGCTTCCAACTCCGTGTTAGGAGAAGGGTTTCGAGAAAAGAAATGGGTGCATGATATACCTGGGGATCAAGTGTCCCGAACGTTGCCAGCGGCACCTCTACCGCACCGATATTTTGCAGAATTGGTACAGCAAGCCACAGCAAGGCTCTCAGGTCAACAATTGCATCTTCCAGCGACGCCACAAGAGTCTTGTTGTGGACCAACATCAACGTCACGGCGCTACCATCATGCAAAGGTCAGCAGCTACCAACCAAATCGTCTTTGAACTAACATTGATTGAACCCTCACGCCAGCCCTACGCTCCACACCATGTGTGCCAGACGTTGTGATTCATCAGCCTTCTTTGGTGACGGCACGTTGTTAATCGTCCGGTGCCTGCGGGGCTTCCGATGGCGTTCACAGCAACAGACCTGTCTCCGACGCATTATTCGTTGTAATGCCGGAATTGGTTGTTGCTCAGGTGGGCTAATGGTGTTGGCGAAGGGGTAGCGCGCTTGAAAGAGTGTGGTGTGGCTGGTTTGGTGCTAGCTCGAGCCAAGCACGCAGCCTTGCTTCTCAGCCGCATACTACATGCGCCCAGATCTGTCGGGATGCGCGCAGGGCGTAATGGGATCGAACGATGTTATGCATAGAGGAATTTGTTGTTCGCTTTCAAAGAAACACTCGAAAATGCAGGTTGTGAGAATACCTAGGTATTGACGAAACCTTAAGAATACGTAGGTATCTAGGTAGTCATGCTAGCGACAGTCTCCCGAAAAAGCTCTCTGGGCCCGGTTTTGGGCCACATGCCGCAGTAACCGCCGGAATGCTACCTTCGCTCGAAGTATATTACGAATACATCTCCACGTTCACTATTGTGCGATAGTCACCGAACATCTTGCATCAACAGTGAAGAAGAGAACACGTTAATGAACAGTGATGAGATGGTGTGCTATGCGTTATCTGTGTCTTCAAACCTCCCAGCTCAACCGAGTGTCGACTTTTTTGCTCTGCACGTTGTGAAAACCCTAAAACAAAACATCAAGTTCCTAGATTCATGCCATTCCAACAAGCTTAATTTTCCCCTGAACACCAGATCAATGGCAGTTCCCGCTGTCTGTTCTCTAAGAAGTGTTGCGCGTCAAAAAAGATGTTGTTGCTCTTCATGCTGTCTGCCATTGTGTCCAGATCGCCAGGACTAAAGAACGCAGCATTCCCTGCATACCCCTTGGTTTTTGCTTTTGTATGGCCACTTGCAATGACGAGCCATGACGTCGGCGTCCGTAACTTTGTTCGTTAATGGAATTCTTGACTGGGTTTTACTTCTTCAAAGGAGACGGTTTGCCAACCTTGAAACATTGTCACAAAACACACCCAATCCATTGTATGTGACAAGTGAAAAACATGGCACTGAATAGCTTCAAGTCCATGAGATGCTGCTACATTACTACTACCTACCACAAGAATGCCCATCCCTGGCGATCTCGGTCGCGACAGTGGACATGGAGTCGCATCAACAGATAGAATTACCCAAGAATTTGCCTGATTGTCTTCAAGATTTACATCCCTCGCTTACCCAAGATACTCGTACCCTTAGTTCTCAATTCCGTGGAAAGATTGTGGCGAAGGCGACACGGCGTTCTCTCATGCCTACAGGGCAACTCTGCTAAGGGGCTTGAATCTCACCAGTTACAAGACAACTTCCTTGTAGGCCACCAACTTTAGTTCTCTTTAACATGGACGTCGCTACCCCATTCTTCATGGAAAAACTTTTTCGGCTGACCCAAATTGATATTCGGCTGACCCCAAAAAGATCAGATGAGATGAAAGGAAATCAGATAAGATAGAAGGTTACAGAGGCAGTTAAAATAACCTAAGCTATCGACGCCTTTAAATATTATTACCTGATTAGGCAAGTTCTTAGTGAAGGATAGCTTCTATCTAATCTTAGTGAAGGAAGGATAGCTTCTATCTGATCTTTTTTTTAGGGGACGTGAAGATTCTTATAGGTGGCGGTTTGCTTTTATCTTATAATCTAGGGGTGATATTCTTGGGTACCTGGTTGCTTTCATCTGATCTTTTTGGGGTCAGCCGAATATCACTTTGGGTCAGCCGAAAAAGTTTTTCCTTCTTCATTGCTCTTGACAAGTTCACTCATTTCCGAGCGAAGGCGATAGATCTTCCTCTTAGGTGGGTGGTAAGTCAATTGTAGAGTACCCATCTTAGGCCATCGTAGAAGTAAAACCATGGAGTTTCAGTGTCTTGGGAGACTTCCAGAAGTGTTCCAGCAACGCTTCGTGATCCTCGCGGTCCTGTCCGATGCCTTGAATCTTGAAAGGAAGCACAAAGCACTGCTTGGCCTCCAAGTACACAAAGTATTGGAACTCGCCCAGGTTCCTGAGGAATATGTCATCTTTTTCAGTGAAGCTTGTAAAACTAGGGAAGATCATGCGCTTCAAAGAAGCCCTTTGTTAGAGCAGTGCAGTCCGGATAGTGGGTGATCGATGAATATTGAATCTTAAGAGAAGCGCGTTGTTGACCAAGTATTCGAAAGCCCCTGAAGCGTTGCAATGGCCAAAAGAGTATAAAAAAGCCTTTGTAGAAACGTAATAGCCAACCAAGCGGATGGTTCCGACGCAGACTTGATTGGAAGGGTGAAAGTTACGGAACGTTACATTCAAAAAGGGACAGGAAGAAATCTACTGGCATCAAGATATACTATTCTTAGTATCACGACTTCTTCAGCGGAGAACAGAGTGAACGAGGCATCCTACACAGATCCATGAAGAGTGACTGGCAACTGCAGAGTAGGTCAGTGAATAATCGTGGCAGGTTTCATAACCCAGAGAAGTGTTCGGAGACTCCGCAAGCAGCATAATAGCTGGATTTGGGATGCGAGCCAGAGGATTAAAGTTGGAGGTTTCTTGGGTCGTCAGATTGGTGAGGTTTCCAATGGAAAGAAGAAACGTCGGCGCGTGGTCGCGAAGCTGTCACGCTGTCTTCGGCCCGCGCACGAGCACCGCCCCACCAGACTTCGAACATCTCTTTTGTTCTTGACAAACTTATTAAGTGCGTTCGGTCTCTTGGCTGTAAAGCTATTCGTTTCTCCAAGTGAGCACACGTACTCGGCAATCTCGTGAGGCGCGCATTGTGCATCATATATTCCCAGTACTAAGTCTCCAAGCTGTCCATCCGCGACCTCCGCTGAGTTCACTCGGACGGCCCCTTTTCTCTTTCTGTCCTCCAGCCTGCATCTGCGGCAAACAATAAGAGGCCAAGACTAATGCAGGAATCCCAATGTATCACTGCTTATCGTTCGTTTGGACGTCCTGTCCAAAGACAAGCCGAAAACCTTTGAAGTCGCCGGAATTGAACCTCAACTTGAGCAGTCGAGCTGGCGTCAAGTCACGCGGGAGCCATGTAAAGCACCTCGAGGGGTCGCAGTGTTCATGCCCTTGCATCTCGGTAACAACATCGATCCGCGAACGTTAGTTCGTGATGGAGGAGACGCGACAAAGCGCCCGGCCGTGAGCTAAGGAGCTGTTGAAGAAGCTAACGTAAGCATTGCGGCTCTTTTTGAGATATTCGTAAGTGATCTGATAGATCGGCTACGATGCGTGCGGTGAAAAACGTTATGCTCGGCAGTCTGGAGTCGCTCTGATCAAGTCGGTTCTTGTGGAGAGGCGCCTTGGCTCGCGATGACGAAGGCAGGAACTGTAAATCGACTGGCGGATCATCCAGCCACATCGGGCTTTCTTAGCGATCTTGCGCGTCGTCTGTAGACAGGAACCCTAGGTCGCTAACAGGTAAGATCAAACAATAGTGTGCTGCATACAGCGCATTGGTCATGTAGCCTTCTCTAGCGACAAGAGAGCATCACGGGCCTCTTCATTCTGTCTAGAAGGCTCAGGTAGGCTACAGTGTTGAAGGCGGATTGGGGCAACCGATTCCAGAGACCGTGCACCAGCAATTCTGGTTCGGTCCCAAGCAATAGAATCATGACAGAATCTGGGCTGACGATGAATTGACCGGTACCTGGCCATCACTTTTGAGGATTGCTACAAAAGCATGACGCTTGGTTCAGAGTCCAGGATTGACAACTCTGTTCGATACTCCCTTGGAACATTTTTCGGACTACTTGGAGCCACATAAAAGTTAATTGGAGTCCTTGGTCAAGAAAGTCTTTTGTATATTCGCAGAAGCCCATTAGAGAAGTCTCTACCCGGAGGAAGGATGATTACAGCAGAAGTCAAGGACTAGTTTCGCCTGACACGCATGCATCGCAGCGGGTAACATGTCTCCACGGCATCGGCGGAGCTGTCCCTGGGATATGACTTGGGCTACGCGTTCTCGAATGACTATATTCTCGAGACATGAACGGAACTTGACATGCATTAAGATAGCACGAAGGCTATATTGACTTTGCCTCCAAACAAACCACAGCATTCTTCAACCAGAGTCTGTTTAAACGGGACAGCAACTGGCCGAGAAGCCAATCTCCATTGCGCTGCGTCGAGAGAAGAGGGTGCTGACGCATCACTCAGCATGGTCATCGCGCGCATTGAGCTGCGCCCTTGGGTGGGGACTGTTCAAACACCCGGAGATATTAAAATCAATGATCAAGGTTTTGCAAGTTATCTGTGGGTGCGTAGTGATTTCCGCAAACGTGACGTAAAGAAGTTCATCCCCGGGAATGGTCAATTTGGTGACGCGAAGTGACCAGGCTAGCCATGAGTGAAAAACAACCGCGGGAAACCTCTCGCGAAGGATCGGAACCACTACCAAGATAGAACATCACAGATGCCGCCTACACGGTGAGGGCAGTACAGACTGAGGTTCCCAGGTGATGCAATTTTGGCCTGATGTGAAAGTTGTCTAAGCAAACGTAATGTGGATACGTGCAGATGGCAGATTGCGAAGCCAAATGCGCTAACCCAAGGGGTTGGGCTAATCTTACGGATGCTCACCTGGGCAGCTCGCCCGGCCGCAGCTCCCATCCCACAAACTTGGCCACTTTATCTTGGCAACTGGTTCTCGACGTGACCATGACCCTTAACTTCTAAATAGGCTAGACTGATCATGCGCGTCCTTGTGGCCTCATCACGACCGTGGGGTTCGCACAACACTCTGGAGTCGTCCCAACCCATATCGGCGGTTTTCACAGGCACTCTCGGCGGCAACAGTTACGTTGCGCCATCGCGACTGTGCTTCCCAGCGCGATAACGTGTCGTAGCCAGGTCCAGAGTCGTTTCTGCGCGCTTTGAAGCCCTCGCCGGCGCAACGATGCCTCGGAGTTCCTTCTACAGATGAACGCGCATTGGCCATTTACACCACTATTCAACAGTATCGTCAGATGCACTTGCAGTATAGGTTCATGCATCTTGTGCCAGGCCGGGACCTCTTGTTAGCATTTTTTGTACCACTTCATTTTAGCAAACCGCGCACAACGTATAGCATTGCTAGCGACTAGCTCGACATCCAATATGTCCGAAGTAAGTTGGCTGCCAGCCTGATGACTAGCTTGCCACGCCGCACATCCACATCAGAACTGACCAAGGACAGTCACCGACCGGTACATCTCCGGATCGCGACGGCATCTATCCATCAAATGGCCGGACGTACGACAAGTATCATTTTCAAGAAAAGAATATCCACATGCAAGGCATCGAGTTGGATGATGAAGAAGAAGACGAGGACATAGATCAACTTATCGAAGACCTAGAGTCACAAGATGGTGAAAATGCCGACTTCGAAGAGGAGGAGGCGCAACAACCAGGCGGTGCGCGTTTGATTCCGGAGGAACTCTTACAGACCGACACACGCACTGGCTTGACATCGGCTGAAGTACTGATACGGCGTAAGAAGTTCGGCGAGAACAAGATGAAAGGTACCAACTATCTTATCCCTTGATTCGCGTTTGCTCACTATGTGCAGAGGAGTCAACAAATAACTGGGTAAAGTTTCTGATGTTCTTCGTTGGTCCAATTCAATTCGTCATGGAAGCTGCTGCAATCCTTGCTGCAGGGCTCCAAGACTGGGTTGACTTTGGCGTCATCTGTGGTTTGCTCCTCCTGAACGCAAGTGTTGGCTTCATTCAAGAGTATCAAGCTGGCTCCATCGTCGAGGAGTTGAAGAAAACACTAGCTTTGAAGGCTACCGTATTGCGCGACGGTACTTTGGTTGAGATCGAAGCACCAGACGTGGTGCCCGGCGATATCCTGCAAGTGGAGGAGGGTGTAATTGTTCCAGCTGATGGTCGCATCGTTACGGAAAATGCCTTTGTGCAGGTCGACCAGTCCTCCATCACTGGAGAATCACTGGCTGTCGACAAACATCGTGGAGATACCTGTTACGCGTCTTCTGCGGTGAAACGCGGCGAGGCTTTTGTCGTGATCACAGCCACAGGCGACTCGACGTTTGTTGGGCGTGCGGCATCACTTGTTGCCAGCGCCTCCAGCGGACCCGGCCACTTCACACAAGTATTGCACGGCATTGGGACAATCCTTCTGGTTCTGGTCATCGTATCATTGCTGGTCGTTTGGATTAGCTCTTTCTATCGATCCAACGATATCGTCACTATCCTCCGGTTCACACTCGCGATCACAATAGTCGGAGTCCCGGTCGGCCTTCCTGCTGTTGTCACTACAACTATGGCAGTGGGAGCGGCGTATCTAGCGAAGAAACAAGCCATTGTGCAGAAGCTCTCCGCCATCGAATCGCTTGCGGGTGTCGAGATCCTGTGCTCTGACAAAACTGGAACATTGACTAAGAACAAGCTCTCACTGGCTGAGCCATATACCGTTCAAGGTGTCGATCCAGAGGACCTTATGCTTACTGCCTGCTTAGCAGCGTCAAGAAAGAAGAAGGGCATCGATGCTATCGACAAAGCTTTTCTCAAGTCTCTACGCCACTATCCGCGTGCCAAGTATGTGCTGAGCAAGTACAAATGCATCCGTTTCCATCCGTTCGATCCAGTGTCCAAGAAAGTTCAGGCTGTCGTTGAGTCGCCTCAAGGCGAACGCATAACATGCGTCAAAGGCGCTCCTCTTTTTGTGCTTCGGACTGTCGAAGAAGATGGTTCCGTCCCACACGAGGTCGAATTGGCCTACAAGAACAAGGTCGCAGAATTCGCTACGCGCGGCTTTCGATCACTCGGTGTTGCTCGCAAACGGGAAGATGAACGTTGGGAAATCTTGGGCATCATGCCATGCTCAGATCCTCCACGCCATGACACGTATCGTACGATTAACGAGGCGAAGTCTTTGGGCCTTTCAATCAAGATGTTGACCGGGGACGCCGTGGGTATTGCGCGAGAAACTTCACGCCAGCTTGGTCTAGGTAAGAACAAACACTCGTTAAGCGTAGCCCATTACTAACTTTGGATGCAGGTACCAACATATTCGATGCTGAAAAACTCGGATTGAGTGGAGGTGGCGAGATGCCTGGCTCGGAGTTCTACGACTTCGTCGAAGGTGCAGATGGTTTTGCAGAAGTGTTCCCACAGCACAAGTACAACGTTGTAGAAATTCTACAGCAGAGAGGATACCTTGTCGCGATGACCGGTGATGGTGTGAACGACGCGCCGTCGTTGAAAAAAGCAGATACTGGTATCGCTGTACAAGGTGCTTCCGACGCTGCTTGCTCCGCTGCCGACATCGTTTTTCTTGCCCCTGGCCTCTCTGCTATCATTGACGCCCTCAAAACGTCACGCCAGATTTTCCATCGCATGTACGCTTACGTTGTCTACCGCATCGCTCTGTCACTACACCTCGAGATATTCTTAGGTCTTTGGATCGCTATCCTCAACGAGAGTCTGAACCTACAGTTGGTGGTGTTCATTGCTATCTTCGCTGATATCGGTAAGACTTGCTTCCTGGATTCTGATATACATGTACTGACTGAATTGCAGCGACCTTGGCTATCGCTTACGATAATGCACCGTACAGCAGAACTCCGGTCAAGTGGAACCTGCCTAAACTTTGGGGAATGTCAATCCTCCTTGGCGTCATTCTGGCTGTAGGCACTTGGATCACAATGACAACCATGCTGCCTTACCTTACTGGCGAGCAGCAGCGTGTCGAAGGTGGCATTGTTCAGAACCATGGCCAGCGTGACCCAATCCTGTTCCTCGAGATTACATTGACTGAGAACTGGCTGATTTTCATCACCCGCGCCAATGGCCCGTTCTGGTCATCGATTCCTTCATGGCAACTTGCCGGGGCGATCCTGGTTGTTGACATCCTTGCTACGTGTTTTACTATTTTCGGATGGTTTGTGGGCGGAAGAACAAACATTGTTGCCGTGGTCCGTGTCTGGGCCTTTTCCTTCGGCATCTTCTGTATTATGGCAGGAGTGTATTACATTTTGCAAGGCAGTCAAGGCTTCGACAACCTCATGCACGGAAAGCTTCTCAAGAGAAAGCAAAAGCAGAGGAACCTTGAAGACTTTGGTAAGCATGATGGTTCTCTGTATCCGGGATAGGACAGTCGCTAATCACATCTAGTTGTTTCACTGCAACGGGTGTCAACACAGCACGAGAAGATCCAGCATGAGAAGATGACATAGCATCTTCACCATACTGGGCCTTCACTACCACATTAGCGATCCAACATTACGCCATCGTGAGGGTGGTTTAGTCCTTCTCTGTAACACTGTGGGGGTCAGTAGAGGGCGTTTGGCGGCACTCCTGATTCCTAGTCACTGTTCATGGTTGGTTTTTTGAAGTATATTTGTATTCACACCTGTTTAGGATAGATGCGAACATCAGGGGATTGTAGAACATCTAGGAAGTCCACCTGTATGCCAGGGGCGACGTGTTGATTATGACAAGCAACTTTATTTCAATTCAACACATCCAACACGACGTGGGCATTGCACGGTCAAGTACAACACTGATAGAGTTGCACTGCATTCCGTTTCCCTCTGAAGCATGTAGAAAACTTTCCTTAGGTTTGTTGCTGCTCTGTTGTGGCTAGTGCGATGTGGCTTGAACGCGTCTGACATGCATAAGTATCACCTAGGAAGCGATTAGGTACAAGGTTACGGAAACACTCGGCTATACGCAGTTGAACATCGTTTTACAACAACGATGCAAGTCCCGAGTTCAGAGGTGGGCTAACAACATGCACAACAAACATCGGGGTCCGGGGCACAGCGAACGCGGTGACGTCGCTTGCCAGCATCGTAACCCCACCTTCGGCATCGAAACACGCGCAGCTATCAAGGATCACGTAACACAACTTAAGTTGATCAACATCGCACTATAGTCTACTTGATGCTCAAATACTCACGAAGCATCAACTCTTACCTTCGACGTCAGCTCAGCCTCAACCACGCTTCGTTACACTGCCCCAAACTACCCCTCCTACCATTGACACAGGCATTCGCAACAATGGCCAACCTCAACATCACCATTCCTAAGTTGAAACTAAACGACGGAACCTCAATGCCAATGCTCGGCTATGGTACCGGCACCGCCTGGTTCAAGACTGGAGAAGAAAGCAAGATAGATCAGGCTATCATCGATTCAGTCAAGATCGCAACCAAGTTGGGTTACACTCATCTTGACGGCGCAGAGGGTAACTACAGCGTCGTTCTTAGATCTGAGGGCTTTACTGATGCTAGAAAGTCTACAAAACTGAGACCGAACTTGGCACAGCCATCAAAGAAAGCGGTGTCCCGCGTGAGAAGTTGTACGTCACTACCAAGGTGAACAATGACAACATCAACAACATTGCTGGAGCTATCAAGACCAGCTTGGAGAAGTTGCAACTCGACTATGTCGATCTGTAAGTTATGCAAAACCAATGGATAGGTAGACTCGATGCTGACAAGCATAGCTACCTCATTCATCAGCCCTGGTTCGCAGGATCAGACGAAGATCTTCAGAGAGCATGGGCAGACATGGAAGCCGTGCAAGCGGCTGGTCTCGCGAAATCCATCGGCGTCTCCAACTACCTTCCCAGCCATCTTGCTGCCACTCTCAAGACTGCCAAAGTCAAACCTGTGTGCAACCAGATCGAGCTCCACCCTTATTTGCAACGTCCGGAGCTTCTGGAATTCCACAAGCAGAACGGCATCGCCACGACCGCCTACGCGCCTCTAACTCCTGCTACCAAGGCCAAGCCTGGCCCACTGGACGATTACGTGGAGAAGCTGACGAAGAAATATGCTGTAAGCGAGAATGAAATCTACCTCAGGTGGTGCATGGATCAGGACATTGTGCCGATCACGACAAGTGGGAAGGAGCAGAGACTGAGTGATTATCTGAGGGCAACTACGTTCAAGTTGACGCCAAGGGAGGTCAAGGACATCAACGAGATCGGACAGAACAAGCACTTCCGTGGATTCTGGAACCATGTCTTCAAGGGTGACGATCGGTCGTAGTAGAGTCTCTATCGAGCAGCACGTAGATTTGGCCGACGCAAAGCTCTGAGCCTATATTAGTATACAAAGCAGTGGCTAATCAGAGTATCTCATATTGCTGTACATGTGCGTGTGAGCAGCATGTGATGTTATAAGCACAGGTCTTGGTGTGCGTGATTCGAGACTGCTGCCCGTTGGCTCGGTCGGGGTGAACACTTGGGGCGCCAAGACAGTCGCTCAATCTTTCCGCGCGAGCTCAGCAACTTCAACCTCCACCTCCACTCGTCGCGCATCCACTCTCGACGCCCACCGACATCGCGCGATTGGCATCTACGCATAAGACCGCGCATACCGTCACATCTAACACAAGTCCAAGCGTCGCGCTGCGCAACCACCGCCGCCATGTCAGGCGCAACCGCAAAGGGCAAGAAGCAGGTGAACAAGAACGCCTATCGCCGGGCAAAGAAGAAGCAACAGCGCTCTGTAAGTAGCACACATGCACCGCTTCGCGTCTCCCAAGCCATCGTACTGATCAGCCACAGGAGACCCCATCGGAAGCCGGTGACTCTGCGCGTGAGAGCGAATCTCCCGCACCACAAAGCGACAGCAATAACGAAGCACAGGCGGTCAAGCCCGCGAACCTTCTCACCGTTGACGACATCGCAAACCAATACGACCTTGACGACCCCGTGTTTGAGGAATACAAGAGCGTCTTCGAAAAGTTCAGGGAGCCGACAGAGGAGGAGGCGGCGACCAAGGACGAGGAGAAGCCAGAAATCTATCTCTCCGACGACGACATCCCTGACGAGGACGAGGACGATGGCAAGCCCAAGCTTTCCAAGAAGCAGAGGAAGCAGATGAACAAGTTGTCGGTCGCGCAGCTCAAGTCGTTGGTTCCCAGGCCTGAGTTGGTCGAGTGGACAGATGTGTCATCCTCCAATCCCCAGTTGCTAATCTCGATCAAGGGAGCGAAGAATGTCATACCAGTTCCGACCCACTGGTCGCTTAAACGCGAATATCTCTCGTCGAAACGGGGTATCGAGAAGCCTCCGTTCGCCCTGCCCAAGTTTATCCAGGAGACAGGCATTGCAGAGATGCGAGATGCGGTTTTGGAGAAGCAAGCAGACATGACGATGAGGCAAAAGCAGCGAGAACGCGTGCAAGGAAAGCTCGGCAAGCTCGATATCGACTACGCGAAATTATACGATGCCTTCTTCAGGCGACAAACGAAGCCAGAGTTGACGCGATATGGCGAGGTCTACTACGAGGGCAAGGAGTTCGAGACCAATCTGGTGAATCTCAAGCCCGGTGAGCTGAGTGAGGAGCTCCGAGAGGCACTCGGAATGGCCCCAGGCCATCCGCCACCTTGGCTCATCAACATGCAGCGATTCGGCCCTCCACCATCCTACCCCAACATGCGCGTCCCTGGCGTAAACGCACCTATCCCACCTGGCTCTTCTTGGGGGTTCCAGCCTGGCCAGTGGGGCAAGCCTCCCATCGACGATGCTGGTAAGCCACAGTTTGGAGGCGATCTTTACGGGACAGCCATATTGGAAGAGCAGCAGCAACCAACACACGTCGGTGAGCCTGTAGAGCGCGGTATCTGGGGAGCACTACGAGCCGAGGGCGAGAGCGAAGACGAGGAAAGTGACGAAGAAGAGGAGGATGAGGACGAGGACGAGGAGGAAGGTGACGAAGACGCGTCTGGTATTCAGACATCGATGACAACAGCATCCGCCATGCCATCAGAGATTGGAGGTGCAGAGAGTATCGGTGGAGAATTCCAGCTCCGAAAGCAGCGGAAAGGAATCGAGACGGAAGAGCCAGGCGTCCCACGCAGCGCAGGTACAGTGCTTCCCGAAAAGAATATTTCGGTGACTGGGTTCTTCGGCGGCGAGCACGCTTATGATCTTGACGCAGCTAGGCGCGATGCGCTCGGCAACGCACAGAGGAAGCGCAAGGCTGGGGACATTGACGTCTCTGTCGACGTCGACCAGTTGGCAGATAGCGATAAGCTTGACAAGGACGCGCTAAAGAAAGAGTATGAGTCAAGGCAAAGAGCCGAAGCACAAGGGCAATGGCAGAGTATCGATCAAGATGACTTGGCGGACATGATCAATCAGGAGAGTAGGAAGCGTGCGAAGAGGGAGGATGAGCGAAAGACCAAGCGCTAGGTCTGTCGATTAAGAGTCCGTAGAGGACATGTGTTTTGTACAAAAGATTACGGGTTGCATTCTCAAGAGCTCTATGAGCGAGCGGGCGTCACGGATGTCAAGGGTCAGTAGGGCTTCGGCATATTCAGCATTGGGATACGGCGTTACATGCGGCAGCCAAGGTTGACCGCAGTTGAACATAATCAAGATGAAGAGTTTTTCAATTTCAAGGACAAGACTGATGGGAGAATTGCATACTGACTGCGAAGGCGGTAGTACGCCTCGCTGTAACAAAAGCCTCGAAGGATGCGACACACAAAGCAAGGGATGTGAAAGACACGAGCTGAAAGCGTGAGTTGGGAATAGCATACCCTCAGGTTTGAAAGATAGACACGGAAAGACTACGTTCGTATTGAGGAGCTGGATATGGGCTTCCATGTCAATACCTAGGCGGCCATGGAAAAACGATGAGGCGATGGTGGAATACGCAAGGGAAAGAAGACATCAAATGTTCTTTGAAGTGCCACTCACACAACGCTGGATTTACCGCACACCCGCACTCGCTTCCCTCGTCTTCGATCTTATGTCCGGCGAGCAACTAGGGTATGCCACACTCTCGCTGTTTGCATACTGTGAATGAGCAGCGGCTGAAACGTGGACGCTTTCCGGCACGTGACAAAGGAACGCGTCCAGTCGCTGGGCTTGGCTCCGAACTTCACTTTTTGCGACCTAACACACGAGCAGCCACCACCACGCAGCAACCGCAGCTATTAGCTGTTCACCCCGACTAATCTCTACCATCGCATCTCTTGGTATTACTTAGCTGCGATCGGCCAGACATATCCCCTCGATTGCAGAGATGGACAGGGATCGTGAGCGAGACAGAGACCGAGGAGACCGAAGGTTTGTCGACTCCAAACCGGTTGTCGCCTAGGCTGCGACGAGCAAATACCCTACCAGACACGCGGGATCTGATACGAGCGCATCTACTGACACCCACATAGAGACGATAGGTACTCCAACACATACCGTCCTCGTTCCCCTGGCCCACGCCCACGCTCTCCACGCGGCGACAGCTATCGAGCACGCTCACCTCCTCCCCGTCGCAGTTCGCCTCCTCGCCGCGTCTCACCCATTCGCCGCGGTATAGCATCGGCTGATACATATGTTCCTGGTGGCCGCTCGTCGCGTCCTCGCAGTCGGTCGCCAGCTTTCCGAAGAAGATCTCGAAGCCCACGTCGCGATGACAACTGGAGGGCACGTCCTCGATCACCACCTCGCCGAGCATTCTCGCCGCGACGGGACGAACCTAGACGGGATGACTATAGGGCAAGGTCACCGCCACCGCGGCGAGATCGCGATCAGTACGACTCGTACACTCGCTCTCCACGCCCACGAGAGAGGTCCCCACCGCCCAGAGAGCGCGATGTTTCTCCGGCCAGGAGCCGTGGCGTGCGTTCGCCTGTCCGTTCGAGCCGGTACGAAGAGCCGCGCTCTCGAGTAAACAGGTTTGTCCTGAGCCCAGCGCAATGCCATGTCACTTGCTAATCTGTTTGAAGCCCCCCTCCTCGCCGCTATTCCCCTCTGCGTGACACTCGGGACACACGCGACTACCGACGCCGCTCGCCCTCTCCAAGACGCGACCGTCCCGACCCTTACACTGCAGACACCTGGAGAAGTCGTAGGTCCCCTTCGCCTGCGCGACCGACGTACGCTTCAAATGATGCATCAGGTCGGGATTCTGCGGCAACGTCTCGTCGCTCTTCCCCGCCACCTATCCATCCTAGCCGGGCTGCACTGGTAGAAGACCGACCAGTTCGGGATCCCGTCTCAGCACCGCGATCGCCGTTCCGTGAGCGCCTCCCCGACAGAGGACGAGACTATAGTCGCGAGCGAGAGCGTTCGCCTCCACGCCGTCGGGAAAGCCCTCCTACAGGACCGCGCGGAGATAGAGACTTTGCGCCGCCTACTGGACCATCTTCCTCTTCATACCGTAATGGTGACAGTAACTTTGCCAGAGCTCCACCGACAGGGCCTTCCAGCCGGAGCTATCCTTCCCCGGCGATTTCGCCTCCCGCTGGCCCGTCAAGCCTGGCATCACAACCTCCTGCCTTTCCTCGGGGCAATAACCCTGTGCTAGCAGCGCCAACACGACCGCGGGGTGGTGGTCGTGGTGGGTTTGGAGGATACGAAGGACGAGGAGACTTTTCTGGTTCATCCTCACGACGAGGGTCTTGGGGTGCAGGTCCGCGAGGAGGAGGCTACTACGGCGGTGCGCCATCTGGTCCACGCGGTTCCAGCAGCGGCCCTGGTGGAGCGGTACCTTTTGCTCCTTCGTTCCGCGGGTCTAACAACTCCACTGCTACGACCTACCCTCGTACAATGCGGTTCCGAGACCATCTTTCCGACCTCCCCAAAGAGATTCCCGGGGGTCAGAGAGCCCCTGAACTGTACGACAAGAGCAAGATCTTGAAGCTCGAGGCTGAGGCTCAAAAATTGAGGGAGATGATTGACAAGAAAGAGGACGCGAAGAGACAGAGACTGAGGGAATGGGACAGTCTTGAACGTGAGGCAGAGACGGCCCAGCTGAGGGTTGACCTTGCTGAGGGTTCATTGCGAAACATAAATGGAGAGGCGGATGTTAGTGATGCCTTCTAGGAGGGGCTGTGCCTACTAATTCATGACCTTGAGGAATATACATGGTAGTTTCGAAGCTGACTAACAGCTCAGGGCGTTTTTGATCTTGGAAAGTACGAATGGTAGTTTTCGGCTTGGAAGTAAGGTCCTGATAGCGGTTGTTGAGTGGAACACGTTGGTAGCAATCAGGTGCCGATCAATTGAACGTCTTACTGTTATTCGCAGCTTGTAATATGTTGTCCTATCATTGTGTTTGCTGAGTCGGCTTTATCTGTATTAGTGCAGTGTTGGTGAGTATCATGGAATGGTTGATAGGATACGACTCGGAGGAACGAACTTTCACACGGGAGAGGCTTGTTGTTATCTAGGGTTGGCGGTCTACCTAAATCGCACGTTTAAGGTGTGCATGGTGCATCTCGTGTTGAAATGTGTAGAGAAGGTACTAGAGTATGTCTTTGAGGCGTTTGATGGTCACTCACCCGGCGCAGAGGGCTGGATGTACTGCGGATTACCGATTGGCTAGTATTGATTCTCCACCCACCTGCAGTTCTGACTCGCCGAACGCCAAATTGTTGCAGCAGCTGTTCTAACTAACGCATCCGTCGCCTCAACTTCCGCAGACTGCCTTGCTGTTCCAGAAAAATGGTAGGCAAGAAGGTATGGAGCTCTATGCTTAACGGCGACCAAGGATTAACGTGAGTTCAGGAAGTCGCGAAGCCCAAGGCTGCCCCGCGCGGGGCCGTGAAGGCGAATGTTGCGACTGCTGCGCCTGCGGTAAAGAAAGTTGACGGCGATATGGATGTGGATACTGGGGGTGCCAACCTTCAGCCAACAGCGGGCGATGATGCGACCGACCTCAATCCCGATGCTTCAACATCGGCCGGAGCGACACGAAAGCGACGGGCGCCGCTTACTCATGCCAAAGACGAGTTCGCCGCCCTCCTCGAGCCGTTCTACTACGGAAAGAGCCTGACCGACCCGATCAATACTGCGCGCGACAAATGGAATCTACTGCCGGCGTTTTTGAAGACCAAGGGTCTCGTCAAGCAGCACGTCGATTCGTACAACCACTTTGTCGATGTGGAACTCAAGAAAATCATCAAGGCCAACCGCTTTGTCCGCAGCGATTTCGACCCCAAGTTCCTCCTCGAGTACACAGACATTCGCGTCCTTTCTCCGAACCGACAGGAAGAAGATGACCTCGAACATCACCGCAGTACCATTACACCCAACGAATGTCGATTGCGCGACATGACATATGCTGCGCCGATAGTGGTGGACATTATATACACCCGCGGAAATGCCAAGGTCAAGCGGACGGGCATCAAAATTGGGCGAATGCCCATCATGTTGAAGAGCAACAAATGTGTGCTCGCTGGAAAGAACGATCGCGAGATGGCAGTTATGGAGGAGTGCCCGCTAGACCCGGGAGGCTACTTCATTACTCGAGGGCAAGAGAAGGTCATCTTGGTTCAAGAGCAGCTGAACAAGAATCGAGTCATTGTTGAGAGCGCAAAGGGTATCATGCAAGCCAGCGTAACGAGTTCTACGCACGAGAGGCGAACCAAGACATACGTGATTCAGAAGAAGGGCCTCATGTACCTCCGACACAACACGCTCTCCGAAGAGATTCCGATCGTATTCGTAATGAAGGCACTTGGTGTACACTCTGACAAAGAAATCCTGCTGATGATAGCCGGTGAGGACAGCGCGTATCAGGACAACTTTGCTATCAACTTCGAGGCATGCGCAAGGGAACAGATCCACACCCAAGAACGAGCGCTTGAGTACATCGGCCATCGCGTACGACTAGTGAAGAAGCCGCTTGGTACGTCGCGCAGTCGGAACTATCACTTGGAGGCTATCGAGTGTTTGTCCAATGTCGTACTTCCCCACGTCCCAGTCGAAGGCACAAATTACCGACCAAAAGCCCTCTACGTCGCCCTCATGGCGCGTAGAGTTCTGATGGCCATGCAAGATCCAAAGCTAGTGGACGACCGTGATTATGTCGGAAACAAGCGTCTTGAGTTGTCTGGTCAGATGTTGTCGCTTCTCTTCGAGGACCACTTCAAGCGTTTCAACCACGACTTCAAGCTGAGTATCGACAAGGTCCTGAAGAAGCCGGTCCGAGCGCAGGAGTTTGACGCCTTTTCCCACTTCAGTGTACACAAGAATCACATCACGATGGGTGTAGAACGTGCCATTGCGACTGGAAACTGGAGTTTGAAACGTTTCAAGATGGAGAGAGCTGGTGTTACACACGTCTTGAGCAGACTGAGTTATATCGCTGCGCTAGGTATGATGACGAGAATCAGTTCACAATTCGAAAAGACGCGTAAGGTTTCCGGTCCTCGTGCGCTGCAGCCATCGCAATTTGGTATGCTTTGCACATCAGATACCCCAGAAGGAGAAGCCTGCGGTCTTGTCAAGAACTTGGCGTTGATGACACATATCACAACCGAAGATGATGACGATCCAGTGCGCAAGATTGTGTTCATGCTAGGCGCTGAAGATATCTGTTCGCAAACAGGAGAAGAGATCCATTCGGAGGGTGTGTACAGTGTGTGTCTCAACGGTACACCCATCGCTGTCACCGATACACCAAAGCGATTCCTCAACAGCTTCCGGAAACTCAGGCGGATGGGTCGCATCTCTGAGTTCACCAGCATTCACATTGACCACGACCACTGCGAAGTCCACATCGCTACGGACGAAGGGCGAATTTGCCGTCCAATGATTATTGTTGAGAATCAACGCTCTAAAGTTACGTCGAGGTACCTGAAAGCCCTTCGCAAGGGAACAATGGAGTTCGAGGATTTCTTGCACAGAGGTCTAGTGGAGTATCTCGATACAAATGAAGAGAACGACACGAATATTGCTTTGAAGGAGACCGAGATCAACCAGCATACCACACATCTCGAGATTGAACCCTTCACCATCCTGGGCGCTGTCGCTGGTCTTATCCCATACCCTCACCACAATCAATCCCCTCGTAACACTTACCAATGCGCTATGGGTAAGCAAGCTATTGGCGCCATCGCCTACAACCAGTTCAACAGAATAGATACACTGCTCTATCTCATGGTCTACCCCCAACAGCCTATGGTCAAAACACGGACTATCGAGCTCACCAAGTACGACAAACTGCCTGCTGGTCAAAACGCAACTGTCGCAGTCATGTCCTACTCTGGATACGATATTGAGGATGCGCTCATTCTGAACAAAGCCTCCTGCGACCGCGGCTTCGGTCGCTGTCAGGTGTTCAAGAAGCACGTCACGCCTCTGAAGACGTATGCCAACGGTACCTCTGATCGCATCAATGCTGGCGCTCTAGACGTAGACAACTCCAGCCACCAAGCCATCGGTCAAGACGGTATCGCTCAAGTCGGTGCCCGCATTGAAGCTGGCGATGCTTATCTCCTAAAGTCCATTCCTCAGGACACCGCAGGACCCGCAACGAACGTTTACAAAGACAAGCCCGACAAGTACAAGTTGCCCGACTGCAGCTACATCGACAAAGCATGCATCACCGAAAATGAAGCAGGAACCACACTAATCAAGCTCCTCATGCGACAAACCCGCCGCCCAGAACTCGGCGACAAGTTTTCTTCGCGCCACGGCCAAAAAGGTACGACAGGTCTCATCGTCCAACAAGAAGACATGCCCTTCAACGACCAAGGCATCTGCCCCGACATTATCATGAACCCCCACGGTTTCCCCTCGCGTATGACAGTCGGCAAGATGATGGAACTGCTCTCCGGAAAAGCTGGTGTTCTCAACGGCACCCTCGAATACGGAACTGCGTTTGGTGGATCCACCGTTGAAGACATGTCACAAATTCTTGTGGAGAAGGGCTTCTCATACACTGGTAAAGACTACCTAACGAGTGGTATCACGGGAGAAGCACATCAGTTCTACACCTTCTTTGGCCCGATCTACTACCAGAAGCTCAAGCATATGGTGCAGGATAAGATGCACTCGCGTGCTCGAGGTCCGCGGGCTATCTTGACGAGACAGCCTACCGAAGGTCGTGCGAGGGATGGTGGACTGCGTCTGGGCGAGATGGAACGTGATTGTTTGATTGCATACGGTGCTTCTCAGCTGCTGCTTGAGCGATTGATGATCAGTTCGGATGCGCATAATGTTGATGTTTGCGAGAAGTGTAAGTCTTGTCCATGTTTCAATGCTCAGTATTTTACTAACAATGCAACAGGCGGCCAAATGGGCTACAGCGGCTACTGTAAACTCTGCGAAAGCGAAAAGGCAGTTCGCAAGATCACTATGCCGTATGCTGCTAAGCTTCTGATTCAGGAACTGGGTAGCATGAATGTCAAGGTGACGATTGGATTGGAGGATGAATTCCCTCGGGATGCGTAGACGGAGAAGAGGTCGATGCATGTTTGGCGCTGGACTGGACTGGGCTTGGGTGCATAGCGTGGCGTTTGTCATGATCATCTTTATTCCAATATACATAATTATGGAAACTTGTCGTATCACAGGTATGCTGTTCGTCAGGCTATACTGTCCCGTTCCAAAGCTAGACCACCCAAGGCCATGTAGCTGGCAAAAGCGACATGTGTACCGCGGAGTCCATGTCACCATACACTATCATGTCCTAGTCAATCATAATCACGATGCATCCTTTCTCTTTGACCTACGGCACCATGATCTCATGCGCGTTGCCGTCTCTGGGGTCATCGACTCTCGCGGATATCTGCCGAGAGCCACCATCATTGATAGAATAGCGATTGGTTCTAGATCCCGAGCTACAACGAGCCAAATCTCCATGGGTATCCTATCCAAAGGTGGTGGTAGGACTAGGGATCGTCTGGTCGCCGTCGCACCCTGTGCCCCGCGTACTATGCTAAGGTACGTGCTGGCTGTAAGCTGCGGTACAATTCTGTGCTGCTCCAGGGTAGGGTAGATGGCCAGAGCGAGGTTCATGAGATTACCACTACCCACATACTCGTAGATTATAAGCAACAGTTCGGCGGGGAGAAGATCGAACAGATTGTCGCAGAGGTTGCCGTTGAAGGATGGCTTGCGCGGCGGAGGTGGAGGCGGTGGAGGCGGTCCGGCAGCCGAAGACATGTTTGCGTGCAGAAGTGTAGATGACTAAGGTGGAAATAGCCGTTGTGGTTTCAAGGGCGAACACGGTTTGCTCAATCGGTGTGCGGTTTGCTAGGCGCGTCGGCAGCGACTGACAATAGCCAACGGTAGATGTAACTAGAGAGAAACCAGGCTCCTACAGCGACTGCGGTAATGTATATGGCGACGGGAGCGAGTGACTGGGGGAAGACGTTCAGTACAAAGGGATCGAGTACTGCGACTGTTAGGTTTTATGCGACTTGTACATGCGAGGAGACGTACTGAGATCCGCATCGACTGGAGGCGGGTAGTCCATCAATGTGCGGTTGGTCGAGTAGTAAGATGCTGCAGCCTGGAGGCGCAGAAGTAACATCGACTTTGGGGCTGCAGACGATGTTTCCTTGGTGGCGATATCGTCGTCGTCGGCTAGGCAGCGTCGAAACTCCGAGTTAAATTGTAACAGCGAAGAGGTCAATTCAGGCGTGTCGAGTAGTTGGGTAACAGAATAAGTGTCGAGCCAGAAGTCGGTGGGTTGCTGGGCATGTCAGTACAAGCAAACGCGTATGTATGCACACGACATGCAACGGGAAAGCGCATTGAACTCACAGTTGCCGGCCAGCAGATGCGCAATTCGTACCTCCGCCCGTCTTCCAGGTCGCGAAGCAGATACCAGGACTCAAGACCGCGGGGCACCGACTCGGTAGGAAACCGTACGGGCACACGGATCGGGAGGATGGTAGAGTCAGGCGACAAGTAGTTCAGACCGAAGTCATGCGGGCTGGAGCGGACATTGGGGAGAGTCACAGGCTTGGGACCGAGGAATATCGTCTTCTCGACGTTGGCATTCACCGTCCAGAGCTGTGAGACGATGCAGAGCAGCGCGGCGGAGAGGCGCATCTTTGGCGGATAGCACGTGAGGATGGGGAGGAGCTGGGTGGAAGGCAGTTCATGGTCTCTCAGGTGGGCCAGAGCAGTAGCATTGGAACAGCAATGCTAGCCGTCCAGATGGCAGAGTCGTCTGGAGTCGTGTATGTCTACGCAGTGGCCAGGCAGCGGCATTGGACGTGTTGCTTAGCGCCCTTGTCCGCGCTAGGCCGCGCCTGCACAGCCTAAAAGTTCGATTCCACAGACAACACCAGCACCTCTCCCCCACTGCTCCACTCCCACCGACAGCAGCTCCTCAACCTCGCCCAGCCATCCCCGAGACCGCATTCCGATAGCCAAATTACTACTCTGCTTCTAATCCAACATGAGAGAAGTCATCAGTCTGAACGGTATGTCGTCTTATACGCTGATACGCGCCTTGACCGCCTGGGCGGGACATCCCTGACTATTTGTTGATACTGACTTTCACGCGTCTAGTCGGCCAGGCCGGTTGCCAGATTGCAAACTCTTGCTGGGAGGTGAGTACAAGACGAGGACACGCCCGGCTTCCCCTTGTTCTGTACTGCATTGCACTGCACGGCAAATCAAGGGGCTGCGGCTACCTCACCGCCGGTGCGCGATTATACTGACTTGCCCTCGCAGCTTTACTGCCTCGAGCACGGTATCCAGCCCGATGGTTTCCTCACCGAGGAGCGCAAGGCCCTGAACGACGACCACGGCTTCAGCACCTTCTTCTCCGAGACTGGTACGCACATTGCCTCCCGAGGCGCCGTTTCCCAAGACTAACTCTGCGCAGGTCAGGGCAAGTATGTCCCCCGTACCATCTACGCCGATCTTGAGCCCAACGTCGTCGACGAGGTCCGCACCGGCCCTTACCGCTCCCTCTTCCACCCCGAGCAGATGATCACAGGCAAGGAGGATGCCTCAAACAACTACGCCCGTGGTCACTACACCGTCGGAAAGGAGCTCATCGACCAGGTCCTCGACAAGGTCCGCCGCGTTGCAGACAACTGCTCCGGTCTGCAAGGTTTCCTCGTCTTCCACTCCTTCGGTGGAGGAACTGGTTCCGGTTTCGGTGCCCTGTTGATGGAGCGTCTGTCCGTCGACTACGGCAAGAAGTGCAAGCTCGAGTTCTGTGTCTACCCAGCTCCTCAGGTTGCCACATCCGTTGTTGAGCCATACAACTCCATCCTCACCACCCACACCACCCTTGAGCACTCCGACTGCTCCTTCATGGTCGACAACGAGGCCATCTACGACATCTGCCGCAGGAACCTCGGAATTGAGCGCCCCAACTACGAGAACCTCAACCGTCTCATTGCTCAGGGTAAGCTCTCAGAACTTTTTGCTTAGAAATGCAGCCTGCTAACATGACTCAGTCGTCTCATCCATCACCGCCTCGCTCCGATTCGACGGTTCCCTCAACGTCGATCTGAACGAGTTCCAGACCAACTTGGTCCCTTACCCCCGTATCCACTTCCCTCTCGTCGCCTATGCTCCCGTCATCTCCGCTGCCAAGGCCGCCCACGAGGCCAACTCGGTCATGGAGATCACCAACGCCTGCTTCGAGCCCAACAACCAGATGGTCAAGTGCGACCCTCGCAACGGAAAGTACATGGCTACCTGCCTGTTGTACCGTGGCGACGTTGTCCCCAAGGACACCCACGCTGCCATCGCCCAGGTCAAGACCAAGCGCACCGTTCAGTTCGTCGACTGGTGCCCGACTGGTTTCAAGGTTGGTATCTGCTACCAGCCTCCTCAGATGGTCCCCAACGGCGACCTCGCCGCCGTCAACCGCGCCGTCTGCATGTTGTCCAACACCACGGCCATCAGCGAGGCCTGGTCTGCTCTCTCGCACAAGTTCGACCTCATGTACAGCAAGCGCGCTTTCGTCCACTGGTACGTTGGTGAGGGTATGGAGGAGGGTGAATTCTCCGAAGCCCGTGAAGATCTCGCAGCCCTTGAGAGGGACTACGAAGAAGTGGCCGCTGACAGCCTCGGCGACGACGAGGGTGTTGAGGCAGAGTACTAAACGGCTTATTACTGTACTCTGTAGCGTTGTGAGGAGCAGTATGGCTCTGCATTGTTGATTGGAATGTCTCTTGTTCGAAGCCTCGCTTTTGAAAAGAGACAAACACCAGGTTGACAATAGCGAGCTACGGCGTTTACAAGGAGAGCTGCTAGCGTACCTTCTTCTCCATACATGAAGCGATTTGGGATCAATTGTCCTCTTTCTATGTTACTACTACCTTTAGTAATGCCAATAAATTGTCGAATGGCACCTTCACATGATTGTTTGATAGGACTTGGATATGTGTATGACTGACGTGAACTATGTGAATGGGCAATCGGCAGATAAGCCTTCGCTATGCTACTTAAAAGACATCGTCAACAAGGTGGTTCTACTATGGCACTAGCCTAAAATTCTTCTTCATCGTCTTCTCTAGCCAAGGCCTTCTTCTCAGCCAACTCCCTAATCTTCTCCCCAAGCATTTCACGCCCATACCTGCTCGCCACTTTACCCGCGAGGTCGAGCATCTTGCCGTTTGCATCCCTCATTAGACTAACAATCTCCAAGGCCTTCATGCCATGGTCCTCACCCGCCAGACATTCCAAGCCGAGCAACTGGAGCAACGCACGGTCAATCGCCACTTCCAGCGTGCTCAGCGCGGATTTCTGCGATGCTGTGGGACGGGTGTGCAGTAGTGTTGAAGAAAGTTGTGAATGCAACGTCGAGGCGAGGATAAAGGCTTGTTCATGATCTTGCTGCTTTTCCTCGTTACTCTGCGGCTCTTCGTCGTCGTCGTCGTCTTCATCTTCCATGTCACTCTCCTCGCCTCTCTTATTCTTCTTGCTCTTGGCCTTGTCGACTACACTTGTGAGTGGGATTTCGAAGCCAAATTCGGAGAGATGCGGAACGGGAGCTGAAGGGTATTGTTCTCGGCCTTTGATGATCATGCAGTGGAATTTTGCACCTGTACCATTAGAGGATGTGGGGGATGAGGCAACACCGACGGGCCAGTATGATTCTTCTTTTCCACCGCCGGCACGTCGCGAGAGGAGCTTTGTGTCGAGCATGGGTACCCATCGGGCTTGACCAGTATTTCTCCAGCCAAGGAGGGTCAGCAAGACGCCGTCAGAGTCATAGATGTACGGGTCGCCTTCCACAGAGAAGAAGACTGAGGTTAGCGTTGTGCCAGGAGGTAGAGCGAGGATGTCAGAGTCCTGGTACACGATGTCGTGCTTGATGTTCTCGATGGTGTAGAGGAGTTGTGTGCTAAGGTCGTTCTGAATGGGTCCGTTTCCAATGGTCAGGATGTAATCGCGCCACGCCGCACAGGTAACTGCTGGCGAGCTCTTTTGCCTGTAGACGCGTACCGGCAGGCCGAAGAGAGAATATATGCGCACGTAGTTCGCCGACGTAGTTACGCAGACATATGAGTCCGACAATGCAATGGCGGTGACAGACTCCCCAGTCGGAAGATTCGTCCGCCACTCGGTCCTTGTCGTCCAAGTCTCATGCGGCCGGTAGTATATGATCGCAGGGTTACCGTCCCCAGTGCTGTTGGGCTGGCAGGCAAACAGCGTACCATTCTCGTTGAGGCAGGATTTGTCATATAGGAAGATGTCGGTGAAGTGGAAGTTGCGGAACGTGTGCTCATCGTAGAACTTGACACTCACTGTATGGTGTTTCCCTTCCTGTTCCACAGTCTCGACGTAGCCAGTCAAAGAACAGCAGAGTAACCGACGATTGCCACGCCATGGTGTACTGCCTGGTTGAAAGGGCTCGTGAACTTGAGGACGGAATAGGGCAGAGCTGTATGCGCGGCGTTTGGAGGCTGGTTCTGCGCCGCTGGTAAGGTGTCCATTCGGACGTTTCTTCGCTGCCGTGACTGCGGGGGCATATCCAGCACCATCATCGTCGATAACAAAATCCTCCATCTCTTCGTCCCCATCCACTTGGGCTTCGTCATCTTGAAATTCAGGGCCCAATATATCCTCTAGAGAATCTGGTGTCCCGCTTCTTTGCCTTGGCCGTCCAGGAAGAGTCTGTACATTGCCATTTGTGAGCTTCGCTGGTTGTGGAACACCAGCTCGGCCTTCTGACGGGTCGTGGAAGAAAGGTGCGGAAACGGTAGGTTTCTGTAGTAGAGGAAGATGTTCGTCGGGCACAAGGTCAGTATGGATGAAGAGTTCGCCTTCATTGTTGGTGTATGAGAGAATATTCTCTGTTGGATGCCATGCCATAGCCAGGATAGTAGCTTTGACATCGTCAAGCTTCTTGAGTTGCTTCTGTGTCTTGGTATCCCAGAGGCATAGGCTCAGGTCGCTCGAGGTAGTCGCCAGCAAGGCTCCGTTAGGCGACCATGCCGCTGCCGTGATATCGGCTGTATGACCCGTCTTGAACACTCGCTGTCTCTCCCAATCGGCCGTTGACATGACCTGTATTTGACGCATTGCCGTGGGTGTAGCGAACGCTCGGCCATCTGGATGCCAGAGGACTTTGGAACTGGTCTCTGCATCTGCCTCCAAGCTTTTGATCATTCCCTCTATCTTGTTGACCATTTCAGGCTCATCGCCATCCAGCTTGTACATGTAGAGGTGACCGTCGGTGCAGGAAACGGCGAGTTGTGTTCCGGTCTTGTCAAAAGAAACATGCTTTACGGCTCGTGGCTGTTCACGCAGTGTTTTCATGCTCTTATCTTTGGTGTTTACGAGGTTAACGACGAGTTCACTGTTACTGTTAGTGACAGAGGCGCATAGCTGAAGCCATATACATACTCGCTCGCAACCGCGATCCAGTTCCCGTCCGGACTAAGAGCAACGTCTCGTACCGGCAGCGTAGTCCTGACCAGTATCTCTTCGAACTTTCCATTCTCTAGCGAGAACCTGCTTACTGTGCCGTCTTCTGAGCCTGTTATAAAGTAACCATTCTACGTGGAGAATCAGTGTATTGCCTCAACCCCGACCGTGCGATACTACGTACACCAGCAACCACGGCGGTGTTGTTCTCCTGACATTCATCCACAGTGATCGGTTCATCGTCAGATCCGGTGGTGAAGACGCGGCAGTAGTTGTCAACTCCGGCTGTGACGAGTTTCTTTCCGTTCGGTGTGTATGCGAGGTAGGTTGCGCCGGGGGCATCTGAGAACTTCCATCAGCGTGACGTATCTAGACTATGGACCTAGTTTGCTTACGAGCCTGTCGAGCACGTAAGCGCTGTGTTGTGGCCATTGTGGTATCGAGTGATGGTTGCTACTCGGGAAGTTCACCGCGTTTGGGTCGACGCGACCGCGTAAAGTGGGTGAGGCTAGCGCGCTTTCGAGGCGCATCCCCGCCGTGCTCCATCATCTCTACCATCACGATGCACTACCCGCGACAGGACTATTTCACGCTAGGCCAGTAACTGTGGCGTTTCGCAGCTGGAAGTCTCCAATCATCAATAGCACCGTGTGTAAGTCAGATGGTTGATCAATGCGTGTGTGTGGATATGGACGGCTCAGCACTTGATGTCGCATGTACAGCTCGAATCACCTTGAAAGCTCATTACCAAGGGTGTATATACGTCACTCATGCCGCGTTCTTGGCTGTCTCAGGTGTGCACCTTCCGATTCTTAAAAAACATAAAACTACAATACTGCTAATTTTTATAACTTTTCTTATTAGGAGACAATATAAACTGTAAGTTGGAGCTTGTTATCTTTGTATCTGTCTGTTTTTCCCTCGTATGCAATACCTGCTTATTGTTCCTCAAGAGTCTTTCGTAAACTCTGAATGTTGTCGCCACTTCTCTCCAAATTTGAAGATCGACATTGGAATGATTGCCAAAGACAGGCTCAACGCGCCCAGAATGCTGAAACCCAATCCATATCCGAGAGCATCAGACAGTGGGCCAGTGGTCAGTGGCAGGAACGTACCCATGAGACATCTGGTGACAATGACGCCAGTCATAGCCGAAGCAGAGTACATGCCACAAGCGTCAACGACGTAGGCGGATAACGGTATGACTGTAAGCAGGAGCGAGAATCCCATGAGGGCGACAGAGGCAAGAAGCAAGAGTACAGGGAGACGGTGCTCCGCAATCCAGCCATACGCTGTTACGGAGAAAGGTAGCAGGATCGCACCGATGATGGAGAGAGGAAGGCGATATTCTGGCTTTCCTTTTGCACCATCTGGACCACGAAGCTTGACATATATCCTATCGAGTGTGAAGTTGCAGACTAGGACACTGCAGAAAGATCCAACGCCTGGACGTTCATTAGCTACTGCGATGAAAAACATCCGGGTCCACTTACTGAATGAGATGAATGTAGTACCAATCATGGCAAGTTTGAAATCATACTTCTCGATCAGAATAATTGGTAGTGAGACACTGACGACATAGAAGAAGCTAAAGGCTACGGAAGCGAACAAAGAGAGAAGCATGAGTACGGTGGACCCGAACAATACCGCGAAAGGCCGGGTCATCGAGTGCCATAGCTTCGCTAGATGCTCATGCGTAGTCCTGGATTCGGAGATTTCTCCGGTTTCCTGCATCGTCTTTGCTGCTCTCCTCCTCAAGATGGTCATCTTGTAGGTCTCTCTGAAGTAGACAAGGAACAGGACCTCGCACGCAATGGCCAGCGCCGCGGCAATGGTCAACATGCGACGCCATCCTAGCGTCTGCGCGATTGCGCCCGAGATGGCAGGGCCGATGGCCCCTCCAATTAATGGTGCAAGCATAACCAGAGACATTGCGGAACCACGTTCTTCGCTCTCAAAAATGTCTCCAATGATCGCTGGGTTGAGAACATTTGAGGCGACGCACAGGCCCGTGAGCATCCTGGCAGCAATGAAAACGCCGCTGTTCTGGCTTAATACTGCTAGAATAGTTGCAGCGATGAATCCGATGTTACAAGCGTTGAAGACAGGATATCTTCCAAAGATTTCTGACATTGGTGCGATGAGCAGAGGTCCGGCAGCTTCTCCGAGTTCCCAGATAGTAACGAGTAAGGCGCTGTTCGCAGAGCTTGAATGCTTCCCATCGAGATCCTCAACAATCGTGCTAGCCACCGGCACAACGCCGATGCAAGTAAACGTGCTGCGAACATAGTCAGTCTCCATGCTTTCGTAACGACCATAGTCCTGATCGGACGTGCATACACTGTAAATGCCATCAGGGCAAGCAGAAAGACGTTTCCCCATTTAAACGTTTTCGACCAATTCCTAGGGTTTTCAGGGTCCAAAGGTTCAAAATCAAGCGCGTCATTCCCAGCTTCTTCACCATCGCGCTCCTGCTGAATACTTTCGTATTCGTGTGATATGATTCTGAGCAAAGGCTGCTCTTCGTCCGCAAATACCATTGCGTTTGCTTTCCAGAAAAGTTCAAGATGAGATTGTTGCGAGGTTTACCAGGCCCAGGAACTTTTTTACAGGACGAGGCGGCGTATTGTGACTAATGAACGCCCTAAGGCGTGTTTAGGTATGGGGTGCATTTTTAGTGTCGGTCGACTGTGACAGCGGAGAAGCTCGCATGTGTTGAGCCGTCCAAGTCCGTGCATCATGTACCTAGGTATGTATCTGGGCTCGTATGGCGTGATTGGTCGGTACATAATTATCCCGTCACCTTACAATATCATTGGACCTGTCTCATATTGAGCTACAGTCAAGACGATTGCACACGACTCTTTGATTTACCATGACCGTAACTGTATCGAGAACCTCATATTTCTTTCTTTCATGTCTCAAATAATCCCTGGCTCTACTCAACTACGATTATGACTCCATCACTCAAACCACGCCAACAACTCCCTTTTCTCCAACCTCCCTCCTTGCAATATCCTCTACATCCACAACCGTCCCCTCTCGAGCACTCTTCTCCAACTCCTCCCTTTTAATCGCACACTTCGCACTATATGTCGCCTGGTCTCTCTTACACTCCTTTTCCCAGAGGAAGTTCTCGCCCCAGCAGGACACGCCGACCAACTCCAACACCAGCACAGACACAACCAAGCCCGTAGTCGTTGCTATCAACTGCAGACTATTGAGGTGCGCAAGAGGCAGCGTTATTATGACTATAGACACACAAACGCGGTAGGCGAGACGAACAGGTTTGCGGAGGCGTTGATTGGGGATCGTGCGGTGAACATGTGTTGCAGAGATGATAGCAAGACAGAGGAGAGATATGCCCAGACCGCCGCAGTAAAACCATGCTAAGCCCTCTGAGATGTGGTTTTCGGAACGGGAGACGAAAGTTTCGGATAAGGATTCGAGAGGTGCTGAAGATATGTCGTGAGCACGAACTAGGACGCCGAGGGCCGATGCGGATAGGACGAAAGACATAACGAAGGGAAGGTGGACGGAGAACCATGTCAATGCTTGTGAGAATTAGCGGCGTCGCCAGAAAAAGTTAGGTTGGGTTGTGGGGCAAGATCAACATCTCACTTACCAGAGTATACATGCCTCCGAATCGCATGCGTGTGCAGATTGAAAGAGTCCATCTCAAAGTAGATCCAGTTAAACACAAATGCCTGTATAAGTCCCAAGACAGCTTTGCCGAAGAAAGCGTTAATACCCATCTCAACATTGCTCTGGTACAACAGACCCAACACGCAAGATCCAAAGACTAGCGTGACGAACGCGTTCGTACGCTCAATCCGATGCTCGATGTTCGTCGCTGGGAAGAATTCCAGACTCCTCTTAATCCAACCGGGAACGAACTTGAACACTGGCGATCCAGGCCGCTGAAGCAGCACCATGCCAAACTGGCCAAACAGGTCAAACACGATAGCCGTCCAGATGGCTCCCTGTCTTGCTGGCTCTTCAACATGTATACTGCCGATCCAAAGTGCCGCGGGAATGAGCATGATAATCCCATTGCCGAGCATGGTTCCTCTGACCATGGGAATGATCCACGCGTACCAAAAGAAGCTCGTTGCTACAAACAACCTGGCTGCCAGATAGAACGCTACGAGCGGCGCGTACGTCCTCTCCCATGCTTCAGCCATATTTGTCGTGAACCCCAATAGGCAAGTGAGCAGAAAAAGCACCGAGAGCCGCCTCACAACGTCGTCGCTATCGAACCACGAAACCAGGACACCGATATCTGTCCAGAACTTCCAGCCCATGATGAAGGTGATGGAAAACCGGAGCAGAGACTGGCCTGTTGGATGTTCGGCCGCAGAATCACCGATGATGGCAATAATCCCCACGTAGAAGAGGTCGATGAATAGTTCATAGGAGGCGACTTCTTGGGCTTCTTTTGCGCGCCATAGAAGACCTTTGTGGAAGTACTGGCGTACTATAGGCTTTTGGTAGAGACGAATGCTGGCGCCGTGGTGGCGGTCTGCATGCCATGTTTCTTTGTCAAATGAGAAGGAAGAGGCAGATGAGTCCGTAGAATCTGCTGTGTTGAAGTCTTCTTTGGTACGAAGATGGGCCGAGTAACCGTATTTGGAAAAGTTGGCGTCCAATTGCACGGCGTGTGAGGTTAGCATGTGGAGTTCGGTAGATAGGGCGTCAAGATCGCGTATCACACGCTCAAATTCTTGGGCTAGGTCGCCGTGATCCTGATGGAGTCGGCGGCGGTGCGCTGTGTGGTGGGCGTGTGTATGGCGGAGTGCTTCAATCTGTGACATGTGATCAGGCATCTATTGCTGTCGAAAAATGGTTTCCAGTCTCTATCCACTAAGACTTACATGTTCGGGAGATCCATGGACGACGAGATCGAAATCTTCCTTCTCCTCCGCAGCGCTGAGTTTCCTCCTCATGTGGTTTGCTTCATCGGGCGAACTCGCAATGTGTACTTTTCTTCCATCGGGTCTGAGGAAATGTCTCAATCTCTTGCCTGTGTGGTGACTGTGATGTGAATGATGCTGCTGGTGAGATTGGTACTCTGCTGTCGTGCCTGCTGGCGTGTCGGTGCCGGTATGTGGAGTATCCGCCATCTTATGAAGGGAATTCGTATCTCCTAGGTTATCCTCCCAAAATGACATCTAGTTACATGCAACCTCAAAGGCACTTCTGGTACCTTGCGCTAGATATGTATTGAGATAGTAGTAGTGTATACCTCTGTAGGGTACAACTTGATAAAACGAGCCTCTTCGCGCTTATCACGAGACGGAAGGAACCCTAGGGCAGTCAAACCAAACGACAAGAGAAAATCAACCAAGCGGGACTATATAGACACCGCGCCGAAAGTTTAATGATGCTGCCTCATTGGCACGGATGACTGATGCTTGCCTGTATCGGTACTAACAACTACCCGATTGGCTAGGATGTGTACCAAGAGCGTGAATAAGCAGTCACCACGCTTGGGTAAGCTGCGGGGCGGGAGCCAACTAAGAGTGTTCTGCTGTTTCGTAAAGCAGCTTGGACATCTAGCAAGAAGCCTCTGTAAGACAAAATGCTTTGGGTTTTGCGTAGGCTGTCCAGCTTACTAGTATAGCTCCAGGAAGATTAGTCAACGCTCATGCATTAAGGTGGCTGTTGGCTAGACAAAGGAGTAGACTTGATGTGAAACATGGTTTCCCCTATATTGTAGATTTGTCCCGTAGGCCAAGAAAACAGACCTGAGGTGATGATAGTGTGTATTGCTCGCTAGAAATGTACGAGCGTACTCCGCCTCGGGCGACCTAAGCACTTTGCTACTTTCCGAAGCCATGCGTATCCGCCATCTATCGTTTCTTGGCTTGCCCGGCAGGGCTCTGTGTACGCGCGCTCGTGCTGCCCGAATCCGTCTTGCCCGCCATCCACGAAGCAAGGTCGAAGTTCTGTAGCTGCTGTGCGGTATTGGTGGAGCCGGAGCCGAGGACGCCTTGCTTTTGCATCTCTTCGAATTCTTCCTTCATCTCGGGATCCACTACATGGTTGTCAGTAGGTGTCTGCATATAATGAACATTCCAGAGACTTACTGTTCTCCATCAACTTGGGCATGCCGAAGATAAGGCCCATGGAGACGACGGCCATAAGAATCATGGGGTTCTTCAAGAATGACAAGGGCGAGACTGGAGTATGTTAGCAAGGTCGGCGAGCAGCACGTGGTCACAAATGCCGACTTACAGCCCTGTCTCTCCTGGTAGAAGTACTTGGTTCCCACCGGGCGGGCCTCGACCACCAAGCCGTTTCCACCCTCACCGCGACTCTCTCCCTTGTTGTCCCATTCATTGCCCAAGAAGGTTTGCCATGCCCTGATCGTCTCCTTCTTCTCCCCGCTGCCCTCCACCGACTCCTCCACGGTGACATCAATCCTCAGTGGCTCGAAGGCATAGTCGCGGCAATGCACAGTAGCCAGGAAGCTGCCCGCGCTCACGTTGTTGAAGTTGAATGTGTTGGAGCGCGTGAGGTAGGCGTCGATGGGCGGGCCAGAAGACTGGAGCGTTGCATGCGTCGTCGAGGGGAGGGTGGACGGGTTGACCAGGACCGTGTTTGGAATTTGAAGGAGCAACCGTGCAGCGCTTGTGAGGGTCGCAAACGAGGTCAGTGAGGCGAGTGAAGTCTTCATCGTCGCGTGGGTTGAGCGAGTCGTTGAATTGGCCATGTTGTCCTGCTGGTGGGCGTCCACTCAATGCGCGAGAACCTCCGCGCACGGACCCTACGTACGTATGCGAAGTACTATTCTCTAGAGGGCCTGATTTGGTCACCTAGGTCCCGCGTTTAGTATGCCCGTGTAGTAATAATGCTCGTCTTCTCGACAGTAGTGCAACATTCATCGTGGTTATGGTTAACATCCTTCTTCCCACCTGACCATCCTTTCATCGAATTGATCACCATCTATGGTCATCAAGGGACAGAAAGTAATCGAGTCACCGCGTAGTTCACTGCTCCGGATTATCGGCAGGGAACAACTCTGCCAAGCTTCCCCCGCACCCACATTAAGCTTGAGAAGCATCGTTGCTGTCTTGTATGCCAACATCTAGCTCATCTCCGCGCTGATCCCATCGATATTGTATTGGAAACTGCTGATGTCGTTGTCTTATATACCGAGCGGCCGAACGGCTCCATACCATTCCACGTATGCAAGACATGCATTCACGCAGGGTCTCAGATCCTCCTAGTACACCGGATTGGAGTTGAGAGCTCGAATCCGCGGGATCGTCATACCTGCATCAAATTCATATATAGGTGTGAACGGAGCCTAAGGACAGAACTCGTGTTCCCTCTGTTCAACTCCAGTAATTGTCAACATGCAATCCAAGCTGTACCTCTTTTCAGTGTTTGCCGCATTCGCTGCGGCATCAACGACTAACAGCCACCATCTCCCCAAGCGACCAAACATTATACCTGCCCCATATGACTCTGGAAAACCAATGCCATGTTCACCGGCACGAGAACCCAAACGCTTCTGTTTTGTTCAGCCGGGAACAGCCCCAGACCGCGACGACGCAGCGCACATCCTTGACTCCTTCCATAAGTGTAATGATGGCGGTACAGTCGTGCTCGATCAATCTTACCTTATAGGTTCACCTCTTGATCTGACCTTTCTCAAACACATTGACGTTGTCATCACCGGCGAAATACACTTCGACGCCAGTGACGTATACTATTGGGCCGAGAATAGTTTCAAGTACGACTTCCAGAATCAGTCTGTATACTGGAAATGGGGTGGTGAGGATGTGAATATTTACGGCGACCTGAGCAGGCAGAAGAGCGTTATCGATGGACATGGTCAACCTTATTGGGAGGAGATTCAGACCAACAAAAGTGTGAGTAAAAACTTTTTTACAGCGGTAGAGGCATTATCTTAAGGACATGTATCTGACATTTGTTTATTGCAGTTGCGACGACCTATGTTGTTTGCCTTTGATGGGATGGAGGGAGCCACCATGTCAAATCTGCGCATGCGAAACTCACCACATGTAAGGCCAAAATCTCACCTTACATCTCCTCCTTATTGACATATCATAGTGGTTCAACATCATCGCAAATAGTAGCGACATCCTCATAAGTAACATGGACCTACGAGCAGAGGTAAAGTATCCATTAAGGCTGCTCAGCCACTGAACTCACAGCTATGCAGAGTTTGAACGATGTCGAGATCGCAAACTCCGATGGCTGGGATACTTACCGCTCAGATCGCGTCGTCATTCAAGACTCATACATCATCAACACTGATGGTAAGGATCTTTGATTTCCTCCGACACACCCATAATGACCATCACTAGACTGCGTTTCGTTCAAACCCAACAGCACCAACGTTGTCATCCAAGGCCTAGACTGCACGGGTTCCCACGGGATGAGTGTAGGCTCTCTGGGACAATACGCCAACGAGACCGATATTGTCGAGAACCTTTACATCTACAACGTCTCTCTCACAAATGCTAGCGACAGCGCCCGTATCAAAGTGTGGCCCGGTATTCAAACAAGCTTCCAGACGCTGCTGAATGGCGGTGGCGGTCTTGGACGCGTAAGGAATGTTACATACGACACGTTTCGTGTTGATAACAACGATCGCGCGATTACCATCACGCAGTGCTATGGGCAAAAGAACCAAACGCTGTGTTCAGAACATCCGGTAAGCAGGGCAACAACCAAGCTGGAGATATCCTATCGAAGCTGATAAATTCCCCACAGGCAAATTTGACCATCTCCGATATTACTATCAAGAACATGTATGGGACTACATCCGATAAAGAAGATCCCGAAGCAGGTACCTTGGTTTGCAGCGCGCCGGATGTGAGTGCAGTCGTATTCAGATCAATCGTGAAGCAGTGCTGACGTATTTCATCGTAGCGATGCAGTAACATACGTGCCGAGAACATTACCGTCCAAGTACCTAGCCAAGAGCCGCCGGTTTACGAATGCAGAAACGTCGATTTGAACCTGCTGGATATCAGTTGCATGGCGACCAACGAGACGGAAAGGGACACCACGCAGGGCTGAGACGAAACTGGTTTTGTAAGAAACGTGACAATGCCACATTGGATGGTGTCACGAAGGCCTGTTACTAATAGTAGCTTCACTTTACGCAAATGATCATCGCTTTAACGAGAGAGTCATAGTTCGGTAGAATTGATTGTGTCGTTCCAGGAATGTGAGGAAAGAAAACGAATGATAATAAGGAAAGAAAAACGCACCAGGACTGCGTAACCACTGCTAGTAAAGCACCATGAGCAGCAACCCTACTTCTCCAACCAAGATGTATGCCGTTCACGTCTGAGAAGTGTGACGTGGTCCTCGACTCCCACTTCCTCAAGCCCAAACACTCTGAACACTAACCTTTGAACAGTTCGAATCCAATGGCTCAATAGTCAGACCCATGTTCCACATCAGATATTTGGTACATATATACCAATTCGAGACCTTGGTTGCCGGTACGGAGAAGGCAGGTGTACTACCAGTGCCATTGAGACTGACGATAATGTACATCGTGCTGTAGCTGCTGTTTCTTTGTTCAAAGTACACGTTCTGATGACTCGCCTTCCCAGGTGCAAAGATCATACTCATCAGGTAGGGTGTGGCGGAATACCGGAAGGCCATGGCAGAAGACGCAATGCCCTCACCGTTATTGAATCTCAGGGGCCAATTGAGGACACCTGCCGTATCGTTTGCGTTTTTGAGGTTGTCGTGGTTGTGAGAGGTTGTGTTGTGGTAGAAGGTAGTGGCATAACGAGGTGGATCGATAATCGTGTCGTTTGTCAGACACAGGCTTTCCTCAGCTGCGCCTACATGACAAGGACCGAGTGCGTGGCTAGTATTCATTAGTTTGAACTGTATTCAAGAGAGCTGAATCTTCTTACTCGTTATAGGCGGAGTTGTTGGTTGGTGATTTCAAGACGAGACGGAAGCCGTCGGACTGGACGTTGTAGGCTTGGGCAACTGCCTGAGCCGACAAGGTCGCGAACGCTAGGATAGTGAATTTCATGATGAATATAGATCTTGACGCTGGAATACGTGCTCGTGGCTGGATAAAAACTTGCAGATGTTGATAGTGATGGTACAGAAGAAGAGTCGAGCAAGGAGGAATGCGACATTCTAGAAAGGGCAGGCAACATGTAATCTCATAGAAGCTGCTGCGCACACAAATTCTCAACAGAAAAACGCGATTCGGGAAACGACATATATGGATATGGTATGCGTGGTAGGTGCAGCCTGGAGACCCTCAAGAAATTTACAGCCTCTGGAAGATTTGTGAAAGCTAGGCCAGGAGACCCTTGGGGTTTCTGCCAGAGGTAACATCGGACTGATATCTAGGGCTGAAAGATACCAACGCATTCACTCATGGGACAACATATTGGTGCCAAAGCATTCCAGATTGAATTTGCTCTCGATGACCCTCCGGCATGTTGGGCATGACATCTGTTCCGCAGTTGGACAAGTATCCCGTGCGATATGCCTTTCGAGATTTGCCATTTGGGCAAACCCCCTCTGGCAACCACCACATGTCAACCTAGCCTTTCTAGCCGCATCTCGCTTTGGTTTGCATGCAATTTCTGAATCTTTGTGCCTCCTTGATTCCTTCTTGTTGGCAAAGTTCAGACCACAGTCGTTGCAAGGGAACTGTGCGATTTCCTTGGCTGTCTTCGCTCTTTTCCGTTGATACTCGTTAACGTGCTCTTTATTTTCTTCATTCCATTGTCGCTTCACTTCTTTCATATGCTCATTATCTTCCTCGTCCCAAATTTTCTGTGTCGCTCTGATTTCTTTCTTGTGAGTTGCTCTGTAGATGTCGTGCTTTGCTTTATTTCTTTTCGCTCGCTCTTCAAGTAGTTGAGCAATTTCTTCTGGCTTTATTTCTTCTAAGCTTCGACTCTCGTACATGCAGCTGTATGAGTTGGCGCCATCGTATTCTTGATCTTCTTTCTTCCACAATGCGAGTCCTTTGCAGTTCTTCCAGGTTCCAATCATAGTCCAGAGTCGGAAGGTGGGAGTGTGTTCAACTGCAAGCAGGAGTGTCTGAGCAAACCCTAGAAGTGACGAACATTTCAACTCTTCTCAGCGGCAGCACTAAGTGCACTCTTTCCTACCACAAAAGAACATATTAAGAGCAATATAGACATAGATAGAAGACCTAGAAGACTACAATGCTCTTGATCTTTACGAATTCTCTTATTAGGAGGTAGTGTAGGCTGTAAAGTATATCATCATCCCTGTATCTGTGCGGTTTTTCCCTTGTATGCATTCTCTCGATCTCACCATTAAGACGCCAGATATATGCTTCATGCAGCTCGACATACAAAAGCATATATGATTATATATCAGTAAAATCAAAAACCACATCTATCCGCTTGCTACTAGTCTTCCGCAATCTTGGCCTTCTGTTGCTCATCATGGAAACGAATCGTACGTCCAGGGATGACACCCTCATCTGCACCCGGCACATTACTATTGGCTCCACCATCTACTCGCGAATCATTGCCATCCCTTGCCGTGTTATTGATATTGCCCATAGGCAGCGGCATCTGGTTAGGTGTGCGCGCCGAACTAGGTGCTCTTGATGTATTCGCCGAGGTAGTCCCCGAACTGATCAAAGTCCTGCCAATGCGTACAACCCGGTTGGGCAGAGAATCACCGCCGTTGCGTGACCAGCCAGGACGGCGGCGTAAACGCACTTCAGCATCAGTTGTAGGGCCATCGGCACCTTCGACGTGGAAAGCTGGTTCGGGTTCGTCGGCAGAGGTAGATCCAGTACGAGCAAAGGAGAGCGCTGTACTGAGGGTGCGGGGAATGAAAAAGCCGAGTTTGCCTAATGGAATGGAGAGACCGTGAACAATCTAGTCGATATTAGAATGAATACTGAAGCATTGAAGAGAAAAGTGCACTTACGACTGAGCAGATTACCAGGAACCAAATAACCACGTTCATGACTTCCATAAGAAATGCTGCATCTTCTCTGACTTCACCGTCGACTTTGATCTCAGCCAGAAACTCGAGGCTGATGTATAAGTAGAAGATGGCGCTCACACCAATCGGACCGAAGAAGCCTACGAAGAGCGCTTGGCGCCTTTGCTCGATCTGGTGAATCTGTTTATGCATAGTGAAGATGATGGGTGGCCGGCGGAGGAGCAATACCAGGATGCCCAATGGGATGAGTCGGTAGATGGGGATGACTGGAGAATGCGCAAAGAGGCGCCAAGGGCAAACAGCGCCGAACCAGATGAATATAGAGACATTGAGCAGCATATCGATGGTTGGTTGGAAAGAGTCATCCATCGTCTCGAGGCGGAACCAGTCATCCCAAGTGAACGTATTGCCGGCGATGAAGCAGGCGAGCACGTCGTCGCTACCGATCATGCCGCATGTACCCACAATGAAGAGCTGCATGCAATGTTAGTGAAATTCAAGCATAACAGACCAGATCTAGGGACCTACAGCCAGAGTGATGGCAAAAACCAAGAAACTTTCGCGGTCGACGTATTTCCGCTCTTCGGCCCAATGAAGCAATTCTTTTGCGATCCATCCCACTGCAGCTCCATAGATGACACTTAGTATGATGGTATATCCCCACGTCTCGCCAAACCACAGTCCGACAGCAACTCTGGTACTGTTGTCGGAACCTTGCCCACCGTGACCAATATGCTTGATAAGGTAAAGTGGCAGAAAGAGGAACGGGTAACCAAGTCCATCATTCGCCCCGGATTCAGCTACGATGATCTTCTGTAACTCTTTCGGGATGTTCTTATCTGCAAACTTTCCTTTGACGATGGAGTTAGACAAGACAGGGTCCGTGGGTGTGACACAAGCGCCTACAGCCAGCGCATGTAGAAAGCTGATGTGTGGGACCAAAGCGAAGACGAGTAGACTGGTCACGAGCCACATAACCGTCATGCCCGGACCGAGTAGCAAAGACAGGCTCTTCCATTCTGTCTTTAGGTATTTTGACGGTAGTTGGACACCCGCAAGTACAAGTTGGACGCCCAGCACCAGACGCGTAAAGTAAAGAGTGATGGTATCAAGAGTTTCAGCATCATTCAACGCATATTCCTCTGGTTTGATCCAATTCGTGGCATGTGGTGAGAAAACGACTCCAGCGATGAGTGATATTACTGTAACAAGTTGGTTAGTACACGCTATGATTGTGAAATAGCCTACCCAATATGTCCCGACGCAGGACCGGAGGACATCGACTTACAAGCTTCACTCAGGTAATACTTTTCTTTCAGCAAATAACTAACCAGCCCGAAGAGCGTAATGAACCCTCCCAAAGATGCACAGACAATGTTGAAGTTGTTAACTGCCAAGGTAGGCATGACTGGCCACCGTCCTTGGATCGGGTCCTCAAACCCGACTAACGGCTATGTCGGCTTCCTCGCTGGCTCTGCTGAATTCTCGGCGAGGCTTGACGGCAAAGCTTAACAGATATCTCTTCTGCTTCACGAAGCTCTTGGAGCTGGCGAGAGCGACTGCAACCTTTTCTTTTTCGTTTAAGATGATAACCGTCGTTTGTGTAAAGATGATCCGCTGATCTGTGGGGTAATTCGGCGCAATGGTGTTGTGGCGGTCTGCGATACCTTCACCGCAAGACAAACGACAGCGAAAGCTTATTGATAAAGACAAGAAGCTTGAATCTCGCAAGAGGTAGATAGACAGTCATATAAGTGGGAATATGGGGAGCGTTGACATCTTGGAGACTTCACGAGGAAGGCGAACGTGGGTCGCACGCGCGTAGCGCCTTGGCTGACGGCTTGTCCAAGACCATGTTAAGGCTTGGTATTCTGAGTTTAAATGCCTCAGCGTTCATTGATTGCAACGGGATAGAAATTTGAACAATTTGGCGCGGGTAGCGCTCTGATTCTCTACGTTCCACAGGTCACGTGCCAAATTCGAGAAAAACGTTTCACAATGCTTATTTACAATCCCAATAAAGCCCAAAATTCTACCGTGACCGAATGCACATTTATACGTTCGCTGCCGCTGCTACCTGAGGTCCGTATCCGACTTGTGGGTATGGCTCGCCAGGTGCCATGAAGTTTGTCTTTGGGTTGTTCTGGGCCTTCGCCGCCGAGCAACGGGCCATGGTTGGTGAGCTGTGAAGTTATTAGCATGATGTAACAAGACGGATGAGAAATGTTGATATAACTCACTTTCTGGAGATGGCATCTGTGAAGAAGAAGTTCTCGATGGGGCTCTTCAGCGCTTGACCAGTCGCTTGTGCACCCTGGTTCTGGTCTACTAGCTGAACCTTGCTCAGGCTAGGTAGCGACGCGGGCTCAACAAGGTCGTATCTTCTGAGAGCAGGCGAGATCTCCTCCATGCGGTCTCGCAGTTGCTCAACGTCATCGTAGGGTAGCTCAGCACCGAGATATTCTGATGCTGCACGTACGATCTTCCAGTCTTCTCTTGAAGCACCAGGGAGGCCGACAGCGGCACGGGTCATCTGCACGCGGCCCTCAGTGTTGACGTATGTGACCGACTTCTCGGTGTATGCGGCACCAGGTAGGACAACGTCAGCAAACTGTGCGCCACGGTCACCGTGGTGACCTTGGTAGACAACGAAAGCATCCTTGGGGATGTCGGCCTCGTTGATCTCATCCGCACCCATAAGCCAGACGAACTTGGCCTTGGTCTGGGCAACCTCGGAAGAGGGAACAGTGAAGCCAACCTCGTAAGCACCAGTTCGGGAAGCAGTTCGCTGCAGGATGTTGTAGCCGTTCCACTCCTCAGTAAGGAACTTGTCCTTGTTCTTCTCGACGAAAGATCCGACCTGCTCGTAGATCGACTTAGCATCAGCGTGTTCTGTGACACCGCTGCCAACGATGATCATAGGCTTCTTGGCGTTGGCCAACTTCTTTCCGAACTCTCCGGAGAGAGCGCTCTTGAGGTCGTTAGCATTGTTTCCAAGCTTCTCGTACTCAAAGGTGCTCTGGAAGTCCTCGCCAACGTAGCCGATTTCAAGGTCTGTTCTCAACCATTGCTTCCTGATACGGGCATTGAGGACAGCGGCCTCCCATCGGGGGTTGGAGCCAATGAGGAGGATGTAGTCGGCATCTTCAACGCCGTAAATCCTGGAGTTGAAAGCGTAGTTCGACCTGACATCGATACCGTGCGCAATGGGTTCGCTGCCACCGGGCTGGTCAAGAGCCAGGTTGTCTGAGCCGAGCTTGTTGGCAAGATCCTTCATGGCGACCAGCGCTTCGGTCTCGACAAGGTGGCCAGCCACAACCTTGAACTCGTTACCCTTGGGCGCGATCTTCTTGTATGCGTTGCCAATCTCGACGAGCGCTTGCTCCCAGGTCGCGGGCTGGAACTGTTCGTCAACACGGACGAGTGGGTTGACCAGGCGCTGTGTGCTGAGAGCATCGCAGGCGAAACGGGTCTTGTCGTTGATCCATTCCTCGTTGATGTCGTCGTTGAGACGGGGGAGAACTCGCATAACCTGGATACCACGAGAATCGACGCGGATGTTTGAACCTAAGCCGTCGAGAACGTCAATGGACTCGGTCTTGTACAACTCCCATGGGCGGGCCTTGAAGGCGTAGGGCTTGGAGGTGAGAGCACCGACGGGGCAGAGATCGATGACGTTTCCAGACAGTTCGGTGTCGAGGGCGGTTTCGAGGTATGTGCCGATTTCTAGGTTGTTGCCACGGCCGAAAGATCCAAACTCGGGTGCACCAGCGATATCGTTGGAAAAACGGACGCAACGTGTGCAGTGAATGCACCTGTTCATGGAAGTCTACTTTTGTGAGCATGCTTCTTGCGATGAGAGAGATTGTAAAAGGCTACCTTGACCAATGGTCCAACGTTCTTGTCCTCAACCGCACGCTTTCCCTCGAGCTCGTGGAAGCGTCCGCGGTCGGCACCGTATCTCATCGACTGATCTTGGAGATCGCACTCGCCTCCCTGGTCGCAAATGGGGCAGTCCAGAGGGTGGTTGGCAAGCAGAAACTCCATGACACCCTCACGCGCCT